CCGACAAGAGACACCACACACACACAATCAATCATACTCTGCTGCTTGATATCATTTCCAATCCTGCTTCATCCCGTGCACACCTAAGTGCGACATACGATTATCAATTTGGGGCGGTATAATTAGTAAAAGGGGGTAGTATAATTAACAACGTCCTAAAATACAAGGTAACGTGCGCAAATCACCATATGAGCCTTATCTTATCTGGATAAGTAGGTATGCTCACCATCTATTCACGCCCTTAGAGCCGGTAGTCAATTCCAAACAATTGGTAAATTGAACCACCCCTACAGCTATTTTCTGTCACCGTGCAAACGTCCTCCGTACTGTACTTGCAGACTGCACGGACCCCGCTCGCTCGGGTCAGCGGGCTGCACTTGGTAGGCTAACGTGGGTATGCGGATGGCTTTCGGCATCCCCGCGTTTGAATGCGGATTAATTCATTATGTGGCTTGTATACAGATCCGCTACGGCAAGCTGCAGGGCGTCGATTCATGATCGGCTCGCGACATTGAAAACGGAATATTGGGCGCATATTTCTCGTACTAGAAAAATCATGGCGGCGAGTCTGTTGAGGGGCAATGCTTACGTGAGCGGTGCTGCCTCTGGTAGGTTCTCCGTCCAAACCATGTACACTCATTCTGATCAGTCAAGGCATTGGCCGGGCTACGGCGTTTGCCCTAGCAAGACATGGCGCAAACGGCCTCGCACTCTCCGATTTGAATGGCCAAACCCTTGAAAACACTGGACAGGAGATTCAAAAGGAACATCCAAATGTTAAGGTGGTATGCTATATTTTGGACGTTTCGAACGAGGAATCGGTTGTGCATGTCATGAGCAGAGTATTCAAGGACTTTGGCCGCCTCACTTATGCAATCAACAATGCCGGTATTCAAGGGGGGATAAAACCTACTGTCCTTGTAGAGGCGAACATCTTTCAAAAAGCGCTCGATGTGAACCTCGTGGGACTTTGGATCAGTCAGCGGGAACAACTGAAGCACATGCTCACTCAAGAGCTGGTCGATGAGGGGTAGCAAATCTCAGTTACAGTTATGTGACGAAATAAAAAGCTAACTGAATCTGCAGAGACCACAGCAAAATCAGAGGCGTGATTGTGAATACTGCTTCGATGGCAGGTTTGATCGCCGGAGAGAATGTCACTCCGTATATTGCCAGCAAGCATGGTGTTGTGGGAGCCACCAAGGGAGTAAGTCATCTCCGCCCGCGATTAACGGGGTGGAATGGCTGAGTAGATCAAGGACGCTGCCACATACGCCAAGGATGGAATAAGAATCAACTGCGTCTGCCCAGGGTATGCAGACCCATCATATTTACCCTTTACAGTTCCGACATGCGGTCATCTCACAGCTCTAGATTTATTAAAACACCAATGATGCCATACGACGATGCTACTCTCTCCACCATTGCACAGATGGTCCCTATGAAACGCATTGCAGCTCCAGAAGAAGTACCTACCACCCAAGTATCTTCTACTGATTCATGTGGCTCACGGATACTCAGGTGGCATCCGCCATTATCTTCCTAGCTTCACCACTGAGTAGCTATCTAAGTGGAGTAGCACTTCCTATTGATGGGTGAGAATGAATAGGTCCCTGGGTGCAAATCTCTGTTCTGATAATTCTATAGTGGGTTCACTACAGTATAGCATGTTCAATATGGCAGCCAGTAACACGCCTCTATTCTCCCTTGTTTCTCTCCCTTTCTCCTCCTTACGGAGTTGCACTGTCTCCCTTACGAAGTTGTGTTGCTCCCTTGCTGTCCCTTGCTGTCCCTTGCTGTCAAGTGGCAGCTGGATGCACCCCCTAGTGCGTAAGAACTAGTGTATTTGATACTGTACTAGAACGCTACTGCTACGCTGCTGCTACGCTCCTGTCACTTCTCCTTGTTTCACCATGTTCCACTCCTACCGTCTTCCAACTATATAGCCACTCGCTGGAACCTCAATACAACTCATGTCTCCCTCACTGATTCTCCCTTCCTACGCCAGCTACCATCAAGGGAGCCTCGTTACTCTATATAGTTCCTCGTTACAACCTCAATACAACTCATGCTTCCTTCACTGATTCTTTGCCCTTCCTACGCCAGCTGCCACAATATTATATCTATTTTCAAAAAGTAACCTGAATTTGTGGAGTTGGTATATATCACTGTATATGATCATCATTCATCAGTGTGTGCCTAAGAGCCAGAATGGAATCCACTGCGCTTCAGATGTTGCTTGTAAGACTTCGAGAATATTATGTGTATAGAATTCGAATCAATAAAATGCTGTGAACGCACAGGGATATTACATTGATCAATCCATTCTTCTTGCCATCACGTCACAATTTCATATAATCAGAATATACTCCCAACACAGATGGCATAATGCAGAGATTACTAGCAGTGATCAGAGAAGGACAATTGCGTGTAGTACGCAGCTGCCCAAGGAATGGTATCAGAATACTGAGCAGCCTCAAAATCTTCCCTTTCCGAGTGAAACTCCAGCATCAAACGAAGGTTAAATTAGGCCTAGAATGAAATTCAAGAGACGGTACAAACTTTCTCACTCAACCATAACGTTTTTTTCGTCTCGGTTTTACACACGTTCCACGTTGACTTCCTTCACCAGACGTTGTTGGACATTATTATGGCGATCAGATATCTGACGGGAGACATGACCCGTGAAGTAGGAATCGAAATCCATCATGAAGAACGAAACCAGGAATGCCAAACCCGCGAAGGCAATAATCGTGTAATAGATATAAGCGTACGCCGCAGCATAGCCATCTGCCAAGCCGTTGGTAGCGGCTTCGAGGACTTGCGGCGTCAGGCCTGGTACTGCACTTGCAGCGGAGGGAGAGAATCCAGCCTCGATGGCGGCAGCAAGTGCGGGAAGTGAGGCTTCTGGGAGACCAGCCTTTAGAACGGCTGGAATAACGTGCTTCTCAATTTCGCCTGGTGTCTTCTTCGTAAGGATTGCGACGAAGATGGCGGTTGCGACCGCACCGAAAGCCATCCGAGAGCTGGAAACGATCGCTTGTCCAATATTAGTTGCCTTGATATATACGGGAAAGATGAGGGTGGAAAGCTGGAACTAACCAAAAGAAATTCCGAGATCTATGTCTTCGGAGATAAGCTGTACAAGCAAGCCAGTGCTCACTTCGAACCATCCAACGGGAAGCGTGGTGAAGAATGAGAAGGCGATGCCCTGGCTGAGCTTATCCTTCGTGACTTGAGACAGTGCACCCGCAAAGGCGATGATCATGGCGCAGAAGAAGATTGTCTGCCACTTGACCTTTTTGATTAAGATCATGAAGGGGCCGAAGACTGTTATTCCTCCCCATGATCCAAAGGCGACCGTGGTCCGGGTTTCAAGGTCAGCAGGTTTGTTTAAGTGAATCAATGATTTCTAGCTCCACACTTACCGTTTGCCAAGCTGTGGTCTTCCAATTACTCTGTGTAGTACCAAAGATCGTGTTTACCTCTGCTGTTATTAGCAGGCGTCCATGAATTCTTCAGTGTAGGGCGGTAGATCTCTTGACTCACGCGTTGGCCAGATGATACTCAATCCAATGTATATAGCGCCAGAAAGTGCAGACAATATATTCAAAATGACAAAGCCCCTCACACTCTTGAAGAGTCTCATGGGAATAATGGGAACAGCCAAAGGAACGAAAACCTCTGGTATAAAGTTAGAACTAGAGGCGGCTAATTGAGGGATGAACAAACCATAGAGAACAAATGTGATGAGTGCTACGGCCCCGGATATAAGGAGTCCTAGGATTTTGGCGGAGGTCCATGGCGAAGGTTGGCCGCCTAAATACCGCCACGTTAGCTACAATTCGGATCTGCAAAAATGCCATCTCTCTCACCCCAGGAAACTCCCAATAGGAAGAGAAACAATCCTGCAACTAGAAGCAAAATCCCAACAAAGTCAATCTTTTTGACTTCACTCAGTCTGCTACGTGACCCTCCGTGCAGATTTCTGAAATTAGGCGGGTTGTAGAATATGATTTGAACAATAATGGTGGGTACTATACCTAGTCAGCTTTATTCGTCCAACCTGCTTTCGGGAATTTTGACCTATCAGAATAATATAAATGTAATAGATCCATCTCCAGCTGGCGTTTTCAATTAGCATTCGCCCTACAAAAAGTTAGATCCCTTGCAAACAGTTTATTATTGGGCTGTGGACGTTACCTAGATATGCCCCAAATCCGGATGGTATAACACTAGGCATAGCAGTGACGACGATGACTATGAACTTCCATTTGTGCGGTACGAGCTCTTAAATGAATCAGACTAGTCACAAATGCGGATAAATTAGCATACCTCCAACAACCAGAAGATATGACGATTGGACTCCAGCTGCAAGACCCAACATGACCTAGACAATGTTACTTCTAAATGAGCAAACTGAAGGATTAGAAAACTTACATTGGCTCCTACTAGGTCATTTATTGATTTTGCTCTACTCCCAATAATGCCTAAGCAAGCTTAGCAAGTAGGTGGTTGCTATTGGGACTTACTCACCTCCGACCAAGCCGACTACATTCGCACCAATAACAAAATAACGACGACCAAATCTGTCGGAAAGCCTCCCGAAGAGTAATGTACTGATAGGGGCCGATACGCTCCAGATTATGGAGAAGAGCGCCTCATTGCCATCGTCACCTTGGGGAGTTGTGAGTAACAAAACTTATACGTATGGATTAGCTTTGCTCACTGATGTCTTTGGCTATAAAGCTTATAACCGCAGCAGCTGGGGCAAAGCCCCACAATGCACAAGCAACACCCAGAGCAGAAGCAGCTACACTGGCGATGACACCAATGCTCCTGAAATAGCCTCTCGGTATTTCAGTGTCCTCATGCGCAAGAGCCGCCGAGTATTGAAGATCTTCCACTTCCTCGGTAGTAGCTGGCTTGCTATTACCAACGATGAAGTCAGTCATTGGAGAGTGGCGCTTTATTGATGTTCAAAATATTCAAATGTAAAATATTCAAATGTAGGATTTCGCAGGGGTTAATTGTCCTCTAGATACTTATAGACTAAACAAAGCCTTACCTGCCAACATAGGCATCGTAAAACTGGCCCGCCCTCGGCTATTCTGGGGAAGTCATATCTAAACAGAGGTATCGGGTATGCCAGGTACCTTGCGTAGAGCTAGATTTGGAACCATAATATATTGGCAGAGAAGTCACTGTCATCAGGGGGTTTACTGGGTGATTAATCTGATAAGCTTGACGTAGGGCTTGTTATGATCTAACTTGGGGAGAGGAAATTAGAAAGGCGCTACCCCGCCTTGATACCATACCCCATACATGGCGGCCCCGGATCAGCAGTTAAGCGAGGCGCAAGTTTAGGCTATACGAAAAGCCACTGCGCCACGGCTAAGAGCTCCAGTTTACCGAGCCGTCGTAGGCTATGGTAGTTGTACCCTAAGACCCCATAAGTGTTATACCTCCACAAATGTACACCGGTGGAGACTAAGGCTATTCTGAAATACAAAAGTCACGTGCCTGTGCTTCGCTTCCATTTTGCACAGGCTCTGGCTAGCTATTTTTCATCGGCACAGCAGGTCAAACACTGGGCCTATTTCTTTCATTTATATTATACCTTCAGTTTGACAGTTCGGCCGTTGTATGTCTTTCATGATCGCAATATCATGCCTGCTATCTCTCCTCTCAGAGTTGTCATTGTAGGCGGGAGCGTCACCGGGTTGACGCTCGCAAACTGCTTTGAGAAGGCAGGTATAGACTATGTCTTACTTGAGAAGGGGACAAATATTGTCTATGAGGGCGGTGCAAGCATTGGGCTAATGGCCAATGGCTTGCGCATTATGGACCAGCTCGACGTGTTCGAGGCCATTCGCAAGACCACAGAACCCTTGGCCGTAACGTATCACAGGACTCCAGACGGAATCCCTTATGGCTCTTCTAACTACATGCACTCGCTCGAAGAGAGGTTAGGAAGGGATCCCGCTTAAGAAATACATAGCTAACATTTAGTTCCAGGCACGGCTATCCCTCTCTCTTTTTCGAACGGCAAGAACTTCTGCAGATCTTATGCAACCGGATTTCGCGGGAGTCAAATGTGCACACTGCGAGGAAAGTAGTGGAAATTCAGACCAATGAACTCGGCGTGAAAGTGATTACTGCTGAGGGCGACGTCTATGAAGGAGATATTGTGGTCGGAGCCGATGGTGTGAACAGCGCAGTCAGGCGCTGCATGTGGAAAGACGTGGAACCAAAACATCCAACACTAGTGAAGAAAGAATCCACAGGTGATATTGTAGCTCCTACACGCTTTTGCTATGCTGACAGGTGCTTGGCCAGCTCTGTTCTCCGAATACTGCTGCATATTTGGCATTTCAACTGTAACCGAATCTTACGATGGCTTCTCTCCAGGTGTGAGTAACATTGTATACGACCGAGATATTGCATTAGGAGCGATTATTGGTATTAACGGAAAGGTATTCTGGTTTATCTTCATCAAGATGGACGCGAAATATTATGCCCCAAATATACCACGCTTCACACCGGCAGATGCAGAGGCCTTGGCAGAAAAGCACAAGCACAGGAAAATATCAAAAGATGCCACCTTTGATGACTTGTGGCGAACTCGATCGAGATGCACTATAGTAGCCCTCGAGGAAGGTGTAACTGGGACCTGGTTCAATAACAGAACGGTTCTAGTAGGAGATTCGGCACACAAGGTGAGTGGAGTGCGCACTTCCTATATAGTCAGAATTTCTGACTTTGTCTAGATGACGCCCAACGCTGGACAAGGAGGCAACACGGCAATCGAGAGTGCTGCTCTTCTTACCAATCTACTGTACCGTGCCCGAGCTGAGAAGCATGGCGCACCTTTCGCAACGGAAGATTTCACAAAGATTTTCGCGGGATACCAGACGCGGCAGAAGCCGAGGGCTGATACCATGTTCGAAGCTTCCAACCTGTTGACTCGACTTCAGACTCATGAGACCGGCCCTCTGGGGTTTCTAGCGACATATGGACTGCCTATCCTTGGTGACTCATTTCAAATCAATATTGCCTCCAGTTTGGTTCTAGGTGGAGTGAAACTCGACTTCCTGAACAATAAGCTGAAAGAGGGAACTATACCGTGGGATGGATGGTCACTACGGACAGCTGCTGTATGTGATTCTATTCTCACAAGGGAAACTAAGCACTGCAGCTATCTCTTGATCTCCGGGTATAGTGTTCGAAAACTTTCCGCATGGGCTGTCTCAAGCAAGATTGTTGCACATATTGCTGGGATAATTGCCTCAAAGCTATCTCTCGATGGTAGCCCCCTTCAAGTCGCAAACTACGCCACAAACGCCTTTCCTATAATTGGGATCAGCATGATCGAATCACTGCGCGCGAATAATCAAGCCAATTTGGCTACATTGTACGGTTCACATCCTATATTTTCATCACTAATACTTGTTGACTCGTTATTTTAGAGCTCTGACTGTGGGCATCGCATACCAGCTTGGCGGCGCTCCACTATGTGCCATGGCCTACTTCCTTGCGCAGACACTCCAGCCAGGTAACAAAGAAAATTCTATTCCAGGTGGAAACGTTATTCAACCAGCATACGCCAACACTTTGAGTACCACACTTGTCCTAGTATTTCCTGCCACGGCCTTAATTGTTGCTGGGTTGGGCGCTGGCTTCCTAAGCCAATTGCTGCCTTCAGGGAACACTTTGAGAACTGGAATCTGGCAGACGCTTCCTGCTTCGCTCGCAATTACAAACCATGTATTGGCCAAGCGATCAGGCAATAAGCTGGACGGTACCGAGACGAACAACAAAATGACCGGCAATACCGATCTCCCCATCCTAAGGAAAACATATCTCGTGCTAATCATCATCCCCGCGCTATTCCATTTTTACACCGTCGGGAGAGCTTTAGCTTCAAGAGATCCAAAGCAAGCGATCAAGAATGTAGTCTTTCCCCGGGGCTCATGGGATTATGTGTTGACTTTTGGCACGAGTCTCCTATGGGCGGGGTGGAACTATAGCAAGACGACGCTGCTCAAAGGCACGAAAGCTAACATGAGATTGGCTGCCAATATTGCTGGACTAGCACCCATAATTGGACCAGGGGCTCTTGTGGCTGCACTTTGGGGCTTGAGAGAAGAAGCTCTGCGGGCTTTTGAATGAAGGACGATAGCAAGAAATTCGGGTTTCGAGAATCTAGTCAATCTGTTGTGAGGATATCTGACGCGGGCATGGTTTAGTAAAACCGTTGTTATTTCTTAACTTCAGGCACTGTTTTGTGGATTTTGACTGAGCTTCTTGAATATTTAAGGAATGTTCTATAAACAGAAGCCAGGCCAAACAGTTTTCACATCGTACAATTTATTTCAGTATGCAATGTCTACCTTGGAATGTATCTCCAGTTCCAGTTCCAGTATTACGTATATGTGGCAACCAGTAACACGCCTCTATTCTCCCTTGTTTCTCTCCCTTTCTCCTCCTTACGGAGTTGCACTATCTCCCTTACGAAGTTGTGTTGCTCCCTTGCTCTCCCTTGCTGTCCAGGGAGCCTAGTTACTCTATATAGTCCTTCGTTACAACCTCAATACAACTCATGCTTCCTTCACTGATTCTTTGCCCTTCCTACGGCAGCTGCCAATATGTCAGATCTCGTTTGCAGGATAGATTACAGAGATCCAATCGGGCATGCGAGCAGGTAAGGTGCATTTGTTGGATAGATCACAAGGATCCAACCAGGTATCGGAGCAGGTAGGAAAGTTTCGAGAGCATTTGGTGCAGAGCCAATCAAGCACTGGATCGATGCTCGGAGATCAGCTCGCAAGGTGCTGAGTTCAGCTTGTATGGCTTAGTTCAGCTTGTATTTTCCAGTTCAGCTCGTATGGCACTGAACTCAGCTCGCGTTGTTCAGAATCTAGACCTGCTGAGCAGGAATCTAGCAGATGTATGGTTCGATTCTCATTTCAAAGCAAGCTGCTAGTGCTGCGGACTAGCAGAGTATCTCATTTCATATCTCAACTGCGTTGTAGTTAGATAACTCTCCATCCCCTTCAATCTAGGAGCGAGGAAGACAATCAGATCCTATTTGCATTACAATTCAATCTGACAGTACATCTCATATCTTCGATTTTGACTTCCCACGATGTATCAGGTTCTGCACCATGCGGTACGCAAGCTCACTATATGGTCCCATTTGGCCCGCATACACTTCCGCTTTATGCTGCTCGTCTGCCGCAATGCACGCCGTGCCGCAATACCTTGCGTGATAACAGCAGGACTGAAGATAGCAAAAGCGCTGGCCCAACCTGATTCATGCTCCACATCCCAGCCAACTTCTTCGTTGTACCATTTCAGAATGGTTGAATAGGTTGGCATGCCTAATGTAATGCCGTCTTGGAATGTGGGTTGCCCTTGGTTATTCCTCACACCAAGAGGAGATCCGGCCGTTAGGAACGGAATTGTTAGGCTGGCTAGATCGGAGAGCGGGTGGCCGATTGTTGACATTTCCCCAGCTGCCGACGTATGAGCGTTGTTCACAAAATAGAAAAATCGATTTTGGGGCTAAACCACTTACTCCAATACTCCAATTACCCTTGCCTTAGAGTTATGAAAGAAAACGTTGTCCATTTTGAAGTCCCCATAGATAAGGGTTTCTCGATCATGAGGCTGCAACTTCTTGTCTTTGAAGAAGCTCACCATCTCATCGAAATGGGAAATTTTACCAACTGGTTGTTTGGTCTCAACATCAATAACTTTGCATTGGGTATCACTCATACGTGTAAATGTTGCGATTTGCCGATTATAGAAGTTCGAAGATTTGCCAAACGTCTTGAGTCCAGTGGACCAGATATTGATGAGGTGAATCTTCCCCAGCGTTCGGACGGCATCATGCCACCTACAAATATGGTTATCAACAATGCCTTCTCACTCAAGGTTTCCAATCTTACATTTCCTGGCGTTCTTCAGGGCTTACTAGTGGAAGCTCAGCATCCTCATGGAGTCGACCATCCAGAAAACTCATAAAGTAGAAGGGCATTCCAAGAACACTGTTGTCCTCGCATAAACAGTAAGGGATTGGTACTGGGATTTCTGTCTTCCTTAGAGCGTGGAGGACTCGATGTTCCCGTTCTACGTTGTGTGTCATCTTCGAGAGCAGCTCCCCGGGTGGGTTTTTTCGACATACTGCCCGGGTGTCATCAATGCCTATGACTAAATACGTGGGGTTTGACTGGCCAAGACCAAATTGTTTAATAGTGATGGGACAATTGACCTGACGGACGTTTTTCACCATATAATGGCATAAAGACACAATGTCAAGAGGCTGCCGAACTTAAGTAGTCATGACGGGATTCTGAATGGAACATACACCGTAGTCTTGCCAGGGGATGGTGAAGAGGTTGAACGAATGAGAGGCAGCGGTTAGACGAAGTAGTGTTATTCTCTGTTCTGCTAAGAGAACCGGGGAGGAGCAAGTCTCTAGCCTAACTTATAAGTTTCTATGCCTAGGCATGAAATGCGAACGCTTCTCCTCAGCCTGGCCTTATCGGCGACGAGTAGTGTGGAGTGCTACAACCGAGGTTGGAGTTTTGATTGCCGGGGAAGTTTTGAAGCTGAAACGTGCGGGGTATAGGGCACAGCAAAACTACGGGTGACTTGGAGTCTAGATTACAGGTTGGGCGCTCTTACTCGCAGGGCTGGTCTTTACATGTATAGTTATAGCTACGCTGATTTTTATACTTTTAGTCTTACCCTTTTCCAATCGATCTCCATTTTCTTCAGACCACCAGAGATATCATCAAAATTTGACAAAGATAACTACAATGGAACCGGGGAATATTCAAGCATCCTCTATAGAGGAGAAACAGGATACTAGTGATGGGCATTTTGAACATTGCCCCCTCCCCAAAGATGATAGAGAGTCCTTCCAAGCTCATGACGTTAAGAGACCAAGGGGTTGGAAATTTAGGACAAGCATAGCCGGATTCTCTCTATGTCTGCTATATGTTGGTAATGATTCGTGAGATACCCCGGTTATTAGGGACATAATTAATTCGTTTCTTGTCAGGTTCTCAAATCTCACTTTACTTTATTGGTGCAACCATCAGCTTCATTGTTGAAGATATCGGGGGCGCAGACAAGATTTCTTGGTTGCCAGTTGCGAATACTCTCGCAGTTGCTTCAACAGCACCATTTTCTGGTTACCTCCAAGACCTCATCGGCCGCCGATATATTGCATTGACTGGGTCCGCCTTCCTTATCGTTGGAGCTATTCTCGTCGGTACCGCGCACTCGTTCGGCCAAGCAGTGACCGGGATGGCTCTCACTGGTGCAGGTTCTGGAATAGGAGAACTTACTGCTCTTGCAGGGTGAGTAAAAGTTCTAGATATAAGTAAGACGTAACCGTAATGATCTTCAGGGTTGCAGAAATTGTTCCTGTTAATAGACGAGGACTCTACCTTGGCCTGGTAACAATTTGCATTGTCCCGTTTTCACCATACGTGATGTACTCGCAGTTGCTCTCGACCCATTCAACATGGAGATGGGGCATGTGGATTACAGTGTAAGCTTTCCCATCTTCCGGCTTCTGAATCCCAACTCATATGGGCCAGTATTCTGAATGGTATTGCCTGTGTCGGCACGGCCTGTACATACTTTCCAAAAAGAGTAAACTCAGAGAAGCCATCTCGGTGGGAAATACTAAAGGAGATTGATTATATCGGTGGCATTACATCTATAACGGGGCTGACACTGTTGTACGTTCCCAACTTTCCTGCCATACACAGCCAAGGCTAACACTTTATTTAGCTTGGTGGCACTTCAGAGCGGAGGATATACCCATCCCTGGAGAAGTCCATATGTTCTGTGTACTCTCTTGATAGGATTCCTACTCATCGCAGTTTTTGTTTTGTGGGAATGGAAGGGTGCCAAGAAACCTATGATTCCGAAACAAATCTTTGCAGGGCAACGGATTGTTGCGTTGGCATTTCTCGTTGCTTTTATATCCGGGATGGACTTTTACTCTGTTTTGAACTTCTTTCCACTAAGTTTCCAAAACGTCTATAAGCCCAGTCCAATAGCTATAGGATGCAAGGGACTTGGACCCGGCCTAAGTGTGCCATTCGGGGCAGCGCTCATTAATATGTTACTTTCGGTCTGGATAGGACATAATCGGGAGCTACTGCTGTTCTCTACATTTATCATGAGTACGTCTATCTCGCCTCTGCTTTAGAATTCTGTCTATAAAACGGATGGCTAACCACTGAATCACCAACGCAGCTGTGTTTGGGGGGGCTTTAGCCGCCACTACTCCAGATACACCAAAGATGTCGATCGCATTTGGAACCATTGCTGGTTTCGGAATCGGTGGAGTTTTGGTACCTGCTGCAACAATAGCCATTACGGTCACTCCTGATGACTTCATCGCAACGACTGTAGCTTTGTCTCTTTCGGCCCGCGTCATTGGTGGCTCGATTGGCTACGCGCTATACTATAACATCTTCGCAACGAAGCTCAATGACAAACTCCCAGTCTATCTTGCAACCGCTGCAATCAAAGCTGGGTTACCTGTTTCTTCTTCTAAAGAATTTGTTCTCGCGCTCCTCACTGGTCCTGCGACAGTTATGGATGTTAAAGGAGTAACACCAATGGTCCTTGAGGCAGCGGCTCTAGCCTCTCGATGGGCATACTCCGATTCCTTAGCTTATGTCTGGTATACCAGCATCGCGTTTGGTGTGATCGCATGTATTGCCTCTTTCTTCATTGGCAACGTTCGTCTGTACCTTACGCAACGTGTTGCAACTCAACTTATGTAGAGATAAATAGTTGCTGAGCCTATACAAAATTCTGAGATCACCCTGGTACTAGACAATACTACGTTCTCCTGGAGAGAAAATGTTACAACGGAGAGTCTTCAAGCTACCATTTTAACCAAAATATCAGATATACAATTCAATATTCATTCCCTTGGTGTTTTTGTCGTAGGCCAAAGTAAGCTTCTGATGAAATTGTATCCGATTACCTTACTTTTAAGAGTCTTCTGCCACACGAAACAGTATTTCATGTGCTAAAGCTTCTCAAATTTTGGTATTCGTTTCTGAAGACCTGATAGCATTGCCTCTTGTACATCTGTCGCCTGCACAGCCACTGAATTCCAAATACCAGTATAACGCAGACCTTCGTAACTTTAGAGGTATTCCTTGACACTCGGAGTAGACTTGGACTTACCATCTTCAATAGTATGATCACGACTAAAGTTCAAGAGCTCTTTTGTTGATTGTACAGCAACTGGGCTTTTGCTTGCTAACAATTCTGCAACTTTCAATCCTGCTTAGATGGCTCCGCTCTTATCTTTCGCAACACGGCCAACGAATCCTACCTGCATGGCCTCCTGAGCACCAAAATACCTAGCGGTTAGACAAACCTCCTTTACCCAACCGTAATTGCCCACGATCTTAGGCAGGCGAGTCAATGTGCCAACATCAGCAGCAAGACCAATATCAACTTCCTTCACCGCAAACATAACGTCTTCTGTGCATATCCTAATATCACAGCATGAGGCAAGATCAATTCCTAGACCAATAGTTATACCATGCATGATGATGATAACCGCTATGCGCATGGTTAGCCAAAGAGAAACGGCGTATTAGAGTCAGGATGCTGGAAACTTACGCTTCTCGCATTTTTCAACAGTTGTGAGGCAACTTTGGAACTCCAAAAGGTGTCTCCTAATGTATACAGCCCTTCTGGCCGGATCCGATTTGAGGTTCCGAGTGGTTATGCCTTGAGTACTGGCCTCATGGACATCTAAGCCTGCTGTGAAGGCTTTCTCTCCGGCTCCACTCAGAATAACTGCTCGGACTTGAGGATCTTCTGACAGCTGGTCGAATATTTTTTTGAGTGTATGCCACATTGGTTCGATCCAGGCATTCATTTTAGAGGCTCTGTTGACCTCGATATGGGCCACAAACGGACGAGGGAAAGTGAAATTAAAATACTCGAATTTAGTATAGGAAGCCATTGTTTACACTGAATAGTTGACAATCGATAGGAGGATTCAAGGTCCGTTTTCTGTGCGAACGTCTTGAGGCCATGAGACTTTGTACTTTTTGTTTCGTGTACCTCGGAGGTCTGTGGTCAGGCGGGCGTGCGGCAAAGGATATTGGGTCACCCTAAATTGGTACATTTCCGAGCCGAGGCTCGGGTAACTATAAAGAACATGTCCAGACTGATTTCTATAGATACAGAACTAACCATATCTTTCTTAATGTATACGCAGACCAAATCCCACTGCTATTCACTCTGTTATTACCCAATCCTTTGATTTTTGCAATCCGATTCCTTGACCCATTCCAGCCATGGCTCCGCCGCCAGCAGCCCCTACCTATGTCCTAGGTGTGGGCATGACAGCTTTTGTCAAACCCTCTGGAAGGGCTGACTATACCGAACTTGGTTTTGAGGCTGATGTTAAAGCCATGTTAGACGCCCAAATCAATTATGACGATGTTGACAACGGCATTGCGTGCTATGTTTACGGCGATTCAGCATGCGGGCAGAGAGTCTTCTATCAGTTCGGGATGACCCAGATTCCGATCTACAATGTAAACAACAACTGCTCAACTGGATCTACGGGCTTGAATCTAGCCAGAAATTTTATAAGTCACGGGGTGGCAGATTGTGTTCTGGTCGTCGGATTTGAAAAAATGTTTGCTGCAGGCATTTCCACGGTTTTTGCAGACCGAGCGGATCCCGTCGGAACCACGACGATGATGATGAAAGAAACAAGGGGTCTCACTAAGGCGCCAAATACTGCTCAAATATTTGGAAATGCTGGGCGTGAATACATGGAGCGGTAATTCCGAAGACCTTCTGCTAGGACTATTCTAATACGTTCAGGTATGGGGCAACGGTTGATGATTTTGCCGAAATTGCTCGTATCAATCATGAGCATTCCCAAAACAATCCATACGCCCAGTTCAGGGACACTTGTACATTAGATGAGGTTAAAAACTCGAGGATGATATATGAACCTCTGACCAAACTTCAGTGTTGCCCAACGTCTGATGGGGGTGCTGCTGTCATTCTCGTATCTGAAGCTTTTCTTGATGCTCAGCCTCATCTTAAGGAGCAGGCTGTTTTGATTGCGGGACAATGCCTCGCTACAGAATCGCCGAAGCTATTTTCTCAGAGTGCCATTGACTTGTTAGGGTACGAAATGGGGAAATACGCTGGCAAGGTTGCAATGAAAGAGGCGGGAGTCACACCAAAGGATATCGATGTGGTCGAGTTTCACGACTGTTTCTCAACAAACGAAATGGTCGCCATCGATGCTCTTGGTTTCACTCCTCTCGGAAAAGCACATGAGCTTGTTCGTAAGGGCGACATCACGTACGGTGGTGAAGTCGTTATCAATCCCTCTGGCGGTCTGATTTTGAAAGGTCATCCTATCGGAAGCGACAGGAATTGCCCAGTGTGCAGAACTGCTCTGGCAACTGAGGGGTTGGGCAAATAACAGGCTGGTTGAAAATGCAAAGGTGTCATTACAACACAATTTAGGGCTGGGGGGAGCTATCGTGGTTACGGTTTACATAAGAGCTGACAGAAAGCCAAACAGAATGGTGGATAGCAACACTGTTGGAAAGAAGAACAAGCAGGGCTATAATCCCGCGGTTCAGCGAAAAGGTTTCACGGTTGCTCAAGCTGAGTCGGTCAGGAGCAAGACGAGGGCATCGGCTTGGGCTTTAGGTGACACACAGAGCAAAGTGCTAGCTAGATTTTAAGTACTATGTCGTTGTGGAGTAAACCAATGCAACATGATTTCAATAATGTCCAATGCTTAGTTAGACTTACACCTCAATCATGAATGCCACACCAAAACTATGACTTGCAAGACAGAAGCGGTAGCGGACGGCACTCAGTAAACATCATAGGCTATCACAGCTTAACAATCGCTACCAGTAGCGGTAGCCGACTAGAGACTACCTATTAGCCGGCTCTCTGAAAGACCAGTGTGTTGACGGTAGCTAATCTAGCCGTTAGCCATGACGTAATTGAAGATAAGTTGGAAAGGACAGGAGGCAATCACACGTTCAACAATGGCGCATTCTTCAGTCCTTCTTCCAAGTGCGATCCCTTCGATCCATCACAGCTCAACGGCCATGAAACCCAATAGTCGAAAATAGAGAGCTATCAAAGCTTGTATGCGGTGTCGAAATAGAAAGGCCAGGTGCGATGTGGTTCGGGGCGCGTCTTACACCCATTGCAGATATCTCTCGATGGAGTGTACCGTCCCACCCAGCAAATGTGGCGGGTAAGACTCAGGTTGAAAATTGATGTGAACTCTGTCTTATTTCGGGGGCCCGAAGGCCAAACTATATACTACGTAGGAAGTGACTGTATGCATAGGCAGAAGCACTAATTGGAGGCAGCAGTAGGCAGCATTAGGCAGGGTAGGCCACCGTACCCCAACCCCTCTCTGTAGAAGTTGTAACTGGCTAGGCATGTAGGCAGCTACTATGCCAGCAACTCCAAGTCTGTACGTAGGTGACCGTGAACCGTATGAGTTGTTGATCCTAGGTTGTAGCTGTTACAACCCGAGTGTAAGCATTCATAATTTATTGAAGAGACATTCCTCACAAAAGGACAATTACTAAATTACTGCTAATTTCCAATCAGACCGTCAGCTTGTATGTCTCAGGATTTTGGTCTGAACCTCCTTGGTCTTTAGCGTGTACCAGAATCACCAGCGCCAAGCTATAAGGAGGAGTCTATAGAAGCACATACATCTCCAAGCAATAGTAAGAACAAAAAAGTATATAGTAGTGTTCAGAATATTGAAGATTGATAAGTGGATAACGAATTTGAAGACTTTCAGGCAGAGCAGTTCCGACGGTTACCACCATATACCAATCCATTTCCCGAAAAAATTTCAGACCGAGTTGTGTATTATCCGCGGGCGAAAGGTGCGCTCAACCTACAGAGTACTTATTTACGCAATCAGTGATTACGAGGCCATATCGAATTTTCCCACGGACTCTACCCATCCTAGACTTATATGACTTCCTTAACATAGTCGAAAGAGGTAATGGAGAGACAGGACAGCTCAGTTTGCTGTTATTTTAAGCCATCATGTTCGCAGGAACTGTATTTGTCGACATACAGCATCTGAGGGCCACAGGCTTCAGGAGGAGAAGAGATGCATGGAGGGCATATTACGAGAAAACGAGGGTAAATAGATATCACATATCTCACCGAACCTATAGCTAATCTTTTCAGCTGTTGTATGAGTTTGACTATGAAAAGAATACGACTTCCATGATACAATCCTTACATCTCATGACCCACTGGTACGAGACGCCCGGCGATCCAAAAGATATCCGGTATTGGATGGGATAGCGATCTCCCTATTAGGTACCTTAATCCTACAATAGAAACCCCGGATATGGAACCGGATCAAATGGTCATGTCTTATGAGAGATCGACTAATGGCGTTAGCTATGGGAAGGTTAACTAGAATAGACGAGACAACCTTTGATATGTCGAACTTACCTCGGAAGACTTCGAGTTGGAGCTTGTGGCAATTGAAATCATTTACATGCCAACTGAATGTATCAATGCCGAATTTCCCATGGTAGCAAGAGAGAAAACTATCATCCAAGGTAGACGTAAAGCTATCCGGGCAAAAGTCGATCAGTCCCCTACTGCAAACATATATGCTACTAGTATCGCAGATCGAATAGATCTACAGTTGAATTGATACTCACCCAAAATCTCACGAGGAATCCAGGCCGACAGTGAGTTGCGAGGATGAAGAAGAGCCTGACAACGTGGAAGGTGGTGACATCGAGTGGGATATTGATGATTTGCTAAGATTTGGATCTGAAACCAAAGACCTTTCAGACTTTGGCTTAAGCGGAGAATTATTATTTTTAAAGACTGCGGATGAAATGAGCGGAGTGGGCTATGGGGACATGGATATGACTTGGATTGCTGAAGTGAAAAGTGTCCAAGACTCAGCCATAGACTAAGCTTTGTTTGAAGCCGAGGTCGGCAATCTATAATTAAAGCAGTCATGATATGCAACAGTATTTTACGGCAGAGAATTTTACGTACCTTCTCACCTCCGAATTTACAGGACCTAATAAGAATTCAATTCAGCGCTATCCTATCGTTCTCAGCGTCACTCCATTATTGTCTCATTTTCATTCCTCGATCCTCAGAATAAACGCACACTTTCACGACTAAAAATTGTGTTTCTCAGTATTTGGTGCTGTATTGATATTATATCATTGCTCCAGAACTTCACTACTCAATTTATCAGCAACCTTTTACATATTTATGGTCCGATTGTACTATTTTACCTTTCTAGATATTGTCATCTTTCGATTCAACAGTACAAAATTCGGTATAAGAACGTGTAGGAGCACACGAATAGTATCACAAACTGGAGAGTTCCCCTGCTTAGTCGGATTTAGGAATTATATATTGCCGATAGGCTAACTCGGCTGAACGAAAGGAAACCATTATTTAATCCCATCGTCAATTCTATATCCCTCCAAAAGCTACAAACATCCAGTCCGTTCGCAAACTCAATTAAACGAAGGTTAGCTATCAAAAGACACGGCCGTTGAATTTCCTTGGCGCTAAACACTCCAGCGCTAAATATCAGGATATTCGAAAGTATGACTCCAGAAGAGACCGCCAACCTCGAAGCCGCAAAGCAATGGTTGAAGCTCTGGAATGAAGCGGCGGATGATATGGTCGATAAGTGCTATGCAGAGGACTGCATGGTGGAGGCTATGCTCTCCGGTCATCTTCTGAAAGGACGGGAGGAACTCAGAGCCTTGGAGCATCAAATGATGGCAGCGACTCCAGATCGCAAGATGGAGATCAATCGGTACATTGTTAAAGGGGACATCGTCGTCGTGGAATGTACGGTTGTTGGACTAGCTCCTGTACCTGTAAAGTCTTGCGCGATTCTCACATTCAAGGATGGTTTGATTATCAATGATCATAGTTATGGGGCCCCGCCCTCGGGGGAATAAGGCATGGTATGGAAGATGGCAGTGAAATTCTATATACCATTTCACTTCTCGGGTTTTTACTGTGCATACTATCATGTACCGTCTGAATATGAATATAGCCTTCGCCATTCCGGCTTTCCAGATGCTTAACAGTACTAATGCGCATCAACTTTGACAATGCGGGGGTGCGGGGAAATAAGCGAGGCGGCATGTTCACCCGCAGCCGCGGTTAATACCATTTTGCATGCAGTACACTTCTTTACCGAGCGCCCTGTACCCGTTTCAGTGTAGAATCGGTAGCCGATATGGCTTCGTCACTTATCCGTCGGGTAATTACCCCGCATCCTTCGTACATTGGGTCGCTGGGGATTCAACAAAAACATCTATCTTGTCTCTGAGTCAGTTATTCCTCATTGTTTGACCATGGCTAACGCACCCATTACACTATCTAAGCCACAAGGGCGTGAGATCACTGGTGGTGATCTCCTGGCGCAGGCTCTGAAAGTTTTAGGGGTCGATGTAGCCTTTGGAGTTCATGGAGGTCATCTGGATTCATTCTTGATGGGATGTGTTCATGCGGGCATTCGTTTGGTTGATACAAGACACGAGACATGTGCTGTTCAGGCCGCTGAAGCTTATGGGAAAGTGAACGGAAAGGTGGGCGTCAGTTTTATCACTGCAAATTCGGGGTATGATCCTTTTGGACGCTTGTGTCAAGTATCATGGGCATTAACTGGACTTAAGGTTTTCAAATGGCCTAGCAGGTCTTGCAACTGCTTTGGCGGATAGAAACCCTGTCTTTGTAATTACGAGCTCTCCGCCTCTGAGAGATGCCGAAACAAATGCCCTTCAAGGCTTTCACGATCAAGTCGTGGTCTCCAGTCCTCTTACCAAATGGTCACATCGAGTCACCATCACTGAGGAGATTCCCAGTCTCGTCTCTTTCGGATTCCGAACCGCTATGGGAGGCGCCCCTGGTATGAATAACGGCGAATCCGTCTTGACTATAAGCATTTAACTTTGCACTAGGGCCCGTCCTCATGGACCTCCCTATTGACGTACTTTTCCAACCGGTCCAACAGAATCGGATCTCGTGGGGTTCATTGGGGAAGCCATTTCCCTTCAGACCTGGACCGCATCAAGCAGCGATAACAGCATCCTGCGACCTGATACGTGCGGCAAAACGCCCAGCCTTGATTACTGGCTCTGGCGGACAGAGCGTAGAGGTAATATCAGACAGTTACCTCTGCATCCGATAGTTGACCTGTGCTGACCCGCATAATTGACAGAATACAAAAGCTTTAAGTGTCTTTGTTGATCTCACGGGTATTCCGGTATTCCATGGCATCAAATACGGATCTGCTCTTCCCATCGATCATCCTCTTCAATCTGGCGTAGTGACAGAACTGGCAAAATTTCCTTACATAGGGAAAGAGCCCCCTGATCTTATTATTTTGATAGGTGCAAGGCCTGGTACGCTCATGGCTGCGCGCTCCGGAGCTATTCTCCCACACAAGGGGACCAAATATATCCAGGCTGATGTAGACGCTACGGAGCCTGGACGAAGTCTTTCAACTGATCTGTCAGTAGTATCAGATAGTTGTCAATATCTTCTTGCCTTGATCAAGGCTCTAGGGCCGAACACAACGAAGGCGGATAAGGATTGGATTGCCACAGCAACAGGATTGAAAAGATTACCATCAGGATACGAGAATGAGCCAGAGGATTCATCCCCTCAGAAGATACACCCGTGGCATGGTATTAAACAGGTATTCAGTTCGCTGGAGCCTGGATGTATTCTCGTTATCGACGGGGGTGAATGTAGTAGTTGGTCAGCTCAGCTCCAGGAATACGCAAAACCGTCTCTAACTCTCTTCGCCATTGGCCATCTGGGGTTTCTTGGAAATGGGTATGGGTATGCTATTGGTGCCGCGGTGGCCGAACCGTCGAAGCAAGTCGTCATGGTTCAAGGAGACGGCTCAGCCGGCTTCCATTTCGCGGAGCTGGAGACATTCAGCCGTCACAATCTCAACATCCTCAGCGTCATAGCCAACAACTACATATGGGGAATGTCAAAGCACGGCCAGGATTTGATGTGGACGGATAAGAACACCGCACGTCCTGTGACAACGCTAAATCCCGAGACCAAGTTTGAGGTAGCAGCTCAGGGATTCGGTAATGCTGGGGCCAAAGTCGACAAATATGCAAATATCGAGTCTACCGTCAAGAAACTCTCCAAAGAGCCAATGCCAGCATTGCTGAATTTGATCATTGACGCTCAACCAATCCACCCAGGAACAGCAGCCATGATCAATCCAACGGACGATCCAGACATTATCGTAGTCCCCTACTACGATAACTTACCAAGACCGATGTTCAAAGACGTAAAGTAAGACAACCTCTACCCAGCACCCAATCTCAATATTCAATAAACTTACGAGAAGTGTATCTGATCTTTGACTCCTTGTAGGTGACCAGCAACCAGAGATGTGTGTTCTGAGATTGTTCAAGGGCGGTGTAGTGTCTGTGCTATGCAATTAGCCAACGAATCTCTCGATATTTCACTTATCTCCACTTTGCTCCTCTGATGCTCTCCATGTGCTCGCTTTGTCTACATCGACTCATTTCAATAACATGTTTAAAACTGATTCGTCCTATATTTAATGTGATAGTTATGACAATCTTAGCAGGTTATGTTGTGATAGTTTCATCTACCATGAGACATTTTGTAAGAAACAGACCATCTATGCCAAATCAAACCAAGTTAGATATGATAGTATCACTTTTCATCAGTACGCCGGCAATTTGCTGCTCTGCATACAGTGCCAAGACATCAGTTTGTTTAGACTGGAAAACGGAGAGCGCTCTAATGAGCTCAGTTTATGGTGGCTCGACCATCAACATAGCTGCCTCGTCTGCTGTTGATAGCAGCCAAGGCTGTTTCATGAAGCCACCCAATTTCAGCCGCGGACTTCGAGCTCGAATCACTGACGGTGGACGTGAAAGAATGCAGGACTTCCGGAGCTCAGAAGTCTACGATCTTTCCACTTTTCAAACTCATCTGGGATCCAGAGCGTGGGCACTACAAGAGAAAATGCTCCCGCCTCGAACGACACACTTCGGCGATCGAGGTGCCTTCCAGGAATGCAGGACGAACGTTGCCTCAGAGTACTTGCCAGATGGTTTTCCAAAACAGCTCGTCTCCCCACTTGTGCGTCGAAAGGGGAAATTCGAATGGCTGTGGCATCAGCTTGTACCGCTTTACTCTGCAGCAAATCTGACGTTTGGAAAAGATAAACTACCGGCGCTGTCCGGAGTTGCAAGGCTTGGGTTCAATGAAACGGGTGATCAGTACCTTGCCGGGATGTGGAGGCGTCAAATTGAGGAACAGCTATGCTGGCGCCGGTGGAGACCCAAAACCACTTTGAAGCGACCGCCTTGGCGAGCACCGTCGTGGTCTTGGGCCTCTATCGATGGAAGAGTGTCGTGGAGATCGGTGGAGCAAAGCAGCAGCCTAGAGAACGCGTACGCTCATGCCTTGGATGCTAGCACGACCCTATATGGTCACGATCCGTTCGGCCAAGTCTCTAGTGGAGTGGTCTGTCTTGCATGCTCTATTGTAGCCACCGGCTTTTTGGTTTCCTCAAAGACACCCAATAATTCGGAAGGGGAGGCCGGCGCTATTGTTGTGCTACGCACCGGCAATGAAGAGCAAGAGTTTCCCATCCAGAAGGATTGTTTAGACGACTTCGACGAGGAGAACAAGGTCCCAGTTCATCTTGTTCCTATTTTGGGTGGCACAACTGGCATGGGAACGTACCCAGAAGTCGGAGAAGTAATTGATGAGCTTGTGATTCAGGGTGTTGTGCTTCGAGGTACAAGCGTCACAAAAGGCGAGTTTTCTAGGATCGGATCGTTCAACTTCTACAAAGACAAAATGAGCGGCATAGCTCCCGAAGAAGGGGATGTCGAGTTTTACGAGCCTTTTCTGAAGGTGTTGAAAGAACACGGCACAGCGGCAGCTGAGGCTGCATGTGCTGAGATCATATCGAACTCCGAACATCCCCAGGAACGATACGTTATCATCATCGTATAAGAAAGAGGCTGGAAAGGGAAAAGAAGCAAAATAGTACGTATGATACAGATTAGGTGCGATATTTAAACTCGCACTATCGCACGAATGTTCATCGCTCCTATGTCTAAGATTTTGTATATGTACAAGAAGACGCTTACTATGGTAACGTTTGCTAAAGTACACGATTCAAGACAGTACTCCGAATACCTACAAATCGTCAACAAGTGGGCTAAAGCCCTGCGCAGTCCCGATCTTATCCTCAAATCGGAACCGCAGCCGCTCTACAGCAGCACGATCCAGCATAAAATCCCTGAAAGCAGTGACGTTGGTGCCGGGCATATCGAAAATAGTAGGGTAACCGCTGGGTCCAGGAAGGTCGCGGCGCACGCTCCAGCCTGAAGCTTTCTGATATTCGTCGCTCAGCACGAAGTTGGTCAGCAGCTTCGCGCCTTCAGGGTGTGGCGCGTCGGCGAAGATAGCACCAGTCTGTGGCCAGCTGACGAATTGGCCCTTAGTGGGGAATGATATGTTGAGGCTTCCAGAGGAGGCAAGGCCGATTTCGGAGGTGAAGGTTGCGCCGTAAACGTTGTTCAAGCTGGGGGAGAGGAGTGTAGAAGGCGTGGCAGTTCCACGGACCCAGTGAGGGTTTTGTGCTATCAGGTCGTCGAACCATTCCCAGCCATACTGCTTGATGCTATGGACTATGGTCAGCATATAGCGACAACCGAGCGGTCGAAGGTTTAGTACTCACATCAGGTCAAATTGGAATGCAACGGCGTCGTCATCGTTGGGGTATGTGAGCGCTAGCTTATCCTTGAACGCAGGCTTGAGATAGTCTGTATACTCTTTCGGCGCGCTCGCTGCGTCGATTTTATCCGTATTCCAGATGTTGGACCAGAAGAGGATAAACACGCCATAGTATGCGCCATCACTGTCCTTGAACTCATCAAATATGTTCTTGAACTCTAGAGGCTGGTAGTTCAGCAGCGCATTTTGGCTCTTCCATCTAGGGAAATCGTGAAGAGATTGAAGGAAAGTGGCGTCAACGTAAAGATTCTTTGCGGCGAGCTGCTCATCGATCCTACCATCGTGGTACTTGGATAAGTCTACCGTGAGGTTCAAGGTAATGTCCGGGAAGCGGGCTTCGAATGCGTCTTTCAGCTTGTTTTGTTGATCCTTTTCATCTCCACCCGCCCATAGGGTTACGACGCCGCCTTCTGCCTTCGCAGCTTCGTAGATCTGATCTAGAGATCTGGTTTCAACCTCGCGATGGCAGTAGCCCCCGGATACCACCAAGGCGCCAATGAGAAAGGCTAGCGTAGAAAGAGAATGCATGAATGAAAGATATGGTGAAGGCCAGGTAATAGGATTTATCTACCTAATGTGGTGGAGGATTATGGAGTTTATATGAGGAATATAGCAAGTCCACCAAGCCATCCCATGAACACCCAACACAGAGACTCGAGTCGAGTATGATCTTACAAATGCCGATTGTCAATACTTTGAAGCTGTCTGTGCGAGTGCGGGTCGATTCCGCAGCATACAAATGATCTCTGCCAAGACGAAGGAGTCGTGCTTACGAAGTATTGGAAACTAAAGTGGATCTTGCCAAAACGCTAAGGCCATCCGAATTACCGAACAGTACTCACATCAAGAGCTGCCTCACCAGAACTTATGTTTCCCATTGACGCTGACGAATAGTGTTATACTTTTTACATGAAACGTCTCGTTGCGAGATCGCCGTTGGTGACGCCGAATGGGTACAGGCCGCTTTCTAGTGTGGACTTGCAGGGATTGACCGTCCGAGATTTGGACATAAAAGGGAGACTTCCAGGACTCGAAAAAGTCGCTATGGAAAAGCAAAAGCAAATCCGCATACAGGTAACACAGAGTCGCAATGCTCGTGGGCGGGTGCTTGGTAGATTTTACTGTCGGATGTTCAGAATATTTCATATTAAATACCCGTGTACTTTGAGAAGGTCAACTACTACAAACTTTTTTTTCGAGTTGGCTCGTGCTACCTGTAGGTGAATCGGGAGGGGTGCTACTACGCTATTTGGTTTGCTAGATGTTGATTTGTTGCCGATTGTGCCTGCGCTCACCACGACTGAGACAGGCAGACTTGACGAGGAACCTGACTTAAGAAGGATCGGTTGCGACAGATGAGAGCAATGAAGATATGGACGCTATACCCGGAAATTCTTACAAAGGACCCTGCATAATTATATCATTAGAGTTATCGCTTGTCTCGCCCGTCGCGTTTTCTGATATATCCTGATCCTATGCCAGTGCTGCGCTTGCTGCCGCTGCCGCTGCTTGACACCTTTTTGTTGCCATATACAAAGCCGTTTGCAGCCGAGCTGGGGCAGCCTTGCAGATTGGACATGTGGCTGGGCTCATGGGAGGAGGCTTTGCTTTTGCGGCTGAGGCGGGTTGAGCAAAGCGTCTGGAGTGGTAGCCGCTTGTGTTGCTGGTGCTGGCGCGGCGGCGGCCGCCGCCCTGCACGTGTTCTCACATTGGTGTCGTAGTAGGTTACGTTCAAGGACTTCTTGCTTACATGGGACATGCAATTGGGTGCCATCGTAGTGGAGGTTGCGCATCTGCAGTCAACTCGGATGGAGACTGGGCGTCTTTCAGTGCTGCTGCCGCAGCAGCAGCAGCCTGGCACATTTTCGTCCTGTAGTGCTGGGCCAGCAAACATCGTTTTGATACTGTTATTCCGCAGATCGTACACGTGGCGGGGAGCCTTGATGGCGCTCTGGGGTTTCTCTTGGTCTGCTGAGAGGGCAAGGAAACTGTAGTTGGCTCGGATGGTAGGATCCCTATAGTCGGATGGCAGGGCGATCCTCGTTGCTTGCCATTGTAATACATCTCTTTCCACGTTGATGCTTCTTCAAACATTGTGTAGCGACTTCCAGCCCGCAGATTAAACATTCAACTATAGGATATAGCATGTCTATAGTTAGTGTAGTAATGTCCATACTTGGCAGTGTGGCTTGGAGGTAGAACGTTAGGACTAGTATTGCTGCTCTCTCGCTGTTGCAGTATCCCCGCGAAAAAGAATTTGTCGAGGGCTGTGTCATCGCCGCCTGGGTCAGGCTGTAACATCTGTATCTAGCGCTCTCCAACAAAAAACTGCAGGGTTGAATGGCAGCAGCGCACATGCTCCGTTGAGTTGCAGGGGTAAGGCGGTTGGAAGCTTCTTCTCGTTTCGCAACCTGTATACCATGTGCCACCTTATGTGTCTCAGCATAATATAGGATTTCGAGAGACTCGAGATAGGGCGGCCTTTGGGGGTAGCTTGGAGGTGTTGAGAACACTAAGCGTATGATTGTTAGCAGGAGCTTCCGGGTATAGGGAAGATACGTCCTATTGCTGGCATCAGGTATATCTAACAGTAACTGCGAATGAACATGTACTAAGTTGCCGGGTAGTGCTGATTTAGTAATATAATATGGGCTGTGGTTGTCCATCTCAATATCAGTGGGGTATATCGATTGGGGAGGCGCAGGAGTGGAGAGCGAGCTGGCCGGCGATGAGGTCCTTGAGCTGGCTAGTGATGAGCCGCTTGAGCTGGCTCATAGCATCAATGAATTAGGCTTAGGAGTTGGCGTAATGAATTTCGACGTGAGTTGAAGCGCCTTTAGGTTGCTGAGTGGAGCAGATATGAGAGACTGCAGTGGTGAGGTGTGCGACGAGGGGTGAGGTGTGCGGCAAGGGAGCCTAATGAGACGAATGGAATGATAGCAATGAAGACTCATGGCAGTAAAGAAAATCTGGTGCTAAGGCTTCAGAGCGGAGCTATTTCTATGCTAAATTAAAGGGAGCCCTTGGTATGTACATGAGCAAGACATCAAATACAATCTGTTCGTGGCATCAAAGAGAGCGGCTGAGATAGCCAGGATGATCTTGGCTACGCCGTGAGATTCTAGAGAAAAAGGTTATATAAATCAAAGAGGGGAAGGATCTATAATCTTGAAGCAAGGAAATTCAGATGATTCAAAGATGTATCTTCATGATTTTGATCCTACCGATAGACATACTTTCCTCCCCAATCTTGAGTGTCACGATCGTCACACTCGTGGAGATGTAGTAAAGTTTAGAGCACCGGCTTTCGAATCGTGCTAGAGCACATGCTTGAGTGAATTTCCTCGCTATGAAGGGTGCAATGTTGAATGATGGTCGCGGTGCTTCTGCTTGGAGTTCTACCGGCGCTCAAGTTTCGCCGAGCTCCGAACTCGATCATATCGAGCCCTGTCTTACGGTGCCCGTCGGCTTCCGTAATGTCTGCCTCTCGGGAAGATGAAACGTTTCGAAACCCACGGCTGGTAATGATTCATAGATCTACAGTACTAGATACAGGTTTTGAATCACATCCCGAAGAGTCGGAACTCCGGGAGCACCGAGTCGGAAAGCCTCCACGTCATGTCACAAGCGTCAGAGCCATTTGTTTCATGAACTTCAATCATTCTGTTTAGAGCAGGCTACATAACACAAGCGTGCTCACATAGCGCTCCGCCACCTCGTCTGCATAGTAACTCGGAACCAACATACACCGTCAGATAGGTGTGTAATCAGTAGCTTCATCAAGGAGTGAACAGGAGCCAAACAGCTCCCCAAAACCGGCTCCACGGAGAAACCTCGATATTGTACCTCCAAACTCCGCCTGCCCCCGAGCCGGACCAAAGGAAAAATGGGAGTATCAAAAGTGAGTGTGACGAAATCAAAGGGGGTGTATGTAATATAAGTATGCACAAGAAAGTTCTGCTGGCGTATTGGGCAAAATCTGGGCCGAATATCTGCCAGTCCATCCAAGGATCCAGTCCTGTCGAGAGTTTGCATCGTGCTTTAGATCCAGGCCGTTGGCGCAGCAAGGTATCGGGTTTCAAACAAGCTGTTGAAGAGCGGTTGAATCTCGCTGAAGTAGTCTGTAGCGCGGAATTTGGCGAGGCCGAGTTTGGCTATGACGGCCATGTCTTCCTCCATTTCCGCGTCCCGGACGACGCCGCCGAATTCTTCGGCGACTTCGTTGAGTTGCTCCAGCTCCTTTCCGAACGGGTGTTCATCAGGAGTGTTCTTGAACATGTCTAGTGACGTCCGTTGTTCGCACGATGATCGAGTAGAGTCCCTGGTGTGGATGCTGCTCGGTGGCTTCATGTTTTGCAACGAACGCTTGTTTGCAATACGCTCGTGGGCACGCTTGCTGTGAGAGAGTGCCCGCTGCGGGATCGCTGGGCTTGACAGAGTTGCAGCAACAGCAGGCATGGAGTCCATGGATTCGGTCTTGCGAATCACCTTGCTAGAGGATATGGACTCGCGTGTAGCGTTTGCTGGCGGAAAGTAACATGACAGGTGGTTTGGCTCCGGTGAAGTTGGCGACGAGCCCACGGAAGACGCATCGGTGAGTGTTTCGCGGGAATGATTCGACGAAGAACGAGATCTAGTTGTAGACGTAGTGTGATCAGAGTCGTCGCCGGACAAGTTTGTTGACGTTGAACCGTTCGAGGCATGTCGCATGGTCGCGATATCCGGCGCATTGTAGGATAGCATGTTCGTCGTTGAGATTAAAGCGACTGGCATCGAGATCTTTTTCCTGTCGATGTGTTGGCCAGGGTTTCTTGCGCTCGCTGAACGAGTCGGCGCTGCCTGAGAAGCATCTGTGCGTCGCATGCGCTTTGTCATAGCACGGGCGAGAGACATGGTGACGTTGCTCGAAAGCCGTGAGTTTATTTGGTTAGAGAGCTGTGGAATATCCGGGAGAAAGGGCCGGCGAGGAGAAGGATCGTGTTCTGCCGAGCGAAAGGAATGCGGGGACGGTGAAGTCAGTCACGGGTAAATTGGCGAAGAGCGGACAAGGTCGATTGGAGCGCAACACCGGACGTAGTGACTCCCTTGTCTTCGTGGGCGTTGTTTGCGCAAGGACGAGGGCGACTTGATCAAGACGGATTTGACCCGGTGCGATGTCGGTGTGACTGTATGTATGCTGGCGACGCGCTGCGTGATACCGTGCGGGTGTGGATGATGCTTCGGAGAGCGATCTGATGACGATGTAACCCCGAAAGGTCTGTATGATGGAAACGGCTGACTAGCAGCGGCGAAAAGAGTGAAAGAGTGAATGTAGCCAGCTATCGTAAGGAGCGAACAGCCGCAAGGGAGTGTGATACAGCAGAAGAGATGAAGAGCGTGGGAGAGAGACTTTGAAGGGGGAAAACTCAGCCGGGACAAGAGCACAAAGCGGGCCAGGTCCAGCTCAAAGCGCCCTCCAGTCCGCCTCCCACGCTACGAGCACACCCAATCATTCCCCTGCAGCTCGAAGCCGAGCCTACCAGCGCACGCCAACACGTTACAGAACAGCCCGGGGGGGCCCTGCTGTCTCCAGCAAACACTGCGCTGTTTCGACTTGAGCGAAACAGCCTATTCACGGCCTCCATCACCAGTCGACGCGCCATGCTGCAAAGCCTCAGTTCCGCCCTCAGCACGTGGAAGATCCTGTGTTGGGATAGAATAGGAGAGGGCCGGCGTGGGCGACGGGACCATGGCTGAAGGCCACCGGACAGTTGCCACTCCATGAACACCCGTACCTAGACCTTAATTCATGGACGGCACTTCGTCCACCCTCCCTCGCTGCGTCACCAGCACCTCAGACCGATTTGGCTCTAATGTGTTGCTCACGACTCGTGGATTGGCTGGTCTGACTCTCACGGCATGCTGGGTGCTGGACGAGACTCCCTATCACCTTTTCTCGGCACGATGGGCTGTTTCGAAACGCTCTGCGGCAGTCCCTACTTTTAGCCGCCGTGCTACCGAACACGCGTCGAAGCAGCCCCAGAAATCGAAACAGCGTCGAAGCCTATCTTGAGAACTGCCGTCTGCCGTCTGACGTCTGACCTACCAGCCCATGCCATCTGCATGCGTTCTGCAACTTAAGCGCCTCTTGACTTCGCTTCTTGGGAAGATGGTTAGTTGCGTTCATGCGGGAAAGCTTCTATGCGCACAAGCGCAGCAGCGTCAGCGGCAATAGTGGCGAAGCTGGTGATAGGTTACGATTCATCAGTATCCAACTCCATCATTCACCGGCGGAGCAAGACAAATAGCCGACAGTCTGGGTCCAAGTTGTCCATGAGGTTCAGCATGCGGCTCGATGTTCTGCTTTAATTTTGGTCGCTATTCGCAACGGCGAGGGTATTGTAGCCTACTGATACAAAGAAGTGAGACCTAGTCGACTGAAAGACAACGCCTGCTCTTTGACAACGAGCTTGCGAGTCTCGACGAACTTATTCTTCCATTGACTCCCATCCCTCTGCTCCTGCTTCCTCCCCACTAGCCTCTTCTTCGTCTTCACCCTCTTCCGAATCCGAATCAGTATCCTCTTCCTGAAGTCCAACCAGCCGCTCCTTCACTTCTCCGTTTGCCGGAGCGATTTTTGTCGCGAATGCAGCACGGACAGCCGCGTTGGTCGAAGTGTCCCAAATTTGCACTGAGCCTTTACTTCCAGCCACAGCAAGCCTGAAACCTACCTCCTTGTCGGGTCCAAAAGTCGTCGAGAAGACTTTACCAACGTCCAAGTTGCGTGAAACCACCATAGATGGTCCACTGGCTTGAATATTCCATAGCTTGACTGTCTTGTCGGTTGATCCAGTAGCCAAGAAACCCGGTATGATCGGGTTGATATCAAATGATGATATTGATTCGTCGTGTGCCTGCAATGTCCAGATTGGTTTGCTTTTAGATGGCTGTGTTGGAGCTAGCCGGGCGTCGTGGTAGTGTATAACGCCGTTTTCAGTGGAAACCTTGATGCTTGTCAGCATGATTAGATCAAAGAGAGGAAGTAGCTTTCATACATAGAAGAAGTTCGGATCATGCGGATCCCACCTCACGGTCTCAACATCGCTTTCGACCCCCCATCGTGGTGCTTTTGCGTCTGGAGCTCGCATATCCGCTGCCACTACCGTCCTGTCGTAACTGCCACTCAGTAGGACCGTAGACTCTTTCGGATGCCATGCTAACGAGCAGACCTTGTCAGTGTGATATGAGTATGACTTTGCGCACTTCGCAGTGTTGAGATCCCACAGCTTCACCGTCTTATCTGCTGACGCTGAAGCTAGCAGATTGCGATGGTGTCGGTTTGCAGCTAGTGACAGCACAGCGTCTACGTGGTAGTCATCGTTCACCTTCTTCGACTTCTTCTTCCGCTTCTTTTTTGGGTTGTCAGCCTTGTTCCCGTCCTGAGCGCCTTGTCCAAGAACAGCATTGGGGTACATGCAATCGACTGTGTCAAGATCCCATAGCTCGATGTCTGGATCCATGGTGCCGATAGCAACGGTATTGCCCTGACCATTTTTGCTGCCATCCGGCTTGCCGACTGGTATATTCACCCATTCTACAGCTAGCGGGATTGCTGGGAGCATTATGTCGTGGTGAACGTATAGATTATCTGCCTCGTCCTCATACACGTAGACCTCCAGATGAGCCACCTCATCTTCTATCCTCGCGGCTAGAACCAGGTTATCCGTCGCAAGGATTTGTAAGTCTTCTCGGTCGTCATCTTCATCATCATCTTGGCCTGGCATTGTGATGTATGGGTCTTCCTCATTTGATTCGTGGTACACCAAGGATTTGAGATTTCCGGCATTGCCAAACATAGCCATTGTGTCCATGCCGTCTTCTTGATCCTTGTGGTCATCATCGTCGTAGTGCTCGAGGTCGTACTCCTTGAGGTCGTCATCTGCCTCCCTGCGGTGATATAATTAGAAAGGCCGATTTAGATTTTGTAATAGGAACATACTCGTGCGACTTAGGTTCTTTCTTTGCACCTGAAGACTTTGAGGGCTTAGAACTTGTGTCATCTTTTTCCGTGGCCTCGTTCCCAGCTTTTTGGGCTTCTTCGAGGTCCTCTTTTGCGTCTTCTATCTGCAGTTCGGCAAGCTTTGCTATGCGCTCGTATTCTTCTTCGTCGAATACATATTTGTTCGGAAAGGGCGCCGCAAATCCACGAGGCACCCAAGTCGTAGCTGTTATCATAGACATGGTGAAAGGTGTCCTCCAGTGTGGAGGGGGTGCGCTGCGATGTCGAAATGTCCCGCCAAAAAATAATTTGAGGCGCGCTTTTGGCCCCACAATTCCATTTGCTTGGCAAAGATCGAGGCAACTTCACCGCCGCATAAACCTCAACATCACCACTTTCTACATACATACCCCACTGGAGCCATCATGGGTCGCGAGGATAGCCCAAAGAGGCGACGACTCGACTCTGACCATTTCTCAGTGCGCCCGCGACCATGGACCTCGAAGACCGACAAATATCGAAACTCCGCCGCATCCTCACGCGCGCAAACCCCAAGGATATCCAGCAGCGCTTCTACGCCTCACCAGAAAACCTTTGAAGGCAGTGAACCGATGATAGATGAAGAGGATACTGCAGCTTTGGATCGGGACTGGTATGGAGGGGAAGAGAACGGACATACCTTCGGAGACGATACCCATAATCCTTTCGGAGCTGCCGACAACACATGGCTGGAGCAGCAGCGGGAGGCCGCCATGGCCGACAAGAAAAAAAATCACCGGATGACCGCCCGGTCGGTACAGAAGCAGAAAGATGTAGATGCGTGGGAGACTAATCGCATGCTTACGTCTGGAGTTGCCCAACGCCGAGACTTTGACGCCGACTTCGATGATGATGAAGAGGCTACCCGTGTTCATCTCTTAGTACATGATCTCAAACCACCCTTTTTGGATGGACGGAAAGTCTTCACAAAGCAGCTGGACCCAATTTCTGCGGTGAGAGATCCGCAGAGTGATATGGCCGTTTTCAGCCGCAAGGGTAGCAAGGTCGTCAAGGAAAAGAGGCAGCAAAAGGAACGGCAGAAGCAAGCCCAAGAAGCTACCAATGTGGCCGGTACTGCTTTGGGAAATGTTATGGGTATCAAAGATGATGAGGGCGACAGTGCGGCGCCTATACCAGGGGAAAATGAGAAGAATGGGGGCAGCAAATTCGCGTCGCATTTGAAGCAGAATGAAGGCCAGAGCAATTTCAGCAGAAGTAAAACCCTTCGAGAACAACGCGAATATCTTCCAGCCTTTGCGGTTCGAGAAGAGCTCCTCCGAGTTATCCGAGACAACCAAGTCATCATTGTAGTAGGCCAGACTGGGTCCGGGAAAACAACTCAACTCACACAATTTCTTTACGAAGATGGATACGCCAAATTTGGGATGATTGGGTGCACTCAGCCTCGCCGTGTTGCTGCGATGAGCGTTGCTAAGCGTGTTAGCGAAGAGATGGAAGTTAGATTGGGCGGCCTCGTTGGGTACGCTATTCGATTTGAGGACTGCACTAGCAAAGACACTGCCATCAAGTATATGACAGATGGTGTCCTTCTCCGAGAATCGCTGGTGGAGGCCGATTTAGACAAATACTCGTGCATCATCATGGACGAAGCTCACGAGAGAGCCTTGAACACCGACGTTTTAATGGGCCTGATCAAGAAAGTTCTTGCTCGCCGGAGAGATCTTAAGCTCATTGTTACATCTGCGACTATGAACGCCGAAAGGTTTTCGAAATTCTACGGAGGAGCACCCGAATTCTTTATCCCCGGACGAACGTTTCCCGTCGATATACAATTCTCACGTTCACCGTGCGAGGACTATGTTGACAGCGCCGTAAAGCAGGTACTTGCGATCCACGTATCGCAAGGTGCTGGGGACATTCTTGTATTCATGACCGGTCAAGAAGATATCGAGATTACATGCGAGCTGGTCGCGGAGCGATTGAAGCTCCTGAACGATCCACCAAAGCTCAGTATCCTTCCGATATATAGCCAAATGCCGGCGGATTTGCAAGCGAAGATTTTCGAACGTGCGGCTCCCGGCGTTCGAAAAGTCATCGTAGCCACCAATATCGCCGAGACGAGCTTGACGGTTGATGGAATCATGTACGTTGTGGATGCCGGCTTCTCAAAGCTCAAAGTCTATAATCCTCGCATGGGAATGGACACTCTACAGATCACCCCAATATCACAGGCAAACGCTTCCCAAAGAGCTGGACGTGCTGGTAGAACAGGACCTGGAAAGTGCTTTCATTTGTATACTGAAAGGGCTTTCCGAGACGAGTTCTATATTCAGACAATACCCGAGATTCAAAGGACCAACCTCGCCAATACTGTCCTCCTTCTCAAGTCACTCGGGGTGAAGGACCTGCTTGACTTCGACTTCATGGATCCCCCACCGCAAGACACGATCACAACTTCGCTGTTTGATTTATGGGCCCTCGGCGCTCTCGACAATATAGGCGATCTCACGCCTCTGGGAAAGACCATGACCGCATTCCCCATGGATCCCTCATTAGCCAAACTCATCATCACTTCTGAGGATTACGGATGCAGTGAGGAAATGCTTACCATAGTATCGATGCTGTCGGTGCCTAGTGTCTTCTATCGTCCAAAAGAACGACAAGAGGAGTCTGATGCGGCGCGGGAAAAATTCTTCGTCCCAGAATCAGATCATCTGACCCTTCTGCATGTGTACACACAATGGAAGATCAACGGTTATTCCGACGGCTGGTGCATCAAGCATTTTCTCCATCCGAAAGCTCTGCGCCGAGCGAAAGAGATTCGAGACCAACTCCAGGATATCATGAAGATGCATAAGATGCAGTTTACAAGCTGCGGCACAGACTGGGATGTCATTCGAAAATGCATTTGCTCAGGGTATTACCACCAGGCCGCAAAGGTGAAGGGCATTGGTGAATACATCAATTTACGCACGAGTGTAACGATACAGTTACACCCTACTAGCGCCCTATATGGGCTCGGCTACCTACCCGACTACGTGATATATCACGAGCTCATCCTGACCTCCAAAGAGTACATGTCCTGCGTCACATCAGTTGACCCGCACTGGCTAGCAGACTTGGGCGCTGTCTTCTACTCTGTCAAGGAGAAGGGCTATTCGGCTCGTGATAAGAGGGTCACAGAGATAGAATTCAATCGCAAGGCCGAGTTAGAGGCCCAGTTTGCCGAGGACAAGGAACGAGAGGCTCAGCGGCTTGCAAAGGAGGATATGGGGCCAGCTGTGAAGAGGCCGGTGACGTCTGCTGTACGAAGGATCACAACGCAGGGCACTGTGAAGCGGCCAATGACTCCGAGGATGGGTCGTGGTTTTTGAGTAGTTTATAGGAGATCATCCACCTTCGAATAATACTCAATTAAATAGGGTATCGCATGATAACTGAGATGATGAAAGCTTATGGTGAATCGATCCAACTGAACTCTAATGCTTTAGATGTCTTACAGCGCTTTTGAGGGCGGATAAAGGCACAAGCTACCCAAATTGGCTGGATCCTGGTCAAGGGTTTTCAATTCATTCCTGCATGAAAGTGATCCTGATCTACAAACGCCCATAATCTACCACCGCGCAATGGATGTGGCACCTAGCCAAAACGTGAAATTATACCATGATGAAATTTATTTTTTAAGTTCGTGAGCAGGTAGCTTACACGTGACTTCGGCTTCTTGACGTACGGCGGCCAGCGCTTCACCTCTTCAAAGACGCCCCACGCAACACAGTACCATCTCTATCCACCTCCAGCCGCTACGAATCTCTAAACTGGCTACTGAGAAAGCTCTATGATCAGCCCATCGTAAAGGTTTACTAGCACATTGTTTTGTCGCCTAGGGCAATGACGCGGGCGATAGCCAACCCTCCTATGCAAGATCCACATATCCTCGAAGACTACTAAGTATCCTAACTACGGCACCTCCGAGTCCTCCGAATCCTCCGAGACCTGCTCGAAAAGATGCGAAATATGCACTGGGTACGTGCTTGGATAGGGGGCCTATCGCAAGGTCGTCACAATGTCGAGTCTGGGGAAATACATGGCTGTGTAGTGGGAAGACTCTACTGCGTTTATGGGATAGGACGGAAATCGATGATGTGATAAAGCTGGTTCTTGCGGGAATTGAGCACATAAGAATGGCAGTGGGCATACGGAGAACCAACGGATCTCGAGACTTGCATGACGGACACCGCAGCTTTGTTCCCAAGCTGCAGGACCTGGCCGTCGACCTATGGCATCCTTTATGCTGTCCGAGACCCTAAGCATATAGATTTGCTTGTTAGATACTGCTAACAAAGGCAGTGCAGAGGGCTGATATGCGCGCTTTCGCGAATCAAAAAGTAAGGCTCATAATTGCGCATTTAGTCCCTGAAGGTTGTTCTGGCTTTTCAAAATCTGGGAACTTGCCCTCTCCATCTGTCATGGGCGTCTTTTCAGGATAGTGTTACTTCTTCCCATATGTAGGTACATACCACTTCTGGGTGTATCTCTTCCATTTTCAACCAATGTTTGCCTCCTAGTCTCCCTCTCATATTCTGTCTCTCAAAAAGTAAAACCATCACAAGTATCTGCCGGATTTCTCAGGTTGTCGCTATTGTTGATATGCCCGTCGTCAATCAGAGCGATGCCATTTCTTATTTGATGAACGCTCAGACTTTGTTACAAGGACCAACCGTGTCTCCATAAAACTCTCGGTTGGCATCGCATTCATCTAACAAGCGTTGCACGTTGCGATGCCCTGTGATCCCATATCTACTCTGCCCAAAAAGCCAGACACGGCCACGGGCAGACCAGCCCCGCCTCCTAACGCGTATACGATCGGGTTTGGATTCGGTGCTTTCGTATGCCCATTGTGGCCACGAAAAGGGCGTGGTAAGTGTGAGTTTCCTGTACTCAAAAAGATGCCAGACAAAGCTAACCATCTCTCAGGGCAGACACCGGCGCCTTGCACTCATCTCCGCTACCGTTCGAACATTTGACGCGACGACGTGGAACACTTGTGCAAGAGCGCGATGTCTCCCCGCTTTGACATGACGACATCGATGGACTGCCCATTATCGTCCTCTTCATTCTATGAATGCTTTTGCGCTACGGAGGAGGCAGTCTGCATTTCCAAAGGCTAGAGACGCAAATCAATCCGCCAGCCCAAGATCAGCAAGCGCCTCGCAATCCCTAGGACAAGCCACTGCCTCCTCAGGCGACCTTTAACGGGACCTTTCTGTTACACCCCGCACCTAAGCTGCTCCGGAGCGCTGCCAGCTGCAGACCGATCAGCGCGTCGAGTCCGCATTGCCTATCGGCATGCTCTCACTGGCCAGATGCCCTGGAGCGTGAAGTGGCAGTTCACGGATACATGCGACTTTCTAAGGTATTAGGGGTATCTACTCTCTCTAGGCTTGTGTACACTTGCCTATCACTGCTTGATGCCCTCCAGTACATCACTAAAGACTGTAAAGCAACAGTTTTGGCAATCTCAATAGTTGTCCAGACCACATCGGATGGTGATGGACTGCGGCTTCATGCTCAACGGAGCCTGCCAGTAGCCATTGTATATCCGACCATGTCGAAATACGGAGGATGAGTCGTTACTCTATTCTCTCTGGGCTGTCGTCTGCAAGATCATTCACCTTTGAGCGGTCGGGTGTCGGCTTCCGCGTTCGGCCGCCGCAAACCTTGGAGCCAAACAATGAGAGGCATCTTTCAGGAGCGGTCAATGCTGCGCGCTAGCCGGATCCATCACAACAACACGAAACTGCCGGCCGTCGCACTCCCCGCACTCTACAAGAATCTGCAATCCTGGGAGGCGGCTTAGATACTGTCTGTGAGCCTCCTGCGACTTTCGCGAGACTTTCGCGACCGTTGTTGAGCAAGAGTTGACCGATCTGCAGGCGGTTTGGGCTGGGCTGCGCACACGTGACGAGACCCCAACTCAGGGTTTCGCTCGGCATAGATTTGAACAGCTTCCTCCACCAAACTAACTCTCCCACACCACCTCCCCGAATCCATCAACACCATCCACTACCATCGACGCCATCGTCAACACCATCATTTGCACCCCGCTCCCGTGCTGCTGCACACTCTCACCTCTGTTTTCGCGACCCGGAGCCAACGCTACGCGTCATTCTGCCCGTGCTACCCCAGGCGCGACTCCACACAATGGCAGACACCTCCACTCCAACCGCACCAACAGAGGCGCTCGCGGTGAACGCGGAGCCGACGCGTCCAACTAAGCCCTCGACCACCTCTGCTCCTACGGAAGCTGTGGCCGCGGAAGGTGGCGACGTCACCAAGTCCGACCAGCCCGCTGCTGGTAAGTGAGGCTCTACCGACCACGATGAATTCTTCACTAACAAACCTCCTTCTAGCAGGAGACAAACCCGCACCTATCGCGAGCGCGCCTACCACTTCTGAGGAGCTCACTGCTACCGCTACAACCATCGAGAACGCAGATGACAATGGTGAGCATATACTGGAACAAAGAGCAGTGATGGGCTGCTTCTCGTTTGGAGAAGAGACACGTCATTCGGATGCTGACATTGGCTTCACAGGCTCTGAAGCCCCGGCTGTGGCTGCCGCCTCCAATGGCACGCCTGCTTCTGCCAAGAAGAGTGGCCCTAGAAGGAAGTCTGGCGCAGGCGTTGCTGAACACAGCAAAAAGAAGGCTCTTAGTCGCAAGAAGTCTACGGTAACACTGCGCCTTGACGTGGAACCTGGTCAATACTGGTTCGTCGCTATGCGAGGCTTTCCTCCTTGGCCGGTCATCGTGTGCGACGAGGAGATGCTCCCTGAGAGCCTTCTCAGCAAGCGTCCTGTAAGCGCGAAGCGATTGGACGGCACGTATCGTGAAGATTTCCAAGAAGGTGCAAAGAATGCCAAAGATAGGCGGTATCCCATCATGTTCATGGGAACCAACGAATTGTAAGTCCCCCCGCCGCATCTGTTATGGCATCCCCTACCTGGCCTAGTGCTCTCTGATTTTGCGTTAAGCTAACGAACTTGATGTACAGCTCGTGGCAAGTCAACACAGACCTTCAACCTATCGATATGGACGACCTCAAGAAAGAAGTGGAGGACAACAATCAGGGCAAGAAGACCAAGGCTTTGTGGGAGGCTTACCAGGTCGCCGCAGAAGAGCACGATCTGGCCTGGTTCAAGCATATGCTGGCTGAACACGAAAAGGCTACCCTAGCAGAATCCGCGGCATTCGAGGAACAAGCAGAGAAGGCTGCGACCACCAAGAAGGAGAAGAAGGAAAAGGGTGGACGACGCAAGAGCGCTCCTGTTGTCGACGAAGATGTCGAGATGGAGGACGGAGCAGAGGGAGAAGCAGCTCCAAAAAAGGCAAAGGCCACTAAGAAGCGCAAGAAGGATGCGGAGAGTGACGCAGAGGGCGAGAAGGTAACATTCGCTCCAGAATCTGTCTTTGTCGTTTCTAATGTTGTTTCCAGCCGGCCAAAACACCAAAAACCAAATTGAAGCTCACCAATAAGACTCCCAAAGACGAATCAGCTGCGAAGCCCAAGAAAACCCCCAAGCCAAAGAAGGCCAAGGCAAAGGCTGAGAGTGAAGATGAGGACGATTCTGCGAAGGCGGAAGAGAAGCCAATGACGGAGGCAGAACGCAAGGAGAAGCGTGAGAAGGGCGGTTCGTATTTGACATTCTGCTTGAAATAAGACTGCGCTAACTGTATTAGTACTTTATCTTCGACACCGACTCCAGAAGGGTTTCCTGACTCGCGATCAGACCCCTAAGGAAGAAGAGATGGCCACCATGTCTGACTACTTTAAGCAGCTTGAGAACTATACCGACCTTGAGGGCGAGATCATCAAGAACACCAAGATTCACAAAGTACTGAAGGCTATCATCAAGCTAAATTCAATCCCAAAGGAAGAGGAGTTCAAGTTCAAGTCGCGTTCGGCGGATCTTCTCACTGGATGGACTTCAGCACTATCCTCTGACATGGAAACTCCAGTGGTTGCTCCCGCAGTTCCCGTGCCAGGCACGACGAATGGGGTCAATGGAGAGAAAGCCGAATCGAAGCCCGAGGAGCCGGTCGCCCCTGAACCCCCTGCAGCAGCAACAGCACCAGCTGAGACACCTGCCGAAGCTGAATCCACCAAGAAAGCCGATGTTGATGGCGATGTGTCGATGGCGGACGCCAAAGATCAAGTGCCTGCAGAAGAACCTACGGCTTCTACTGACGCGGTCGCCGAGCCAACCGCGGCTGCTTGAGGAGTGGTCTAGGAGGTAGATCTATTACATCTCGCGAGCAGGCCAACAAGTCTCGTCCAGCGCTTAGAGAAGAGGCATCTGGTACTAGGAACCAACCTTCACTGCCTTGCACTTCAGCTTTTTTTGGCTTCTACGTGGGAGTAGCGCGCGGGAATCTGGCTAGTTTAGGTTGCCGGGAATTTCTGGCACTACTGCTTTCAGCGACTTTCACTTTTTGGGAAGAAAATCCCTAATGAGTAGGTGAGTGGTCTGTCTTTTCTTTCTGACCGGCTACAAGCAAAACTGTACATATGCTTGATTTTGGCTTGATTGGGTGGGACACGGCGGGAGGAGGCTCTTCTTATCGGATGGGAAATGGTGGGCGGAAGCGGTAGCGGAAGCGATGAGGCGATGGTCTTTCATTACTTTAGGGTCTAGCGTATCAACCAAGCTGCCTACAATGATGCTGGCCCCGAATGTCTCTGCAGTGAGGCGAGAATCGAGATTGAAAGCTCTGAGCTCAGCTCGTATGTCGCGAAACCGTAGTCTCAACTTGGACAAATTACGCACGACGTAATTCCCAGTTTACTAATGCTATGAAGTCGCTATTTCCAGTCTACTAATCAGTTCATATATGGTAGTGAAATAGCACTTTTTGAAACTGTCGTCACATGCCGCGGAGACATGCGGTCGCAGTTGATACTGTGAAACATCCCTGGAACACATGTCAACTCTCGTGCTGTAGGACAGAGTCTACTCTTTAGGCGAGAAGCTGCTTCTAGGACGGATATAGGTCCTGTTGGATAAATGAAAATATGTAGGATTGCGTAAATTTAGCACTTCGTGAGAGGCCGCTGCATTCGGTATATCACCGCCGGGGCGGTGCGATCCTTGGCGCGGCTCTCTCATAGGTGCCTGCTTTCACGCGCCGCCTCAGCCTCTTGCGACAGCTGTCCACATCATCGATCTGTTGCTCCTCCATCCTCCTCTCTCCACTTATGCATCATGCGATTCCTTAAGGGCATACTGTTGCCCGCCCTATTGGTGGCGATCGGACCGGCGTCCGCAAAGGACAAGAAGGGCCCCGAACTGGAGACCAAGGCCTTCGAAACTCGAACCCAGAACCTATTCTACTTTGACGACTCGGAGATTGTGCTGGTCACGGAGCCGCTGAAGGGGACGATATGGCGATCAGAGGATGCTGGGAAGGAGTGGAACCCGGTAAAGGACATTCCGGAGAACAAGGCTCTAGGTGTTCTGAAGAACCCTTTTGATAATCAGGTGGCGATTGCGTTTGGCGGCGACACGACACACTGGATTACCTACGACCAGGGCGAATCATGGACGTCTTTTGATACAGATGGGGTTGTAGCGCTGGGAGGCTCCCCCGTGAGCTTTCACGCAAAGGATAGCAAGAAGATCCTTTTCCACGGAGGTGATGAATGCTCGGATTTCTTATGTCTTGGGAAGGTGAGCCTTACTTCTCAGCTTCACGATGTTCTATTCATGCATCATTGCTGATACCTATGAATTAGACTTGGTACACCGAAGATGGCTTCAAAACCACCAAGCTCCTCCGCGGCGATCGAAAGATGTGCATATGGGCCAAGAGTACCGATCGCTTCCTAGCAAACGACGAGGGCAAGTATGACGACCGTGTTCTATGTATAGTCAAGGGCAAATACTCGAGGCTAGTAAAGGATTACAAGATGGTCATCTCTGATAAGTGAGTGGAACACGAGAGCATTCATGCTCGCGGACAACCCTGCAAGCCTACATGGACAATGCTGATTAGAATAGCTTCTTCGACGATGAAGAGGAACCGGTCATGTCGGCTGGGCGCACCGTGTCTGGAATATCCAATATGGCCGCTGTCAAGGGTTACATTGTTGCAGCTGCTAAGGCGCCGGGAAGCGACGAACTTGCACTCTATGTCACGGACGATACAATTGTATGGCACCGAGCGGAATTCGGGGACCACAAGGTTGAAGAGGACGCATACACAATCCTCGAGTCTACGAATTACAGCGTTCAGGTCGATGTCATGACCAATAGGTGGACCAACGTCGGGGCTCTATTTACCAGCAACTCTAATGGTACTTACTTCACCAAGAACATCGCCCACACGAACCGCGACCGTGAAGGATACGTCGATTTCGAGAAAATTTCCAATATCCAGGGCATAGTCTTGGTCAACGTGGTCAAGAATTGGGAAGAGGTAGAGAAATCCTGGGCCCAAAAGAAGATCATTTCTCAGATCAGTTTCGACGACGGCAGAACCTTTGAGAACCTCAAAGTCGACGACAAGGATCTACATCTGCATTCGGTCACCAATCTGCGAAACAGTGGAAGAGTGTTCTCGAGCCCGGCGCCAGGAATCATCATGGGCGTTGGCAATACTGGGGAATACTTGAAGCCGTACATAGAGGGGGACCTTTATGTGTCGGATGACGCTGGACTTACCTGGCAATTGGCCCTTAAGGAGGCGCATAAGTATGAATTTGGCGATGCTGGATCCGTTCTCGTTGCTGTCTTTGACGAAGGCGAAACCGACAAGATTTATTACTCACTCAAACACGGTCGACCGGACACCTGGGAGAAATTCGATATGGGATTCAAGTTCAAGGCTTACGAGCTGACCACGATACCGGACTCAACGAGCTTGCAATTTATTCTCACTGGGATAAGGCGCGGGAAGGCCAACGATGCTGAGCACTTCATTTCCTCATTGGATTTCTCAGCGCTCCACGAAGGAAAGTGCAAGAAAAAAGACTTTATCAATTGGAATGCGCGCGTGGATGACGACGGAAAGCCGATCTGCGTCATGGGCCAAGAACAAAGTTTCCGTCGACGGAAATGGGATGCCGATTGCTTTGTGGACGAAGAGTTCAAGGACCCAGTACCCGTCTTCAAAAAATGCGAGTGCACGGAGAAAGACTTCGAGTGTGACTTTAACTTCGTTCCTGAATGGGACGGCGACAAGAAGAAATGTGTCCCCTCAGGCGCTTTGACCGCTCCGGAAGGAGAGTGCGAAGGGGACCAAAATACCTATACAGGTAGCTCCGGCTGGCGTTTGATACCGGGGAACATGTGCGAAGGCGGTTTGAAGAAAGACAAGCCCGAGGAGCGGCAGTGCTCCGACACCAAGGCTCCGCCATCAAGCGGCGACATAACGCAAACCATAACCGAGTTCAAGGGCCAAGGCTTCCGCGAGCATTTCTACTTGGAGCGAGGGGACTTTGCTCATGGAACAGACGAGACCATCATTACGCTGACGAGCGAACGGGAAGCATGGATCACGCATGACCATGGTAAGAGCTGGAAGAAGGCAGTCGATGATGATATTGTGGCTATCTACCCGCATCAGTACAACAACGACTATGTGTATCTAATCACACCCACTAAAAAGGTATACTATTCCGAAGACAGAGGGCAAGACAAGGTCATGAAACATTTCGACGCGCCCACTGCACCGAATACGCAGATGCTGCAGATTATGGGCTTCCATCCAGAGCCAAACCACGCAGACTGGCTTATCTGGATTGGTGCCGAGGACTGCAAAGCTGGGCAAGACGGATGCCACTCTACTGCGTCCGTATCCACGAAGAACGGTCTTGAGTGGAAGGCGTTGACCACTTTTGTCAAGAAGTGCCAGTTCATGTGGCGGGAAGATGGCCGACAGGTCAACGAGAAACTCGTCTTCTGTGAGCAGTACGCCAAGGAGAACCCAGACGAACCGTTGCAACTCGTAGCCAGCGAGGACTGGTTCGAGCATAAGGACGTTCGATTCAACGATGTTGTCGAGTTCGCGACAATGTCTGAGTTCATCATCGTGGCGTCGAAGACGGAAGACCGCAAGTCGTTGAAGCTAGATGCTAGTCTCGATGGGAAGGTGTTCGCTGATGCGAAGTTCCCTCCGAAGTTCAACGTCGACCATCAACAAGCGTACACCGTCTTGGATAGCTCTACGCACTCGATATTCCTCCATGTCACTGTCAATCCAGCGAGGGAGCAGGAATATGGCACGATCATTAAGAGCAACAGCAACGGCACTTCGTATGTTCTTAGCATTAACGATGTCAACCGAAACACTGATGGCTACGTTGATTTTGAGAAGATGCAAGGGATCGAAGGAGTTGCAGTTGTCAACATTGTTGCTAACCGCAAGGCCGTGGATGGTGGTGCGAAGAAGCAGAAGAAAACCAAGATCACCCACAATGACGGCGCCGACTGGGCTTTCCTCACTCCCCCCGAGAAGGACTCAGATGGCAAGAAGTACGACTGCTCCGGCGATCTCAGCAAATGCTCCCTTCATCTACATGGATATACAGAGCGAGGTGACCCACGGGAAACGTTCTCTTCACCGACCGCTGTCGGATTGATGATGGGTGTAGGTAACGTGGGTGAAACTTTAAGTCTGTATGATGAGGGCAGTACTTTCCTGACACGCGACGCCGGGATCACCTGGAAAGAAATCAAGAAGGGCCCCTATATGTTCGAATTTGGCGACCAAGGCTCTGTGATCGTCATTGTTCGAAAGAATGAAGACACTGATCATGTCTACTACTCGATTGATGAGGGTAAGACAGCCTTTCAACTGCACAAGTTCAGTGATCACGCAGTAAGGATCGATTCTATCACGACGGTTCCCAGCGACACATCACTCAATTTTTTGCTATGGGGCAAGGACAAGGGTCAACCGATTACGATTAACCTCGACTTTTCTGGCAAATTCAAGAGGCAGTGCGACCTGGACGAAAAGAACCCTGAAGCTGGTGATTACACTATCTGGATCCCGGGACACCCTTCACAGGAGGACGATTGTTTGTTTGGTCATGTGGCGGAGTACCACAGGAAGAAGGACACCTCCACGGAGTGCTACAACGGGAGGAAGATCGATCATTTGCACAATATTGCCAGGAACTGCACCTGCACCAGGAGGGACTTTGAGTGGTAAGTAACCTTATATATGGGACATGTGAACTTCGAAAGCTGACTTAAATTTAGTGACTACAATTATGAGCGCCAACCCAGTGGCGAATGCACACTCATCCAGGGTCTTTCCGTGCCCGACCCCATCCAGGCGTGCAAAGACAATCCCAAGCTGAAGGAATACTGGGCCATAACAGGCTACCGCCGGATTCCTCTATCCACCTGTAAAGACGGCAAAGAAATGGACCACACCAGTCAAGTACTCCCTTGTCCTGGCTGGGAAGACGAGTACGAGAAGAAGCATGGCATCTCCGGCTTCGGCCTCTTCTTGGCTATCGTCCTCCCCATCCTCGCGGCGTCGGGCGTCGGCTACTGGGTCTGGTCCAACTGGGACGGCAAATTCGGCCGCATCAGGCTGGGCGAATCGGGCCCCAGCTTCGACAGCAACAGTCCCTGGATCAGCTGGCCTGTGGCCACCATCTCAGCGCTCGTAGCCGTGGTGGTCGCAATCCCAATGGTGGTCGGATCGGCGTGGCGCGCGGTGTCGAGCAGGATGGGCGGGGGTTACGGAGGCAGGACATTCACGTCACGAAGCTCTTTTGCGCGCGGTGGAGATTACGCGGTTGTGGACCCGGATGAGGGCGAGCTGCTGGGTGAGGATAGCGACGAGGAAGTGTGAGCTTAAGTCAGGGGAAGATTATAGAAGGATGTGTTTATGGGAGCGCGCTCGGACTGGGGTTTTGCATTGCGTATTGCCTACTGCCTAACTTGTACTGTACCGTACCTTGGAAATTGTACATTTTTCTTACTATCCCTATCTGTGTATGAAGGGTGCTCGGAGATTGGAGTTTCTTGAAATAGGGATGGGGAGTTTGTGTTGATAGGGCGCGGAAGAGAATGTACTGTACAATGCGGGCACGGTATATGATCCGATGGTGATATGATGGTGCGTGGTGAGGTAACAGGTTACACTGCGGAGTCTGGGGGTGGATAGAGCTTGGTTGTCTAGATAGACTGAGCTTGATAAAATATTGTAGTAGATAAATGAGTTGTTGTACGCATACTCTTACGATCCATGAAGAGAGCGACTAGGTCGACTTGATGGCAGATCCTCGAGACCGCCTAGCTTCGCATTACCGCTAGTCTACTCTCATCCATAAAGAAGCACGATTAAGTACCCTGCACTGTGCATTTATTCTCTTTGGGTGCTGAACATAGCCATGGTCGAATACAACGAGCTTCGCTGAGCACGAGCAAGGATTCCGGAGTTCTAGGTGCTGTGTGGAGAGGATGGTGGGATCTAACGTCAAGAGTACAAATTGCATTAGCGTGTGCGTACGCATATCTGACTTTGCAGATAGAGCGGTACGTTGACACGAGTATGTGGACACGACATAGCTGTTGACATACCCTGAGAAACAATAAGAACGAAGGTGATTTTTGAGCGAAACCTTTCTGAGAATAGGTACTACCTAGGTAAGTTGAGATAAAATAGGATCTTTTGGATCATCTTTCTTTGTTGCTAAGCTGGCTGGATTTCACGTAGAGTAACATTCTTGCGGCCGTTATGCCACTTCATACTTGCGCTGCATATAAACGCCTTCTCCAGAAGGCCTCGCCGGCTCCACCTGCGGAATAACTGATTTTAAATTTATGTCCTGGCTTGATATCGCCTTGTTCATAAGTTGAATATCATTATTGAAACGACCTTCACTTTTTTAACCAAGTCGCTCCTAGCTACTATTATCAGAGCGTCTAATGTGCAAGGAACGAAGCAATGACCAGGCATACGAGGACGTGTATGTTTTCTGGTGGAGGAGAGGCCGGAGAAGCGGGAGGTTCGCGCCGACCACAGCGAGAGAGCTCTCGATCATAGTCCATGCAAATACAGGAGTGGTAAAGTCTACGCCCATCGTCAGCTACTTTAGATATCGCAGGAGTGAAGTCGTGCGTACATGTGATGTCGTTGATGTTCGCGAAGATGCCGTGACCAATATTGACAAAGGTTACGAAGCGTGTAATTCCTGCGCCACACACACTGCTAGCTGTTAGAAACATCCACCAAGTGATTGCCCAAGGGAATACTAACACTGTTCCAAGCAAAAGAATACCTGCTACGGCAATTCGATTCTTCAAAGGCATTTGAAGTTGGTATATGATGGGGAGGGGCGAGGCCAATATCATGAGGTCCGTGAGAAACCCACTGATTGACACAGCGTAGTAGAACGGTAGTGTGTCTACACATTCAACTCTCGAATATTCGAAAGTCGTCCAAAGAGTGCGGGGATTTTTACATTGGAACAGGGTTGTGAAGAAGAACGATACCGCCCAGGCCACGACAATGACCATTAGGACCGTATTCACATTCAAGAATCGTTCGTAGACGAAGAAAATTCGGCGGTAGAAACATAAAACAGAGGCCTTGCTAAATCCCAAGGAAGCTAAGGGGAGAAGTTGAAGAGTATAGTTGGCCTACCGTTGTTAGCAACATCGTCCCACGACTGGTACAAGGCCTCACCTTCTCATAGTTCGCTAGGTGTTTTGTGTATACCGGCCCATGAGGACCCATTTCGTTTGTATAATGTTGCGCCATCTCTCCAATCCGTGTCCCTAAAGTGAATAAGTCGCGTCAGACACTGCATGTACAGCAGACCGTATCGTCACCTACCAACGATCATTGTTATAGCCATGCCGACTACGCATAGCTACGAGGTTATCAGCTTGCTGCGTATCTAGGTGGGTCCTTTGGTCTCACTCACCACTGCTGGAATGATCAAGGCATCGTCCGGGCCGAACCTGGCTCTAGATGTACTCAGGTTGCCACTACTAGCGTGTCAGTGGCGTTACATCCTTCCATATCCGTAACAAGGGGGAACAGGGGAGTACCCCCCCCCTTTCATAGGCTATATATACGGGCCTTATGCCTCTTCAAATCAACACAGAACTGCTTCTTCACGACCTGAGAGATGTCGTCCGAGCCCAAAATCTCAAAGCGACAGAGACGATTGCGAGGAGCAGAAACGTCACCGCAAGAGCGATGAAATTGGCGACGTTCCACGCCATTATGCTGCTGATTGTACCCAACTGTTGCTCTTTGGAGGCAAGAAGACCGATATCGCAACTGTCAGATTGTCGCGATCGAACTCGCATTCGAGAAGGTGGGTAGGCGCCTCATATCAGTCAATAGTTTCATTTGGAATAGGGCTCAGGGTCGCTGACAATGGCGTGCAGTGTACCCGGAGTCCAACATATTGCTGCTGAAGGAGGGTGGATCGGTGTCCGTTGTTAAGCCAAGTGTGGTCTATACCAGGCTACACATCGTCCTCCCCAATAGCTTACGCCTGGAAACTCCGCAGTGATATTACCCCGCTGCATTACTACATGGATACACGGAATTGTGCTAGCAGCTGTGCCTCGCTCATAGTGTAGCGGTGCGTACGAATCGTCGCTGCCTTAGCGAACGTCACTGAAATCCGTCTGAACACCACCACAAATCGAACGATGATTTTGTACGAGGAGGATGAAGATTGCGATGCCTCGTCTGTTTGCACTTTATCCGACAATGAAAGCAAGCCCTTCCGGGTGAAGGCAGTCCGATTCAACCACAACAAGAGTTCAAGACTCGTAACTATTTTTGCAGCAATAGGGTACCTCATCTTTGGGGCTCTTTACATCAGCCTCTGGGTCCGCTTCAAAAGATTAGAGTCTAAGGTGCGCACCTTGGAACCCGAACTCTTCCCTTGTAAGCCATCCGGTGCTTTCACCTCTGTAATGGCGCACGTTCTAACCATACTGAAAGCTCTTACGAGATCTCCTGCATTTCGTAGAGACAGTCGTACGTTTCCCCTAACTGTGGCTAGGACACCATTTACAGGTATCCCAGGCCCAGAGCTCGATCAGGCGTGGCATGATCTTTTGAAAGGTTCGCATGTGTGGCATGAGCATTTTGGAATCAGTATGTTGCTCATACAAATTATGACAGACACTACCATACGGGTCGCAAAAGAAGATCTAGACTATTATAATGTCACTTCTTTGCCCTTGGCGGACGGCTCAGGCTTCGCATCTGAGATCTTTATGACTCACGAACTCCATTGTCTAGTGAGTAAACCTCACAATTGGAACTGAAGTATGGGTGAAATAACCGTGTACAACAGAAGAAGGTCCGGCAATGGATATACAAGGAATCGTATTTCGAACACGTGCAAGGACTTGCTCGAAATGAGCTCGAGAGACACGTTCGTATGTTATCATGATCCTTCCCACATTCTCACCCCCTGGCTGACAGTCTCATACTCGGGTTGTAACAGCTACAACCTAGGATCAACAACTCATACGGTTCACGGTCACCTACGTACAGGCACTCCCCCCCTTTCTCTCTCCTTAATTCTCGTTCTTCTTCATTGGTTAGTGGCAGCCAGTTAGAATGCTCCTACGCACATCTGTACACGCGTCTCAGCTGGACAAGGTTCATCTGTTGTTTGCCACTATTGCCACAGTTGCCACCGTTGCTGCCGTTGTAACCGGTGCCACCTGCAATCCCTGTTCTATTCAACTATATAGCCACTCGTTAGCACCTCAATACAACTCATGCTTTCCTCACTGATCCTTTGCCCTTCCTACGCCAGCTGCCAGTTATAAGCCAGGCCTAACGCTACAATCCATCGTTGTATTCTCCTCCTACATCACCTGGCTAGTGTCACGGTCTCGGGCGGCAGGATTGCCCTAGCTAGCTCGGGCAGGTAGGTAGAAGTAATAACTGAATTCACTACGTGTTCTATAATGCACGGCAGGCAGGCGGGTTGAATAACAAGACGTAGCTCAAGGAGCTACAAGGAGGCAGGGCGGCGGTCGGCAGGTATACTCCTGCCAAGGCTCGCATAGGCCCTTGCAACAAGGCCTCTCGCCGGGTCCTAACATCACGTGTTACGCTGTGCAGCAAGCTTCACCGTTCAAGCCGTGACAGCTAGGAAGTCACGTGTCTCGCTACGTTGCCCCTATCAGCTGCTGCACGCACTATTTGCTGCAACACGCATCCACACAGGCATCATCAGTATATTAGTTACCGTTCCTTCAAACCTGACTAGTATGGATTCATCAAACATCAAGCTGCTATCTACAACAAAAGTCATCCTGGCATCAGGACCAGACTGGAAATTGTGGATAGCAGCTTAATACTGGTCCTGATGCCAGGATGACTTTTGTTGTAGATAGCAGCTTGATGTTTGATGAATCCATACTAGTTAAGTTCGAAAGAACGGTAACTAATATACTGATGATGCCTGTGTGGATGCGTGTTGCAGCAAATAGTGCGTGCAGCAGCTGATAGGGGCAACGTAGCGAGACACGTGACTTCCTAGCCAGGTGATGTAGGAGGAGAATACAACGATGGATTGTAGCGTTAGGCCTGGCTTATAACTGGCAGCTGGCGTAGGAAGGGCAAAGGATCAGTGAGGAAAGCATGAGTTGTATTGAGGTGCTAACGAGTGGCTATATAGTGAAGAGAGACCAGGGGTTGCAGGCAGCAACGGTGGCAGACAACAGGTGAACCTTGTCCAGCTGAGACGCGTAGGCAGGCGTGCGTAGGAGCATTCTAACTGGCTGCCAATATTAGGCGCCATGGAAAGAGATTGTTGTAGAGTAATGTAGGTAGAGATGATATTTTCAAACGGGAGGAAATTCGGTGTATGTGTGCCCAGCCTTATGGCGTTTTATAGCGTTTTTAGCGCGGGCAGAAACTTTTGAAAGGCTCCTCCGTAGACGCTCTAAAATAATCGAATAATCGCATAATCAAGAGCGGTTTACTTTTTAGCTGCATACCAGTGGAAATGCCCAGAGAATATTAACACATTTATTTTTACTTGATAGAAATATGGAGCAGAGAATTAAGATGCCTAAGTGATAGATGCATTCCGGCACGGGGTTTCCGCCACCCAGGGAGGGACGTTGGTCTAGGAAAAGCACGTCTTTGATTTATTCATGCATATACAAGGGTAGAATCCTCTCAGAGCAGGAATGACAGCAAACTCCACGTCCAGTGGGAACTGCGCTCAAAGCGATGGATCATCTCACGGTAAACGTTAAACAGACTCCTACAACCACACTGCAAAACCTATGACCACAGCTTGTCATCGTACCCACCTAAACGTGAAGTCCCTTCAAGTTTAACTAACGCAACTCCACGACTCGACCGCCAGGCCGCGTTCGAGACTTCTCATCCAGCGCCATCTCTCTGCAACTTACTGCATCGGTGCAGTGTTCCGCCAGTGCCCCCTTCAGGCAAGCAGCCCGGATGCAACAAAACACGGCACCGATTCGCACCACGACGCGCCGCGTTCGAAACATGCGACCGCGCAGCACACGGCACCCCCCCAATCTCCCCCTAACCCTGCACTTTTCTCTCTCTCCGAGCCTCCGCGAATTCACGTGAGCCGGCCGCGTCGTTGGCCACGGAGGGCCGTCCCGTCGCTGCGCGCAGAGATCGCGACTGGCCCTCTGGCGCCGGCATTGAAGATGCGCACCGCGCGCCGCCCCTGGATTTAAGAGTTTTTCATGCGCAAGGGCAGGCCGGCGCCGGACTGGCTCGCTGGGCGCGCGTTTCCAGGGCTGTGGGCCTGTTTCAGGAGGGTGTGGGCCAATCGAGGGGGCTAGCCCTGAGGCTTGCATGATGCCGGGGGAGCGTCGAAACGGCACGGCGGGTGGCTTTGTTTTTGCTGGCCTATGGGAGGCGGAGGGGAGGTGTTTTAGACTTTTTGCGAAAACCCCTTGGGTGAGACTTGCGTAGGGTAGGGGCCAGTATTTTAGGGCGGGTTGGGGACTCGTATTTGACGCTGCCGTGCGGGAGGAAGCGTGTCTTCCTGCGGTATTGAATTTTGGAGATCTATATGATTCGATGCCTCATCGTGAGTATATACCATTACATGAAGGTCTTCCGTAGGTTTTCGGAGATCGATATACGGCGGAGGTGTATCGCCTTTACGGTCCTGATCACTCGCTAGGCCAGCTCAGAAGAATCAGTGTTCATGCAGACTAGCCGCGGTGTAAGATTCCGGATGTGGTGGTGATGTTGCAGAGGAACGCAAACCACCTACTGCACGTGTGGACGGCTCTGCTCGCCAGGCACTCGGCTTCACCAGAGAACGGGCGCCAGCGCGCATTGGGCTGGCCAAGCTGTTTCAGCTGCGACAAGTCGTCGTGCTGCTCTGGTGTTTACCGCCTCGCCAATGTAGGTACATGTACAGGAGCATCCTCGGCCCCGGCCTCTCCAACGACGGCCTCATCGCTCTTGCTGCCAGCTGCGGACTCACAGTCTTTCTTTTCCTTTCCATCCACCCTCGTTTACATTAAAGCTTCGACAGCGCCCTGAGCCCTGTCTTCCTTTCGTTCCCCATATCCATTCTTCTCTTCACTTCACTCCCTCAATCCGGCATCGTTTGCCCTGCGTGCTGGCACGTTCGACGGCTCGACAAACCCTCTCTACACTACGTGAAACAGAGATCGTTCAACCTCGCTCACTTGCCGCGTCGAAGTAAGTACCAAACACCGCCTCCACTCGATCCGTCAATGCCTTGTCTGTCCGGCGCCTGTTTGCCAATGCTGCCCCAATCTGGAACACCATCTTTGTTTCCTCCACAATGCCTTGTCACTTGACCTATATCTGGCAATGTGCGCGCCGCACATAGGTTGCTGTCACTGTACAATCTGGCATTGTTACCTTCACCTCGCGCTCCATAAATCCTCTCTTCTCGCACCTTCAGTCATCTAGGCCTCCGCTGACCTTGACAACAGCTCTTTCGACATCCCTTCACTAGTGCATTGCTTCAAGCCCTTGTGCTCGACTTTCATTCAAATCACGTGCTCCAGAGGAGTCTATCAAACTTCAACCTTCCTTTCAACATGAGAGTGTCATTCAGCACCACCGCTCTTTTGGCGGCCTTGACTTCTACCGTCATCGCCGCGCCCACCCCCGAAGCCGGGGCCGGGTTCATTTCGAACGTCACTCCTGGCGCCCACCAAACCGGTGGCGACGAGTATGTCGTTATCTTCAACAACTCTCAAGCAAAAGTCCCTCATGTCGCCGAAGTGCTCTCTCGCATTCAGCTAAATGTCGAGCACTCCGACGTCAGATGGACTTTCAACAACTCGGTCTTCCGTGGCTTCGCCGCCAACATGAAGTCCCATTGCATCGACGCCCTCAACGCCATGGAGGATGTTGCTCACGTCGAGAAGGCCGTCGAAATTTCTTCGTACGACACCCGATCGGGCGCCACCTGGGGCACGCAGCGCATCTCAAGCTCTTCGGCAGTACAGGGCTCCGCGACTGACCTCGATTTCACGTACGACTTCGAAGGCACCGACGGAACACAGGGCCAGGGTGTCGATATCTACATCGTAGACACCGGCGTTCGCGTTACCCATGGCGTTTTCGGAGGTCGTGCTACGCAAGGTTTCTCTGCAGACAAAACTGACAACACTGATGGCGATGGCCACGGTACGCACGTAGCTGGTACTGCTGCTGGTGCCGTCTTTGGTGTAGCTTCCGGCGCGAATATCATTGCAGTTAAAGTTCTCAACGCGCAAGGCACTGGCCCGCTCTCTGACAGCGTCGCGGGTATTGACTGGGTTGTTGACCAGCACAACCAGCGCAAGTCCCAGCCCGGTTTTGTTGGCAGCATCATGAGCATGTCGTGGGGCGTCGGAAGCGTCTCCTCGTCAGTTGACTCGGTCATCAAGGCTGCCAGTGCTGCTGGAATTCACATCAGTGTGGCAGCTGGCAATTCGGGCGCCGATGCCTGCAACTCCAGCCCTTCGGACAACGGCGGGACGAACAGCGCTGTCGTCTCCGTGGGCAGCATCGACATCGACGACGGCATCTCTACCTTTTCCAACACTGGGAAGTGCACCGATATCTATGCCCCGGGCAAGGACGTTATCTCTGCGTGGAACACCGCAGACAACGTCATCAACACTCTCAGCGGCACCAGCATGGCTTGCCCCCACGTCACCGGTGTCATGGCTTATATGATGGCTCGGGATGCCCAGCTCGCTGCCGACCCAGCAGCTCTCAAATCTGCCCTTCTCTCTGCAGGTTTGAAGGGGGCTCTCACGGGTAACACCGAAGCAGGTGATCAGAAGATCCTTGTGTCCAACGGGGAGACAAGAACCGTGAAGAAGGCAAAACGTACCGTAACCAGCAATATCGCAACCTGGGCCAAGGAGCTAGTAAAGACCACGGAGATTAAGAGGGGGGACCTCAAATTCGCGCTCAAGAGCAGGAAAGCGTCGCTACGTTACTGAAGTCACGACCGTCCCGAGTTGGCTCAGCTAGTTTCCCGATAGTTGTACTTGCTCCTTCCACCCTACACCCTACTCCAACGCACCTTCCTACTGAAGCGACACCTCGTGTATCTGCTTCGTAGACCTAGGAATACCTACGTGCTTGTTCTTTTTATTTCGATTCTTGTATGTTTGGCAGGCCATAATGCCTTAATGGCTCTAATTTCTCTGCATGGCGGTCCGGCGGGATTTTGTGGAGGGGATGGTTAATAAGGAAAGCATGTGGTTGAAAAAATGTCTGGGAAGGTGGTTCCCGGCACAAGGCTCGAGATAGCCAATGAAATCATAATCATTTAAAGTTCAATATGTGTACGCTTGTTTGTTGATAAGTGAAGTGCTTCGATATATTGAAAGAAATCCGGTCAAAATGGAAAGTGTGCACACCTATCTGCAGCTGTATGAAGTTCAATCAATTTCCAGAAATGTACCTGTGTTTCAACTTCATGCACTTGTCTAACATCGTTGGATTTGCTTCGAATTGGCTACAAAATTCTAGAAGACATCTAAATCAATGATGACCGATCTTTTGCGTAAATTGAGCGTGGATGTGTTCGCTTTGGTGACGTGATAGACTTCTAGAGGCCTTATAGAGGGCACGGATATTTAGATTAGACGATCTTGCTTTCTACATGCTTTAAATCAGGCGTGCAGGTTTGGGAGAAGTGGGAGGTTGTGAAGTGCTTCTGAAGTGTGGGTTGGAGGAAGCTGTGAATGTACTAAGAAGTTGCTAGCGTGCTGAGATCTACGCGAGAGGTTTCATCTGGTGGAGGACACCTGTGCCTGTTGAAGCTCTCCGTGACGCGGCTTGAGAGCAACCCACGATTCTTCAATCCCACCTCCTCCCTTTTCAATCATGGCCACCTCACCAGTGGACCCGTTGCTCAAGCAGTTCACCGGTCCGAATACTCAAGGCTTGCTCAGAGTTATAATTCTGTTCACAATCGCTGCTGCAGCAGTATCGAGTCGGCTCTTCAGCGTTATTCGGTTCGAGAGCATTATCCACGAATGTTAGTCCCCCCGGAGTACCTCGACTCGGAACTGTGCGCAAGCTCAATTGACTAACTATTGTGTATAGTCGATCCCTGGTTTAACTTTCGGGCGACGAAATATCTTGTCCAGAATGGATTCTACAGCTTTTGGGATTGGTTTGACGACCGTAAGCCCCCTCCTTTGATCTCGCCATACTGGATATTCCATTATAAAGGAGGTCAATTGCTGATCTGAATTGCTCCTTAGGAACATGGCATCCGCTTGGTCGAGTTACAGGAGGCACTCTCTACCCCGGCTTGATGGTAACCAGCGGCATCATCTACCACGTCCTCCGCTTCCTTACCTTTCCCGTCGACATTCGGAACATTTGCGTCTTGCTTGCGCCGGGCTTCTCAGGCCTGACGGCGTTTGCGACATACCTCTTGACCAATGAAATGGTCGCTTCCCCATCCGCTGGTCTCCTCGCCGCAGCTTTCATGGGCATCACACCAGGCTACATCTCCCGTTCGGTGGCTGGTAGTTACGATAACGAGGCCATCGCCATTTTTCTACTAGTGTTCACCTTCTACCTCTGGATTAAAGCTATCAAGCTCGGCTCGGTCTTCTGGGGCGCGTTGACCGCCCTGTTCTACGGATACATGGTCTCGGCGTGGGGTGGATATGTGTTCATTACGAATTTGCTGCCTCTGCATGCTTTCGTCCTGATCTGCATGGGACGGTATAGCCCGAGGCTGTACGTGAGCTATACCTCGTGGTATGTTCTTGGGACGCTTGCAAGCATGCAGATTCCCTTCGTGGGATTCCTGCCGATTCGGAGTAGCGAGCACATGGCTGCGCTTGGTATGTGTTCCTGATTAGAGCATCTTTGAACCTACTCTAACCCCTGTAGGTGTCTTCGGTCTCCTCCAAATCGTCGGTTTCGTCGAATTCGTGCGGAATCAGCTCCCAAGCAGGCAATTCCAGACTCTCCTCCGAGCCCTCGTACTTGTAATCTTTGCGGTGTCGTTCGGAGGCCTTGTCCTGCTTACTGTCACTGGTGTTATTGCTCCTTGGAGCGGACGTTTCTACTCTCTGTGGGACACAGGCTACGCCAAGATCCATATTCCCATTATCGCCTCCGTCTCCGAGCATCAGCCAACCGCCTGGCCGGCCTTTTTCTTCGATTTGAGCATGATGATCTGGCTCTTCCCGGCCGGTGTCTACATGAGCTTCCGCACACTGACCGACGAGCAAGTCTTTATCGTCATCTACGCTGTGTTTGCTAGTTACTTCGCTGGCGTCATGGTCCGGTTGATGTTGACCCTTACACCAATTGTTTGCGTTGCTTCCGCAATTGCATTCTCCCAAATTCTGGACACTTATATGAGCGTAGATAGTCCGAAGCCTGAGACCCAAGCAAATGGAACACCTGCTTCGGCAAGCGTAGCAGCAGCTTCAGCTATGCTACCCGACGGGCTACGCTCTACCCGAAACCCGATCGTTGGGATCTACTCATATTCGTCAAAGATTACGGTTGTCGGAGCTTCCACCATCTACCTTATGCTCTTTGTTATGCACTGCACATGGGTCACTTCAAACGCCTATTCCTCTCCTTCAGTTGTTCTGGCCAGCAGACTTCCCGACGGAAGCCAGCACATCATCGATGACTACCGAGAGGCTTACTACTGGCTCCGCCAGAACACGCCCGAAAATGCCAAGATCATGAGCTGGTGGGATTATGGTTACCAGATTGGAGGAATGGCAGACCGCCCAACCTTGGTTGACAACAACACATGGAACAACACCCACATTGCCACCGTTGGTAAGGCGATGAGCTCAAGAGAAGAAGTCAGCTACCCGATCATGCGTCAGCACGAGGTCGACTATGTGCTCATCGTGTTCGGTGGTCTTCTTGGCTACTCTGGTGACGATATCAATAAGTTCTTGTGGATGGTACGAATTGCGGAGGGCATCTGGCCGGATGAAGTTAAGGAGCGCAACTTTTTCACGCAAAGAGGCGAGTACCGGGTTGACGACGAGGCTACGCCAACCATGAAGAACAGTTTGATGTAAGTTCTTCCTCTCTATCATTTGTAGCATATGCTGACTGCCATATCAGGTACAAGATGTCCTACTACAACTACAACGCGCTGTTCCCCGCTGGACAGGCACAAGACCGTGTCCGAAACACGCGGCTACCCGCAGAAGGGCCTCAGCTCACCACCATCGAAGAGGCGTTCACCAGCGAGAACTGGATCATCCGAATTTACAAGGTCAAGGACCTTGATAACTTTGGTCGTGATCACGGGAGCGCTGTTGCCTTTGACAAGGGTAACAAGAAGAAGAGGGCGCATAAGAGGAAAGGCGCGAGGACGTTGAGAGTGGAGTGAGATGGCCATTTATTCGGGTTGGTATTCTTACCGTTGAGGATTTTGGGAACTGTATCAACAAGCGTCACAGGCATGTGGGGGCGTTTGGAAGAATAAAACGAATAGGTCTGTACAAGAAGCAGTTGGGCCCAGGATTATGTGACTGTATTCCAAGTGGCCTATGTTCAGAACTTCACGGCAATTGTGTCTTCTAGGTGGGTATACTGCCTTCTGAGTACTGGTAGATGACATTGTCCGAAGTCGCCTGGCGAGTTTACAGGTAGTTAAAGCGGTTTCACTTGCATCCTGTTCAAATTTCCAAAAGATTATATTGGCATACCTCAAACTGCGACATCCAAGTGTACGCCAATCTCTTTCCTAATACTGTAGACCTGGTAGAAGCACGGAGTAGAGTAATATGAGGACAGGCAGAGGATTTTTTTTTGGTCGTCTGAAGCTTTCCTAGCTGTGACTGTTCGCTGACTTGCTATACCGGAAGGGTGAGGTGAAGTGATCGAAGATCCAATTTGCCCCATCTAAGCGTTGGATCATCACCTCCGACATTATCCTCCTCCTGCACCATCTTAAGTCCTTATCGGTCCTGCCTTGTCCTCGTTACTTTCATTGGCGCGTGACCAGACGCCGCCCGTGCGACTTCCTCGTTCCACGGTCCACCTCCAGACGTCTCTCCGACAATCCACCTCCAGCTTGTTCTTTCTTGCCCTTGCTATCCTGTGTGAGCTCCTGCTCCTTCCATCGCCCATATCGACTCTTTTCCAGAGCGGGCGCGAGTCCGGAGTGCACGATGGCAGACCAAGCTTACAACAATGCCTTGAATGCCTATTACGCAGCCTATGGTGCCGCCAGCGGGCAGCAGCAGCAATACTACTATCCCGTGTAAGCCCTGCTTATATCTGACCTAGACGCGCGCAGCTAACAGCTATGTCTTAGAGTCCCGCCGCCTCCCCACGGCGCTCCCACGCCTCTGTCGCAGCGGGTTGATTCGTCAGGTAATCCAATGCCTCAAGACAACAACAGCAGCAGACAGATAGCAACGGTGACGACGGCCGTCACAATGCAGCCTGCACAACACAGCCAAGTAGTCCCGCAGGGCAGCCAGTCAGTATACTATTTGGTTCCTGGTTCTGCTCCTGCACCAGCACATCCTCCTGCCCCTAATCCACCGACCCAGTTATTGTATCCAGCAAGCGCGCATCGCAGAAAAAGCTTTGGTTTATTGGACGCGCTCGCCATGTCATTGATTGACGAAAAGAAACTGCGCAGGGTCAAGATTCGTGCCAGCTCCACACCGACTTATGTAGCTCTCCCTCGAGCGTATCCTCCGCCAACGCCTCAATATCAAGCCGGATACCCGTATCAGCAGCAACCACCACCGCAGAATCAATTGGCCGTGGGTCCGTCGACGTGGCACGAGGGATATGTATATCAGAATGAGGTGTCACCATCGCCATCAAGGTCGTCCTCCGCTACGCAGCCACAGGCGGAGAGAACACACGAGTATGAGTACTTCCATTATCGTGAGCAGCAGCCGCCTCCTCAACCAGTACCTCCTCCCGCTCCTCAGCCGCCTCCGGCATTACCCCTGGCCCACGTCATGCACTGCCATGTCTGTATCAAATGCAACCAGCCGCGCTCTAGGAAGTTCCACCATCACTTCCCGGTCATCCCAGGCCAACCCACGATCCAAGGCATTTGCGCGAAGTGCGACAAGAAAGAGCGTGGAAGACCCCGTCGTGTCATCCGCCGAAAAAGTATTGTCCGCCGCAAATCTCCAGAGGAGCGTGAGATCCGGATCCAGATCACGAGCCCTGATCGTGAGCGCGGACGAACTAGAGGCAAATCTACCAGCTCTGAGAGGATCGTTGTTCGGCGAGTACGCTCCTCAAGTCGCGAGGCGCCTCGTGCTCGAGGGCACAGCAGGACGAGGATCACACTTCGTACCTCTTCCACTTCACCAAGTCCAGTTCGAGAGGTCCGGACGCGGATCGTTCATCGTAGCTCGTCAAGTCATTCACCAGAGCGAGAAATCATCAAGACAAAGACAGTCCGCGAGAGCGTCCACCGCGCGCTCGACGCTTACCGATCTAATTCTCCCTTCGGACATCGCCCGCATACACGGTCTCCTGACATCGAGGTCACAGAATACTTGACGCGCGAATCGCGCGCAGCTGCAGAGAGGCGTATAGCATCTCATCCCGAGGCGTTCCGCTACAGTAATCGCTCGCCCTCTCCGTCTCCGCCTCCAGTCCTTCGACGACGTGACAGATCTAGGGCGAGGGGTATACTGCGTTCGTTGAGTCATACGCGCTATGAGAGTCCTCCGCGCCAGAAGTCGTCGCGTATGAGCAAGGAGAGCACGATGGTGGAAGTAGGCGGACCTAGAGTTCAATTCGCTTCACAACCGCCATCGCGACCACGTTCCGTCACGGAGAGCAGTACCGAGTTCTGGCGAGGCCGATCACGGGAGAGGTTGTATGGAGGTGACGCACATTTCAGCAGGGACGAGACGCCGTCTGGTAAGTCTCTATGCATTCATTTACCACCGCTTGGATTGCTTCGACATCTTATCTGGGATAGCATGCTAATCCCATCACCTACAGGCACACGGCTCCAAGACTACAACTACTACCAACCACCCTCTTCTCGCAGCCCCGTCCCCCGTCCCACCCCTTTCAGCCCCCCACCAGCCGATCCCGTCAACCGACTCGAACTCGAACTCGAGCGCACTCGCATTTCAAAGGACGAAGGCTTCTTCCGCCCTACCCCGGGATTCCGCTACATCGTGCCTATCCGCGAGCCGACACCACAGCCGCCTACTCCGCCTGCTCCGCCTGCTCCGCCTGCTCCGCCACCTACCAAGCCCCCGTGGGAGGACGGCACCGACTCTGGAACTAGTGAAAATGGGACTGTGGAGTTCGTTGATGTGAAGGAGGTTTGGGGACATGACGAGGATGGGCGGCCGGCTAGGTTTGTGGAGGAGACGAGAACGGTGAGGGTGCCGGATAGGAAGGATGCGATGAGTGTGCAGCAGTATAGAGATGTGTAAATGGGTGTGAGGGTGAGTGGTACGGGGAGACGGAGTGTAATGGACTGCGAATGCGGTTTGGGCTTTGGTTGTTGCGTGAATCAAGGGAAGGGAGGGGAGGGGTGTGAGGGAGGTAGGTAATGCAGGTATCTTTATTCTTGAAAGATAGATTGGAATGGGAAGGGTTCACTCTTTATAGACTTGTGAAGCCTCCTGTGGTCTGGTATCTTGTCTGATATGGCGGCTGATATCTTGCGTATTGCAGGCTGTCTCTCCTCCCTGCCCCCCCCCCCCCCCCCTTACCCTGGTCTCCGCTTTCTCTCTCTAATTGCTGCTTATAGTGAAGGCTCCCACCGTGTCATGCTCTAAACAGAACCAATCCCCGCATCCCACCTTATCAAAAACTAGACTTAAACCTAGCAAGTCCCTCTATCACACGCCACTCCATCACCAACGAAACGCCTAGATTGATACCACGCAACCAATACCGATCCTAGAAGTCCAGCAAATTACCCTCTGTCAAGCGCCTGCGATTAACTTGTGGATACATCCACCGAGACACGCGAACAGGATCCAGCGCTCATAGAACACGATAGACCCCCATGATCTTGTTGCTGCTTGTTGGCGTTGTACATTCCCGGTATCATGTCGTTCAGTTTCAGGTGAAGTACCACGATACATTTGTGTGTATAGAGTGTGAGAAGCGGGCGGATAAGCAGATATGAGAGTCCGGGCGGGGAGCCATGGTAGCGTTGTGAGGAGGGGGACCTGCCGGGGGCATGTGGGCGAGTTGTTTAGGGTAGAGTGGAATTGATGGCGGTGGGGCATGGAGATGCTAGAGTAGAGGGTTGGGAGGATAGGAGGCGTGGAGGAGATGGTAGAATGTAGAGCAGCGTTGCAACTGAGTTAGGTTTGAGAGCTCTGGCAGAAGGCGAGGTGGATGATCCGTCCGTTCTTATTGAGCTCAAGTTGCTAAACGGAGTAGGAGGTATGCTCCACGTCTAGCAAACAACAGCACGGTGCCATTAAATGGATGATCACGCATCACGTTCTGAGTTTATCTCAAAACAAAGTCCCAGACCAAAGACAAATAGCATTCTATCCAACTACTAACAAAATCCCGTCACTGAAATGCAGTAAACCAGCCCAGTTATCAAGTTGCCCTTCTCGTGCCGTTGTTGAAACGCAGAGGACCCCTCCAGCTCTCGACTTTCCCGCCTCGTCCCCTCAGTAGCACCTCACTACTCCATGACCTCTCCACGAGACTTCCTCCCATCTCGTCCCATCACAGTAGTACTAACTCACTTCTCCATAGCATTTTCTCCATGAACCTTCCTAACGTGCTCATCACGCTTGTCTTTGCGATAGAAGGGTCCGCGTCCTCTACCCTCGAGACCTCTTCCACGAGCCGCGCTGCGAAGACAGGTAGCGTCATGGCACCAATGCTCAGACTCTTCAGCCTTGATGTGGACGTTCTTCAGGTGACGCTCCATGTCTGGGAGACGTTTGAAGACTTCCGGGCAAGGCTCGTGCCATGTGCAGGGCCATTTGGTTGGTGTATCGATGTTATCTGGGGAAACGAGAGCGGCTCTGCGGGTGCGTAAGAGGGCGACTAGGGAGTGATAAGGAAAGGTGCAGGGACGGATGTATGCACATACCTTGAAAAAAACTTAGCTATACGGACCGAATGGTTCCTAGGTACAGTTAGTTGAAAAAAAAAAAAACCTACCAGGCATCCAAATGACCGCCACCAGCCTGACTAGGCAAGGGCAGATCATTCGGAGCAAGGTATGGTTGGCCCCAAGCAGCCGAGAGGTCCTGGAGTGGCATGGTAGAGGCTGTGTCGATGACCGGCTGCATGAATGTCTCATGCTGGAGCTGAAAGGGCGACGAATGAGCGGCGCCATGGAAGCCAGGGTGGGTGTTCGGAAAGACGTCTTGGGTGGAGGCTGAGCTGGCAAAAGGGCTCTGAGTTGGCATAACGGAGGCTCCGGCGGTGAAGGACTGTATGGCGGCCTCGTCTGAATTGCGAAAGGGCGGCCAATCAGCGTCCTGGTAGATATTGGTGCCCATGTCGCCCTGAAGGTATGTTGACTCCTGAGCGGTCGAGGTGGCAGGCGCAACGTTGAGGGCGTTGATGGCTTCGGCGATGTCCGCATCGGTCAGGAAGGGCGACGAATCGAAGGTTTCGTCCAAGCTGAGGTGCCTCTCGAAACTGGCGAAGTTGGCATGGGAGGAAGCCGTCGTGGGCATCGTGTCGTCGTAATCTTTGAATTGATTGGTGTAAGATTGGCTGGGGTCCATGGTGAATCGTACGGTGGTCGTGGATTTGGTGAGCGGGAGCGTTGGGGGATGGCCTTGACTTATGGATTTGGGCCGCGGAATTTGATTACAGCGTAACAAATTGAGAGATTTTGCATACTCACCTTGTCTGCTGTTATTGAAGTCTTCTCTCACTCTTCAGAACAAATAAGCTTGATGAACGAGAGGATAGTAAGACAGTCGTGAAAATAATAGCATTTGTGGGTATATAAATATCATCCAAAAGACATTGCAAACCATCAAACCTCGTGCTTAGAACCTCGCGGTATTTCTTTTCCGTTCTACACCATAACAATACACCTCACCCGTACTTCAATTCTCATGAGCAAAAATGTTCAATTCGATATTGCTCTCCAGCAAATTGCAAGCGACAACCTTGCGGGAGCAATCCCCACAGAATTCGTGCTCACAGTCCAAACAGCTGGTATATAGCTTGCTAGAATATGGCCCTAGCGTACATTGACACTGTAGAGAGCGAGGTTAGCAACCACTTCCCGGAGAGTTGCGTGAGGCGTGGTGGACTTACGCAGTAGCGAACTATTTCCTTCCTCTTTGCCGGGAGTCTTGCGGAGGATGAAGACGAGATTGGATCGGTGCTCAAAAGCCGTTTACGAGGATTAGAAGAGCGCGCCGGTGATCCGTCAACCAAGATCGGAGATGTGTTAGACCCATCAGGTGGAGTTCGGTGCTGACTAGCTATCGACTGGCTGGCTGAAGGGCTATCATCGTCCTGACAATCTTCCCCGCCGGCATCATCATCGTAATCAAAGCAGTTTTTATCCATCTCCTTCATCACTTCTTCCTTCGTCTTCCTCGCCTCCAGACACAACCAGGTGGTGATGTCCTTCTTGTCTCTGAAATGCTCATCGATGTGATTGAACCGTTCATCCCATGCTGCAGAACGCTTGTTCTGTAACGGAATGATCTTTTGACAGAATCCACACCAGAACTGGCCCTGGCCGTTACGGCCGATGCGACAGGACTTGACTTCGTTTGCGGCTTCTTCGCCGATCACGGTATGTTTCTCCTTGAGATGCTCTTCAAACACCTCGCGGCGGTAGAAGAGCTCGGCGCAGCAGGACTGCTCTTTAGACTGTTGGCAGCGCCATGTCTCGAGTTGGAAATGCTGGGAGTTTTCGTGGCGCTTCCAATCGCTCTTGGAACCGAAGCTTCTCTTACAATTCGGAAAAGTGCATCCGTATGGCCGAGTATGTCGCTTCATGTGTTTCCTAGATTTCATTAGCGATGGGAAGGATGATCAGGAAGTTGAGACGCATGCTCACTTGAGATCACATCTACGAGGCAGAGTTTTGTTGCACTCCGGGCAAGTCTCATTACTGCCAGAAAAAGGCCTTTGTCGTTGACCAACCAAGTTCTTATGACCTTTGTCTCGCTTGATGGCCTTTGCCAAAGCTTCAAGGCCCTTCACTAGGTCGGCTTTCGACATAGTTTCGAGGCTACCTTCTGCCGAATCGTCTGATGATGAAGATCGATCGTTATCAGAGAGATTGCTATTGGAATCATTCATAGAGAGGGGAGAATCCTTTTTGTCTAGACCAGTGGCACGGCTGAGGAGACGCCAGACCGCTTTATCCAGGGATTTCCCTTCGGTATTTTCCGGAATCTTCGTAGCAATGTATTTTGAGACTTCGCCAAGAACGGCTCTCTTTCGCTGCTCCGCCTTGGTTTGAGGCTCTCCAGATAGAGCTGTGGGCCGCTGAGGAAGTTTGCCTGCTGATGGGCTACCTGAAGAAACCTGAGGAGGCGCATTACAGGCAACGTCAGCCAACACTCCTAGGTTGGTGCTTGTTGAGCTACTTCTCCACGGACTAGGGGTGTTTCCTTCCATGTGATTAGACTGGCCATTGTCAGATTGCCTGTAACCAGAGGGCATTCCTTGGTCGGGATGCTGAGAAGATGAGGTATAGTACTCGTGATTTGTGGATGGGTGATTATCATCAATTTCGAAGTCATGACTAACATCTAGATCGCCCCAATGCTGTGGAGTTTGATCGGACGTAAGGCTTGCGGCTCCAGAAGCAGTGTATGACGGCATTGAGAAGCTCTCGAAACCAATGCCGGCAAGTGTCGTATCCATAGGTGCTACTGACAAGGGTTGAGGAGTTGGAGAGTCCGAGCGTTGGCTCTCATGACATAAAGATCTGATAACGTCAGTCATCACGTTCATCACAGCCTTAGCTTCAGCTTACCGTCTGATCAGATCCTCAACGTTCTCATCCTTATGCATTCGATGTATGTGCTGCTTGAAGTTGTCCAGCCGCGGCCATATCTTCCCCCTATTTCTACAATGCTCAGACGCACACTGGTATGACTTCGTGGCAGCGCCCACGGTGATGTTGTGTACGCTTTTTTTGTGCCGGTTCAGGTCGTTGATTGTGGTGAACCCTCTCGTACCCCTTCGACAGTTTCTGATGTCACATTTATATGGTTTGACATGCTTGAGGTGATGCTTCCTGTAGGACGTATCAGCTTCGGCTAGCAAAGAAATATGCGATGCTCCTACTTCATCTCGGATTTACACTTGGCTACGTCGCCGCACTGTGGACATGTAAGAGCTTTGAGATTGAGATTCCTGGCTTTGGTAGGCTTAGTACGATCGGTTTTTTCAGCTCGGAAATGATTCGTAGGACGAATGGATCCAGGCGCAAAATTGAACTCAGTCAAACGGAAGTCGATGCTTGCTGGAACATCTTGATTGTACTCTGCAGGTTCCATGCTTGCAATGGATTGCGTTGCGGGTTGTGAAAGAGTACCGTAGCCAGAGTCCCCAGCTACGCCAGTTCCAGTACTCTCAAGCTCTGAACCAGGATGATCACGGTAACTGTTGAACTCCAGGTTAGGAACTAGGTTTGAGGGCATGGTTCTCCCATCCTTCGGGCCAGGAACACGACCTCGGAAAACCTTCTCGGGATTCCATGGGCTGGCATCTTCGGCGTAGAAACGAGCTATGGGATCAGGAGCCTGGTGTAAGTTCGACGTGGACATTCTACTGTGCGATCGGGCAACACTAATGAGTCCATTATCCAGGCCAGGGTCTACGGGATTGATATTCTCAGCAAGGCGGACGGGACGGCTGGCTTGACTATAGTTATTTTCAGACCGAGATGTCGAGGGAGTTCTCCTTCTTGATTGCAAGGGATCTATGCTAGAGGAAGGGCGAAGGCCTAAGCGGCCCGGAGCCCCGATGCTTTGCCCCCATTGCGGATGCAAAGCGTTTGCTGAGGAGGGCGTCGAGGCATTGAAGTACTTATCTCGTCAATAAAGGAAGCCTGTTATAAAAGGGCCTTGGGTGCCTACATCGGTTGGTGCAAAACTAAACTGGGGTAAACGCTCTTGTTGCGACATGTCCGATCTAGTCTAGGACATGTTAGCCCTCAAAGTCACAGGGGTGCAACAGGACTCGTCGATGTTTGCTCAGTAGGCACAAGGACTTGAGAAATACACGACCGCAGTCGATGAGCGGTGACGGAGATGCTCAAGAGAGACAAACGCAAAGCTGAACGGAAGAAAGCGACCTACCAAAGAGAGCGCCTGCAGCCTTGAGCCTAATGAGAAGCCTTAGACAGGCGCGGAGAGGTCAACAGGTCGAGGTCGACGGCGGTGCGTCAAGGAGGGTGCATTAGTACTCCGGCGTCCACACCGCTTGGAGGCTGACACGAGTGAAGTGCTCTCGAGAGAGGGACGTAGCGCAAGCACCAGGCTCAACGCAAGCGCGAATAATTGGCTGCACAGGGTCGCCGGTGTGGGAAACTCGTAGAGGTGTCGAGGAGGACAGCGGCGGTGATCGGATGCGGAACTAATGGGTGCAGAAAGTGCGCGGCAGACTTCAGTGGGGGCTCATGGCTCTGGCAGGCAGATCGAGTGAGGCTCCCTAGCTCATGGTGCGAGCATAAAGGGCGGCCTCCGCGCTGTGGTTCCAGAAGAAAAGAAGGCAACCGATTTGCCTTGTTGCTGCCTGCGTGGGCGCCCTCCGGCTTGGGTGACCGGCGCCTTGCTTGGCAGTCCCTCAAGGTGGCTGAGTCGACGCCCTGCTGCCCTCTTGTCTCAACTCCCGCCCGCAGAGTATGCATCGTCACCGATCGTGGCACGAATCCGAGATCTGGATGTCCGCGCCTACGTATGTCCTCCCCGTCGACCTGCTGGAGCCACGGCGCTTGATTGCAGTATATCTTTCTCGGAACGCCCCGCCCGCCCTCGTTTCTGCTGGCGCATGGTGCATGGTGTAGCGCCATGCATCAATCGAGGCGGACCGGCAGTGTCTGCCACATGTTGCCAGGTTCAGGCTCGAAAGCGGGCCCGTTCGTGAACTTTAAATGCCGCATGGCACCTAGTGTCTACCTGCCAAAAGACCAATCATTTGAAACTGGAGATTACTATTCCGATTGGTAAATGTTGGCCTGAGAGAGGGAGGTATCTACGCTCTGTCTCTAGAAACCCCAAGAGAAACCCGAACGCCTATTAGATCCAAGTAAAATCATACAACAGAACGCTCATAAAGAAGGACATAATCACTCCGTTGTGCTCTAGCCCCGCGATGCTATGAGAACAACAAATCGGTCTATGATTGATACATTTCGCTATCATGACATTAAGACGTAAACATCGTTTCCATCAAGAAACATCCACCACTACATGTTCCCCTAAATAGCCGAAGCACTTCCCAAAACGGTCGGTAGATATCATTGCCCCTGGTAGGGATAGTTTTGTTGCTGCTGCTGCATGTACTGAGGCATTTGCTGGTACCCTGCCGACGAGTATGGAACACCGCTGCTCTGGTCATACCCAAGACGGGCATCACCATTCAAACCAACTGGAGGTGCTGCGGGAATGCTCTGTGGCTCATTTGTAAAGTACGCTGACGGTATGTCATTGGAATATGGCGTTGTGTCAACCGGGGAGGAGAACACCTGTGGTTGTCCATATGTTGCTGAAACCGGAGTGATTGGGGCATATTGCGCAGCGCTATTTTGCATGTTCCCACGGTATGCTTGGTTCGATGACTGTGCTCCATTGCCCTGAGGGCTGCGTTGCCTGGTGTCAAGCAGCCCCGGGTACGAGCGCACAGCAAAGCTCTGCGTTTGGTCAATGGGAAAGCTGAACGATGGGTTCTGTGACTGTTGTTGGCCACGGTACGCAAATTGTGGCGGTGGATACGAGTGCATGACCGGAGCCGTGAGACTAGATTGGGAAACATCTGACGAGTATTGCGCGTAGGTTGCTGCGTCGAATCCAGCACCAAGTTGTGGCATCGCAGAGCCCGGATTGTACCTGGACGGATTGTCGTTGGGCGATCTGATCGGTGTAGGAATCTGGTTTCTAGCATGCTCGGGCATCTCTACGACCGGGCTAATGATGGTATCTGCATTGAGATGCTTCTGCTCCACAAGAGGGAGAATCGGCATGCTGATCTGTTCCATGTGCTTCGCCAGATGCACTGTCAACTTCTTCCAACTGTTGAGGATATTACCGCAGAATCTGCAAGGCTCATCCTTAGGCTGTTTCGTAGTGTCCTGACGACACTTCTCTACTAGAGCCCAGACATCGTCCGAAGGGTCCTTCGAAGTCTGACTTCCACTAAGAAAGCCGCCTGACCAGGCGTTGTCCGGATGTGCAGATGTGTCACGCGCTGTACTGTTTCCCGACCGACCTGTGCGTGCTCGTGGCTCAGCAATCTTGTGCTCACGAACGAGATGTTGCACGAAGTTGTCTTTGCGGTAACAAGTGTGGTTGCAATCGGCTACAGAGCATGTCCAGTTTTCGAGTTGTCGATGTCGCTCGTTCTCGTGTCTGACCCAATCCGCTTTGCGCTTGAACGACTTGGGCTCACCGCAGTTCGGGAAAGTACAAGTGAAGGGCTGAACGTCCTCATGCACATGTTTCGTCCAATCAGATGGCTTGTAGAACTTCTTGACTTTGAAGCACAGGGGGCATTCAAACTCGGCTGGCAGCCTTTTGACAGGAGGCAATGGAACACCCTGTGGGAACTGCGCAGAGATGACGGTTCCTTCCGGGGCGGCCTCGCCATCATCGTCCGACGCTCCAGGGGCTGTGATCTGGAATCCAATGAAAGGTGCATCGGAGTCCTTGTTGCCCGCCCGAGGAGGCAGCAATTTCGACTCCCCACCGAGAGCCACACAGAACTCTTTCGTGGACGCGCACTTCTTACTCTTCACAGCATTTAGATGCTTCACTTTGAACTCTAGGAGTCGCTTGTACCGCCTCATCTGCTCCTGCGTGATCCTTTCGACCATGTAATCCACTAGCCTTGGGTTAAGTTGTCTGGCATGGGTTTTGAAACCTTCGTAAGTGGGTATTATGGGATCCGAACGGACTTTGAGATCCATAATGACCGCTTCTGATAGACCTTCGTCGTCCATGTTGTTTTCGTCGTCGTCGCCGCCAGGGCTTGGAAGTGGAGAATTTTTGGTTGCTTCGGCGTCCGCTAAAGGTGATGCAAGTGTCAGCATCGGTGGTCCACCGTGTTGTGTCATCAGTTCGGCAAGGCCAGGTGATTTGCCTAAGTCACTCCTGCTCCTGCTTCGTCTAATGGCGTTCTTGGCATGCGCCCACGGGCCCGACGTAGCAGACAGATTACCAGAGCCCGGAGGACCAACATCCCTAGTGTTTTGTGCTACACTGGTATCAAGCCTCGGCGACTTCGGACGGCCCCAACTTCCTATCCTCTTTGGCTTCTCCAACAATGGTTGAGGCTCCTTCACTTTGGGTAGTGTGGAGTCTGGTGCTTGCGGTGGTGCTGTTGGATGACTTCCTTTTCGCTTCAAAACGTTGTTACTAACGGTGCGCTTTGGAAGAATATTATCTAAGAAGCTTGGCCGTCTGTCTCTACTCTTGTCCTTAGGTTTCGCTTGGTTCAGGTCCGAGGCGATGAGCTTCGATACGCCCCCAGCAGCATATAGACTGCCAAGATCAGACTCACTCACGCGGCGTGAGCCAATGGTAGCTGCAAGCGACGCCGATTCTATATCCTTCGCCCGTTGATGGAACCGCATCATGGCCGCATTTGAAGTAGGAGGTTGATAGCGATCACCAGAGGATTCTGGTTGGAAAGGAACGTCATTCCAGGGCCGAGTGCCTACCGGCGCTTCCGGAGCGACTTCGTTCTGTGCGACAGGCGGAAAATACGATGTTTCCGCTTCCGCTCCAGCTACTTCGACTTGGGCGGGTGGAGATTCCGGCTCGTAGTCTTCATCATCCTTTTCTTCGTCTTCATCCATTTCGCTCCGCTCATCAACATATACCCCTGGTCCCGGGATTCCAGAGTCATCAAATATAGTCTGCACACCGAGGCCGAGAGAAGACCCTAGAGTCTGACGCACACTAGCATCGTTATGGCTTTTGGCTCGGCGCCGGTTGGTGGTGTGTTTTTTTCGGACTGCTGGGGCATCGTTGTCGATATCTCCAGCTTCACTCCCAACCTCGCTCTTGGTAAGCCACTCTTGAACCTCAGCCTTTTTCTCTGCTATAAGACGTTGCTCGGCTACTTCCTCAATGGTTGGTACGTAGATATCTTTCATGGTCTCCCGATCAGCAGGGCTTAGTCCAGCCTGACCAGAGCTGTTATCCGCAAGCCAGGACCCATCTTCCCTTCTTTCTGCGGCAACTGATACATTCCTGGCAGGCGGTGGCTCTTCCTCCATATCATCATCAGAAGAGTCGTCTACCGGATATGGCGATAGATGCGTGCCAGATCTTCGACTCCCATGACTTCTCTTGCTCATGGTTCGACTAATGTCGGACCTGGCGGGTGATTCCCCACGACTGTAATTCTCCACGCGAACAATGGGGCTTGTAAGATGTGGCGCCCGTGGCTGAGGGTTTGCAAGGGACACTCCGCCGCCAGCTCCGCCAGGGCTGTTAGTAAGCGCCGGGCTGTGCTGTTGCTGGTGGGGGTTTGATCGAGCACTAGAAGACATGGCAGGCGAAGGGGTAGATTGTGGCTGAAACTCGTTGCCGGTGAGCCTGATAGCAGCTACGGCGAGATTATTCGCGCTCTCATCACCAATCACTGGGCTCGAATTGCTGGTCAGGCTTGGCGACAAAAGATGTGAGTCGGATCTCGCAGACGATAGAGACGGCTGGCCTTGGTTGAACCCTCGCATCGAGTTGGCATCTACTCCAAGCATGGAGGCACTGCCCCGGTAGGATCCATCGTACGGGCTGCCTTGGTTGGTCTCGCTGATATGGAGGAGCGACCCCAGTTGATTTTCCAACAGTGGATTCTCTAGGAGCGGGTCTCCGTAACCTGGCGTGGTGTATTGGCTGTAATCCTGATAGATAGAGTCACTGAGATATCCATCGGGACTGACGTGGTCGTGCACCGAGTTCACGGACGGCGAGAGGCTATGGGCTGCAGAGTTTCCAGATAGATGCTGCATTTGGTGCTGGACATACTGATTCGGCTGATGTGCGTAGGTTTGATTGATGACATCGGGGTGGAGCGAGTCATAGGATGAGCCAGTGTTGGGGGTGAAAACGGAGTTCTCTGTGGCTTCAGTTGAATGCAATGCGCCCATGGTGTTGTAGTTCATTATTACAGGCTCCGCAGAGAAGGCGAATGACCCGTCATCATTCGGTAGATACTGATTCCCTGAAGGCGAGGAAGACAGAAAGTGGTTCTCGTCCTGGCGGCGAGGCATATTGCCGTTGGTGTATGAGGGGGATCGTGACTCCATCGCAGGCATCATTGGCCACAAAATGCCCACGCGGGATAATCCAGTCTACAACTGGAGAAATCGAGCAATGCTCTGCGCACCGAGGGTCCCTGGAGCCGGTCCTGACGTGCGAAAAGTAGATAGTGTGACTGAGGCTGTGGGTTATCGTGGCATCGAGTGCTGCCTAGCCGCCTGAGGACTCGACGGGCGATTCGACGCAATGAAGCAAGAAAAGGTCGCGCGAGATATTGAGGGTGAACAAGAAGCGCGAGAACAGGCACAGAAGACGAAGATTATTGCAGGCTCAAAAGTTGCGGCAACAGTGGACAATGCTGCCGCTATGAACGGCCCTGGGACGGTCTGCGGGTGCGCCTTGTGCCAGCAATACGCTAAGCCTCAAAAAGAAGCCTTGAGCGGATCCAGGAACGTTGCGACCACACCAGCAGCGCCGCTCGTCTAAGGCGATGTTTCGAGCGTCTGCCGGGTCTCAGACTCCGCCAGCGAGTGGTTCCAGGCGGAATGCAAAGATGATGTCGCGACCGCAGCAACCGTGGACTGTCCTGCTCTCGGGCACCGGTCAGGCTGACTCGGCGTGTTTCCAGCGGTGGTGATGCCAAGAAGGGAAGGGGTTGAACGGGCAGCGTTTGGTCCTCGTCTTTTGACTGGCGACGGGCTGGTCTGCACACGGGACGAGGTCGCGGAAAGGCCTGGGGAAGAGCAGCGGACTCCACTACTGCCAGCACTACGCAGCCTGCTAGTCGTTGTCGAGGCAGATTTGCGAATGCTTTCGTTCGCCTCAGCCACGCTTGGTCTCGTGTCTGGGGAGGCTTAGACGGCAGCACCACCACAAAACCCGCCTGGGTCACACACGCCGGCACTCTTGCTGGACTCTCGCGGCTTCGTCCGTGCCATCTCAGTCATGAATCGGCTGCATTGTTCTGGTTGTATACAGAGACCACCATATTATGGGTCTTGACTTCGCGTGCACCCCCACATATGCTTGCAGAAGACGCATGAAGTGCAGTCTGCAAGCAGTAGCCCGATCAAATCCCGCACGTCTGCCCCACGAGATAGATAAATTGATAGTTGCAAGAACCGAGTCTTGACGGGGGATGCAATCAGCATGGAGAGCGCTGGAGTTGTGCCTCTGACCGGATCTCATGCACCTCAACACAACAGTATCGACTGCTGAATCCAATGCTGCTCAGCCCCAATTGCCTGACCTTGAGCATGATTCTTCCAGAATCACACAATCGTTCAATGTCGAGTGTGCAGATAGAGGAGACAGCGGTGACAGTCCTGCATTCCTTCGAAAGCCCGACGTCGCTCCCGTTAGTCCCATGACGTACAGTCTGGATAGAGCCGAGAACAAGCTGCTGGAAGCTTTTTGGCTCGCCGCTAGGGTTTCTTTCCCAATTCCATCGCGGAAGCTAGCGATATGCATATCAGCACCCAAAATTAGATGAAGACCCACCATGGCAGGGCATGCTCTTAGTGCTTTTTCTCAAGGACCTCATTGCTACCTGTATGCGCGTCATTCTGATTCTAACTTCGCAAACGGCCACGCAACCACAGTGTGAGTTGAGGTGAAGTTTGAGGCTGTGTAGCGGGCCACTGACGGGGATGCCTTCACTATCCAGACATTTATAATCCTGACTCTAGGGCTTCGTTTCAGAATAAGCTTCGTGAACGTATCGTAAGAACCGATCTAATCGCAATCTTAGTATAATCGATAGCAGAGCTAAGGCATAATCATGCTTCGACGGGAATCGTGCCCCGCGGCGGCGTATGCCTCTCCTTCGAGCTTCAATAGTATCAAATACATCAAGATGGCAATCCTGCGAGTGCTTGGTAAAGTGGTTAATATTAAAGTGTATCTTTGAGCTGATGGTTCCCAAAGCCCTCTTCCAATGATCCCGGATACTGAATGGGAGAGCCGATGGGCCAATCAATAAAGCTAGCGTTAGCAGCATAATGACAAGAACTTTATGTTCTCCTATCATTCGGACGTGACCACAGCGGCATCGATTGGCGTTGACCGAGACGAAGTTGAATGATGTTTGCGCCAGAGCAGCGTTGAAATAGGTACGGGGATTGAGGGTCTTTGGTACCACAGCGATGTCCTAGAACAGGACGTTTTGAGGTCCGGATCTCTTTTGTATGTATGCTTCGGCCTCCGTAGGGTACGTCTTGATGTTAATTCCGGTCTTTCTTAGATCCCAGGAGCACCAAGATGTATCTGTACATCTCCGAAGGTATTTCCCGAAATGCACCGAAGCCGAAAGCCGTGGAACCCAGATTCTCCTTTCGACCCTCTGGTCCTGTACTAGTCCTGAACAGGCTCCTGCTGTCACTTTGTAGAAGCTGAATTGGACATAGCGGGATTGATGAGATGGTGGGCAGAGAAGACAGCAAGCCTAAGCTTTTCCGCGTGGTGTTGAAAACAACATGGCGGCAAGCAGAAGCGGGAAAGCGGGACATCCTGGTTCCTCAGGATCGGCCAGAAGGAGGCTAAGAAAGGCAGCCATAAGCACACCTCCAGCAGACTCGATGAATTGCTATCAATATGCATCCTCACTCCTCTCTCCACAGCTACTCTTCCTATATTTCTTCTCCTCCTTGGCCCTCCCCGTGTCGTCGCAACAATAGGCACGCGCTGTGACTCGCATCTGGCCCGCATGTGACAGCATCGTCACTCAGCTGCGACGCCCACGTCCCACAGTTCAGGCGCCCAATCCGTGGAACGAAGACCCAAACCTACCACGGGACCAGGGGACAGCAGCTTACATAGAAACACCTGTGCGCAAGTACATAGTTTGGAACTGCCACTCCGTACTTCCTCCACGATAAGTCACCCATCGCCAAAGTCCCGAAAATGATCCAACACCTCTCACCCCCCGCTCCACGAGACCTCCTCCCACCTCTCCTCGCCTGCTTACCGACCGCATTCGCCTCAAGCAAGCCTCCGCCAGCTCTGCTACCCCTCCTTTCACCGATCCTGCGGCAGCGAGTACAGCTCCTTTCCTCCGAGTCCTGGCTCCCCCTCCTCTGCTGGGATGCTCACGCAGCCTCCAAGCTCCCCGGCATCGTCGAAGAAATACAACTAGAACCGCATCCAGTCTCAGGAGAAATAGAACTCAGAGACCCAGAAGCCATCCTCTACCGGCGATTAGACCCCGAAACCCTGCACGTGCGCCTCGTCCTCGACGAATTCAAGCTCCTCCCCACATACCTCTGGTGCACAGGCGACGACAAGGGCTGGCGGCTCGCCGAGCTGCGGGGCATAGAAGACGGCGAGGACGGCGCACGATGGTTCGAGAGCATTGCAGAGGCAAACGAGGACGCCGGGCCCAGCTTCACGCGGAAAGCGCCCCAGGCCAACGGCACCACGAACGGACACCACACCGCCTCAGCGCCCGCCCAAACCCAGGGCAATGACGCGGAAGACGACGACGACGACTACTGGGCCTCCTACGACCGCACCCCCGGCGGCGTAACACCCGCCCAAAAGCGCTCGCCAGCCCCTCCGCCAGCCAGTTCCCGCGTCCAGCTGCCGTCGCAATCGGAGCTCGCGGAGCTGGAGTACTTCGCCCGCTACGCTGCGGAAGTGCAGCCCGCGCTCGACGCGCACGATCCGGATGAAGAGGGGCTTGTGGCTGGAGAGTCGACACTGAAAGGTGGAGAGTTCTCAGGCGCAGCAAGACCACCTCCTCGCGAGCCCGAGACGGAGCCGGCAGAAACGACGAACCCGGGTCCGAGGGGCTACGATTCCTCGTTCCCACCTCCGTACACAGCGAACGGCATTGCGCTCGAGCATGCCGAGCATGAGAACCCGTGGGATGAGGGCAGCGCGCTGAATCACCCGCGGCCGGCGTCGGCTGGGTCGTCAAGCTCTGTAGAACGGCTAGAAAGGGAGGCGGAGGCGAGTACTCAGGCGGAAATGGCGATTAAGCAGCACATCAGCACGGATATGAAGTCGCTGTTCCGGCTGGCGCGGGCCGCGGGAATTGAGCGGGAGGAGTTTGAGCGGATAATTAAGCGGGAGTTGGAGGTGCTGCCGTTGCTTGAGAGGGATGAGTAGGAGGCGTCTACGTCAGCCGGAGATTGGAAATGTAGGAAAGGCTGCTGAGTCGAAAGGGAAGGTAGGCATTCTGGGCGTTTTTCAAGGAACCACGGTTTGGGCATTGTATGGCGCTTGGCCTGATCATGTAGCGTTTGTGGATATGAGCACCACATTATGCCTAGTATGTTTATCGAATACGAAATCCACTTGAACCTAAAGAAGCCTTTCTTCTACTTGTGATGAGGGATACCCCTGAAGTCACTTTTGCATACTACTAACACCATACTTCCAAATAAGTCGGATAGTCAAAAGACACCTAGCAGTGTCAACTAGCAATGTTAGCTAGGCGCTTCACATGAGCCGACGTCACTTCACGAGCAGAGGCATGACGACGTAGTACTCGTAGTAGTATACATAGACCCTAATAATTGATAGGGGGATCTTAAAAAACGCCGCTACCCAGCTTTCGCCGAGGGATCTGCAAGCACACTGCTTCGCCTGAACGAAGAGCAATAGTTGTCATACATGGCTGGGGAAAGGGCAAGATGGTATTGCATGTAAGAGCGAAAAGCGTACAGCCATAGCGGTATACTATATGGGGTTAGGGAGTGCTATGGAGAAGAGCTTAAAGTAATAGGAGTGAGCGCTCCAGAGGAGGTAGCAAGCTTTTGTACTTTGTGTTTCGAACCAGCCAAGATCTGTAGTCGCTGACTGGAGTAAGTTGAAGGCGGCATCGGGGTATAGCTGGCTGTCCTGAGCAATGTACGTATTCGGCTATATGACTGAGTTTAGGGAGCTGTTTGGCTGGTGATGCGACTAGTGAAGGGGAAGAGTGGAGTTGGTGACAGCTAACTCGATGGAGAGTCGAGGGGTATGGAGAATAGGGAGACTAACGGGACTAATGGGAGTAGAAGAAGAGAAAGCGGATTAACCAGTTGCATTGCTTATTACATCTAGGTAGAGAACCACCGGAAGTTATAAGACTTGGATAAGAGGATGTCTAATCCTTCAGGTGATTAACTCGAAAAGGAACGGTCATGTAAATGTCCCAACATACGCTTTTATTGACAAGAACGCTTTTCGTCAGAAGTAGCAAAACAACTACTAGATCTAACCAAATAGGTCTTCTCGACGAAACCGCTCCGGTCACAAAGCCCCCAATATCCTCTTAAACGGTTCAATGCACCAGCAAATACTACCCATCTATCCCTTCCTCTTCCTTCCGCTTCCCCCCGCCTTCGACTTGACCCCCGTAGCCCCCGCAACTCCCGCTATCCTCAGCATCTCCTCCACACTCACGCCTCCAGTCTCCTCTGCCGCGCTTCCCCTCCCAATCTCCTCAACAATGTTTTGCGGGTCTGCGGCGCCAATGGACGGCACATTGGAAGCGAGCCACTGCTGGAACGGCTTGGCGACGAAGTAGCCGTCTGACGTGAACCAGCGGGAGAAGGAGGCGGAGACGTCACGGGTATCCGTTTTGCCGGAGGTGTCTGTGAAGGTGACGGAAAGGTAGTAGGTTGGGTCGTACTTTTTGGAAGTGGAGAGGATGCGGACCTGTGCCTATCAATTCGGTTCTTTTGGTGGTATTGTTTGGAAATTGCCTCTTGGGGTAGATGTATAGGAGTGGTATAAGAGGAATAGTTATGCTCACATTCCCTGTCGTATTATTCCCCTCAAAGATACACCCTTTCTCCACCATCCACACCCAATACGAGAACACCGCATTCAGCGCAAAGTACGCTGCCACTGCGGGCCCGGCGTACGGTTTCGAAGCTTGCGGGCCATGCTTCCAGTCGAAGTAGAAAAGGCCGCCGGCGAGGATGACGGCGGAGTAGCCGAGGGCGAGGCGCACATCTATTAGCCTGTGGGATCGTTGGAATTTTATGGAGGTGAGGTAGTTTGAGAGAGCATCATCGGTGGTGTTCTTCAGATCTGGGAGTGGGTTAGCTTGGAGGGGTGGTCGGGGGGTTTTGGGAATTCGCGGACCCGCTAAGGAGTGGACTGCGATCTTGGTTGTGGCTGACATTGCAGGCAGAAGTCCCCGGGGGTTATCAGTGGACTTGTTGAAGCTTGATTGCTGCTGTGCGGAGGAGCTCAGAGCTTCGTCGATGTGGTGTTGTTGGAGCTTGTGGTGAAAGGTGGTCTCAAATAAACGCAAGTCGCTTGATCCCTGTCATGCATCTCGCTGATGGAAAGAGGGTCCGCTCAACCCAACCTCTGCACATCATCACCTTCGAGCTGCCTTTCGCGTTGACATTGGAGTGAGGCAAGCGGCATCGCTTCTACATTTCCAACATGGGACAACCGGTGGTGCAGACGATCCATAGGGATCCCGCACTCTTGTGAGTAGATGTCGGAATGCGGCATTGGATGGGATTTCGCTGATCGACCTCATAGTTATTGGATACTGCTGCCCATCACGGTGGTTATGGTGCGCTCGTCGCAATAGTGTTTAGACGCGTATACTAATTCGCTAAAGGTCTTGACTGGTCTCCTCCGCCACTACTTCATGACTCTCCTCCAAACTGCGCCGAAGAAGCAAACCCTCCCACAAATCCGCCAGCAACGCTCCCTCGTTCGCGGCATCAATCTCCGCACAAACGCCAATGTGCTCTCGCCATCGTCCTTCCAGGCTCGAAAGGCCTACATGGTGTCGGCATATCAAGAGGGGAAATTCCTAGCGGACCCGGACTCGAGGGGCAAACCTAGACCGAACCCCATGTCGGACCCAGCCATGATGGAGGGCATGATGGGCATGATGAAGGGCAACATGGCCATGATGGTGCCGCAGACGTTGATTATGGGGTGGATCAACGCGTTCTTTTCGGGATTCGTCATAAGTACGTACCCTCTGTGTTCTTTCTTTCGTCCTTGCGAGCTAGCCATTGCAGGTGCAAGCAAGAGATGGCTGGTTGAGTGGCATGATTTCTTCGTGAGGGCGTGCTAACATTGGGGCCCAATAGTGAAGCTGCCGTTCCCGTTGACGCCACAGTTCAAATCGATGCTGCAATCCGGCGTTGGAACGCGTGATCTGGACGTGCGGTGGGTGTCCAGCTTGTCTTGGTATTTCTTGACTCTGTTCGGGCTGCAGCCCGTCTACAACTTCATCCTCGGGAGCAATAACGGTAAGTCAGCCCGGCCGCAGCGGCAGCCACCGATCCGCCTAGTGAGGCAGCGCTGACGATCTGCCGATGTAGCTGCAAGCCAAGTCACGCAACAGATGGGTCAGGTCAATCCGGGCGCGGGGATGATGGGCCCAGAGCAGGACCCAGACAAGCTCTTTCTGAGCGAAGCCGAAAATCTGGAAGTGATTGAGCACCAGTGGATTCTAGAGGGGGTCGAGGACCGACTCCTTGCGAAAATGGCCGTCTAGGGAGCAAGGGAAGCGAGGTCTCGAAGGGGGTGCAGCACCACGTCTTCAGGAATGAATCGGGGACATGGAACGCCCAGAACGGAACGCAAGCGACGTGCCACAGAGGAGGCCGTGCAAGCCGTGGTCAAGCGTTCATCCCACGTCGATGGAGAGAGCATGTCAGGGAGTCAGAAAGTGCAGCCACAGAGGTGCCTGGAGGAGGCGTCGGCCGCGATAGCCAAATACTATGACAGCTCTTTGACAGGCCGAGTGCAATCCAGGGCGCTGGCTCGCTCAGATGGCGAGCATGGCTGGGTTCCGTGATCAAGGATGCGGGTGGGCGTGTGGCTGCCATCTCGGGGCGAGTATCAGCACTCGCCGGAGAGCCGCACGCAACAGAAGCGGTGGTTTCTGGCCACGCGCTGTCTCTAGACGCCCGCGTGCATTCTCCACGCCCGCCGCTTCGGCTGCAGGGGCCGCAGTGCCCCGTGGATGCAGGCCGGGTGGGTTTTGCGCCATCAATACGTGCGGCACAGCACCCAAGCACCGCCCCCAACTCCCCGTCCAGCAGCATCGCGAGGAGTGGCACTGGGCGCCCGCGATGGCCTTACGAGGCGTGGACGAGCGCGACAGCACGCGCCGGGCGTCTTCCAAGGCGTGTTCTGGCGCTCTCCGCCATGTCTCGCGTCGTCTGCGACGGCCCATCGACGTGCCGATTCAACCTTCCGCGCTCCCGATGCTTCCCTCTGGCTTGCGTCCAGGCCGCCGTGCAGAAGCGGACGCCCTCTTGGTGTTGTCGGGCCAGCTTCACCACGGATCATCGAGCCAACAGGGAGCGGCTGTCCCAGGCCTGGTCGAGTCGGCGCCTGAATCGGGCGGTTGGATGCCTTCCTTGCCAACTCTCCCCCTCCTCCAATGAAGCACGTCCTCACCCCTCCTTCGTCTCCTTCAGCTCCTAATCCTGCGGCTTCGTCGTCGCAGTCGTTCAAATCGGGTACCCATGGTGGCGCGTTTCCGGACAGCCATCCGCTCTGCATCGCGGCTTCGGGACCGTCTCCTTCAGCCCGCTCCCACCACCGAGCAAATATAGATGCCCTTACGCGCGGAGATTGATGGGTCCATCTGTGTCAACTGTGAGTCCCGCCTCTGCTTCACGTATCACGAGCGCCTCCTCACGCCTTCCACCCCCCAAAGGCCCAGATATGTCAGTGGCGGCGGGGGAGAGGGACCACCAGCATCCAGCCCGCGCATCCAGCAGTCAACGTCCACGATGCGAACCGCAGAACGGCCCTGACCCCAGAGTCTCACGGCTCGCAGCTCTGGACCCATGCGCTTCATGGTAATGATCTGCCCGACCTGGCGTTTTTCCTTTTTTTTTGCCGACCCACGCAGGCACTGGCAGGTACCTCCCCATGACCATGCAGGCCCCTCCACGGCCAGTGGCTTGCCAGCGGCGCAGACCCTAGTCACTGGAGGTCGGTCGAGCTTCACCGGTTTGATGCAGGGGCCGGGTCGTTGCTCGGGTTGAGTAGCGCGGCGTTTGTGGGTTAGTGCGGCTCTGCGCTCAGTGAATAGTTAGAGCAGCATAAATGCTACTAACTAACGCGAGCTCTCTGCGATGCACACTACCGGCAAGCTCGAAGGCGGTGCAGTTCGCCATAGACTTTCAGCGGGTTCGCCCAACAAGCAGCCTTCGCGTCACTGCTTCGCCCCCTACCCGTTTCAATCACCGCTATCAATCTTATTGTACTCTTTGGCGTCCCTATTTACACCTTCCTCGTAATTCCTTAAATCGTGGCTGCTTCCGCACTCTCTCGCCCCGCAGCTGTTGTACGTTATTACAAGTAATCTACATGATTATCCTTTACTCATGCCAAGCAAAGACCTCCACTACTAGCCTACTCCACCGTCTACTCTTGCTCCTAGGACCTGCCTGGTTGGTCTTACTCTCTAAAACCACCTTAGGTTGAGATCCATCATCAGCACTACGTCGTCCTTGCTCTGTTAGCAGCGTGCAATCTCAGTGCCAGAACATAAAATGGAGGCACACTACCTTTTCAACGACCTCCCACAAATCCAAGTCGCGGAAGATGGTCCTTTGAATTCAAGCTGCTCGTGGCCATCTTACTCGAACGAGTACAACCATATGGATTACTCTCGCCAATATGGGACCAAGGTGGTCAATGTCTTCGGAACAGAACTTCCTCTTGAAGAACAGAACACCCAGGACATGTCGAACATGCAACGGTATTTCCATGGTACGCTGCCTTTTGCTCCCGAATACCTCCACAGTGACCTCAGCAAGCATTGTGGAGGCTCGATGCAGAACCAATACCTCGAGCACAACGGACCCTTGGAGCCACAGTCGCCGTGGCCTACCCCGGAGGAACACCGTCGACAATGCTCTCCAGATGACACCATCTGGTCCGCTTCAAGCGGCAGTTGGAGTGCTAGTCCTCGAGACGAATTGCAACCATCGAACATGTTCGCTCGGTACTCTATGACGAGCCAGGTGGGCTACCCAGCCCACGGTATGTCCTACCCAGAGCAGCAGAACGCCAATGCATCCTTTGCAGACCAGCCTATGGGAGGCGGTTCAGGTATTGCCCTTCGAGAGATCCAGTACGCCCCCGACGAAGAACCGGAGCAGTCTGTCGAAGAATCAGACCTGAAGATCGAGTTCGCATACGAGCAGGAGACAATGGGCCACAAGATGGAAGACTGCGATGACTCTGGGCTTGGAGAGTCTATGAGAGATGCCGAATCGGTTCAACCGGTCTCTCGTGACGAGGATGGGTCCGACTCCGAATACAAGCCCGCCGTGTCGTCACCGACCTCAAAGAGACGCAGGCGTCGCACGTCGCAGTCAAGCAGCTGCTCGAGCACAAAGCACACTCACAAACGCAGCATTGGCACACGAGTAGCTTCCACTGCACCCGGCATCTCCAACGCACGGGTCGTCAAGAAGGGTCGTTCATCCATGTCTTCGCCAGCGAGCGCCAGTGTGAACGCGTCAAGCAACGGCGGAAACAACAACGCTGTTCGACCTTTCCCCTGCCCACTGGCACCATACTCCTGTTCCTCCACATTCGCATCCAAGAACGAGTGGAAGCGACACGTCAGCACGCAGCACATTCGCCTCGGATTTTGGCGTTGCGACCTCTGCCCTACTAATGTGGACAGCGCCAACAGCTCCATTGTCTACTACAACGACTTCAATCGCAAAGACCTCTTTACCCAGCATCTGCGAAGGATGCACGCTGCGCCTGTTCATGCTGTCCCCCGTAACAACCAGCGCGAGTACCCTGTCACCGAAGACAACCTCCCTGAACATCAGAAACGGTGCTACACGCATCTGCGATCTCCACCTCCACGGTCATCATGCTTGTTCTGTGATCGGCAGTTCCTCGAATCTGGCGGATGGGAGGAGCGCATGGAACATGTCGGCCGCCACCTAGAAAAGGATCGCAAGGCGGGCGGAGCCCCGACTGACATCAAAGATTGGCAGCATGACAAAGAACTCGAGCAGTGGCTCGTTGCCGAGGGCCTCATTGAGGTTGACCGGAGCGGAGGATGGAAGTTGGGCGATGGGAAGCCCAAGCGCGGCGCGGAAGAAGATGACGATGAAGACGAAGACGCTCAGCACGATGACGAAGATGAGGCATGAAGGAGTTAACAACACATCGAACTGGTCGCTTTGGGTAATACTGGCGGAGTCACGACATAACGGCTACGGATACGATTTTTGATACCCTCTCAATGGCGTTTGCACGAAGTTTTAGCTACTCGACTCGCCTTACTGTACATCTCCTTTGTCTTCTGGGCTCACGAAAGTTCAAAACTAAAAAAGACTTTCCCCTACGTACGCATTTCTGGGACTTATATTACCGTAACTGGACTATTTCGGAGTACCATGATATTCCGCACCATCAAAATGAAATCTCTCTGCTTCCATACTAGCTCAGATCCTCTCCTGCAACTTGATACCATGATTAGATGCAGCGTCTGCCTGGTCTTCCAAAAAATGCGCTCCCAAGACACCTGGGCAGATACTACGGTCTCCTAAGCGACTTCAGCTACCAGGTTCTAAGGTTGTTGTCGCGCGATATCAGCACAGCCCCATGTGCCCCCAGCCACCACAATGCACTCGCCAACATCACTCATCTGCCACACCTAGCTAGACACCACGGCTGCATATCCTCAGCCCCCATTCCAAACCCAAAACGAGACCCACACTCCGGTATTTACCACACAACCTCCCTACGCCTGCAGCAAACCCAAACACCAAAGTCTCCCCCACTATCTCAGCCCCCCAGCGCTGCAGCCGTCACAAAGACGTGACTGATTCGACCTTCGGCCGAAGTGAAAGCAATCCCCCACGTTCAGACGCCGGCGGACCTGTGTGGAGATCAGGATGGATGGTTCAAGGTACCATCATCCTAGATCCCAGTCTGGCAGTGAAGCACGATAGATGCACACTCGCTACGAATCTTGGTGCCTGACTCCCGGGTTTCCTGATGTGGGAACTGTGGAAGATGGTCGCCGGGAGGATTCGGCGGGGCGTCCGAGTTGCGATCAAGGCTCTTGACCATCTCGGCAATCCTTCGCCAAGGTTGTTCTACAGGGCGCGGATGGATGGCTTGTGTGTGGAGAGTCGAGGTGAGACTGGAGCAAAGCCGCCCGGGATGCCGACCGCGAGTGGAGCCGAACCGGCAGAGAGATGCCAGGCGTCGACAGGGAGAGTTTAGCCACGTTTACGCCCCGTTTTGCAGAGAACGATCACCGAAGCTTATGGCGCCTTCGCCGGCATCCATTCACCTTCCGTGCGCCGTTGGCGATGCTTTCGCCCCACCTAATCGCCCATGACAACAGCCTGGTGGGATGGGAGCGCCCCGGGGCATCTGGTGTGCTCCACCACGTTGGGTATTCTGGGCCTCAGTCAGATACGGCGGTTGGGTCCCCCTTTCTCTCGCAGCTTATCCACCACGTCTCTCTATCTCAGCGCGCACACACGCACCACGCTGGCCTCAGTGCTTTCTGCCTCCTAATCGCCATCCCTTGCACGCCTCCTCTGACCCCGTCCCCACCCATCCAACCACCGTGCCCCTCTGCCCCTCCGCCCTCACGCCCTCCTGCCAACGCAACCCCGCATATGCCCGCCTCATCTCCCGCTGTCAACGTCAACCCATGTGCTAGCCGCGCCTCCCATCCCGCACGACGCACGCGTGCCTGAGGCTGTGAGCCCAGCCGCCTGCACGTCTGATCTTTCCTGACATCGTACGTCCCCCGCGCCGGCGGGGACCCAAGACGCAAACGCCCTCGGCCAGGCATCCGTGCGGCTGATTCATGCATGCATATGCAGCCCAAACCGGCACAAATGCTCGAGACTCAGAGTCGTGGTCTTGGCTAAGAACGCCCCGGCACTGCACTGCGAATGCGCCGTGCCGAGATCTTCGGCGCAGACGTTGAGGCACGAAGCCGGGGCCGGGGCGTGAGGGATTATATCGCGTGGTGCGTGTGCTCCGTGGGACGTGGAGCTGCAGGTGGCAGGAGTGGCTGCGCTTGGCGCTGTGGTGATCGTGGACGAGATGGACTGGGCATGCGACGAGTGCGATCGAGGAGCCTTCCTTACGATCGAGGAGCCTTCCTTACTATTCGCGCCGTGTAATTGGCTGCAACTGTACCTTTGTAGCGTCTTGCCTGATGATGCTCTCACGAGAAGAATGCAACATTCGAGTACGTTCGAATTCCTACTAAATGGGACAGAGCGTACTGAAGGCTATCATCCGACACCGTCTACAGACCCGCTGCCTCTTTCCAGGCAAAGATGGGTAGGACCCTCGTCCCCTACGTCGTCCATCCCACTTCTAAAGCCACACCAGGTCGTCACAACAAGCGCCACTCACAGGCCGCCGCCTCACCAAAGCTTCCAAGGTTGAGCGAATTTTCAGCCACCAAAAACCCGACTGCCCTCAGGCCTCGGGAGTTTCAGGCCCTTGTTCCATGTACTCCGCTGTTCTAGAAGAAAGAGCACAGGCACGACAGGGCATGGACCCTAGCGGGTGACCGCGCATCACCAGCTCTTTTTCCTTGTCCGACCTTCTCCTTCAGTGTATACTTTCCACCCGCATCATCATACGTGCGCGAGCGGCCTGTTGGATATCTGACAGACTGGACTGTGTGCCTTGTTGGTGGTGCTCCGTGCTGCGGATGCAGCGCAATCTATAGGTTTAACGCCGTCCAAAGCCTCATTCAGCAAGGGCCATCATTCACTTCACCCACCGCATTCCATCTCTCCTTCTGTCCTTATTTGCGTCCCTGCATCTACGAATCATCACGCGAGCTTTCAAGCCGTCGCTTCTGCGTGCCACGAAGCCCCGCGTTTCTGAGCATGCAGGGTGGGACGCACGCATCCCCGCAGCTCCTTTTCCGGACACCGCGTACCCCACGCTGCAATGCTGGAGTCCGACGCGCCACGGCGGCATCGTAGCCGCCTCACTTGTTACGTTTGACGGCAAGCCTCGTGGTGGTGTGTATCAATGGCTCGAGAGTTGTTGAGTAAAATATATTCCTTGGTGTGGTTGACAACGCATCGACTTGAGAAGGCAACGAGGCAACTAGATCGGGCGGTCAGGCATCAAAGACGGCACCAGCGCCTGCATATCCGAAATCTGCCGCGCACGTATGAACAACTTTAGACGGGCGCTTGGATGTGAGTGCCATCATGACGATGCGAGAAGCCCGGAGTATGCCGATAGAATTTATGCCTTTGCGAGGCATCAATCGAAATGCGTGCAGAGCAATAGCAACAACTGAGTCTCAGTTACAGGCCCCTGAGCATGGGCTTTGCAACTTGTGCGAGAGACAGGGTTGAATGGACGTGGCATGCAGAGTATGAGTAAAGGTAGGCAGCGCAGAATCGGGCAGTATATGTGCGTGGCAGTGCATTGTCGGCGCCTTAGCACATATCCAAGCAACGAAGCGACAACTAATCTTCGATTTGTTCCAATCCTAAAGTTCAGATAACTCTTGCGGCTTTTCCTATCAACTTGTCCGGCATGGAGGCCGTGGCCGCGGTCTCGAGCATTGTCCAACTCGTCAGTTTCAGCGGTGTATGTCTGCTTAAAACAGCTGAAATATACCGATCGAATGCCGACATACTCGACACAAACACAGACATTGACCTCGTTACAAATGACCTCGTTCTATTGAGAGTTCAGGTTGAAACTGCGATTGAATGTGCTTCCGACACGTCTCTCGTCAACCTCTGCACCGCAGATAGCCCTGAGAAACCCTGAGCTGCACATGCCGTTTTTGAATACAACAGGAATGCACGCATCCGGCGACATGGATGGATTGAAACATGACCGAGCAATAGTTATCGGTACTGGCGTCCCTTCTTAAGATCCCCTACTTCACCGTCCTCGCCAATGCTGATTTCACCAATTTGCTCTCCTGCCTTGACATCTCCAATCTTTAATCTTACGTTCTTCAGCAGCCTGATTCTTCCTTCCGCGTCTAGAAACGTCCCATTTTCAAGTATTGTTTTTCCGTCATTAAGCGATAGTGCCGAGAGAAAATCCGTAGAATCGGGTGCTAACCGGAGAAAGCTCAGAGCGGTGGAGGCGATGGTGGCGAAGAGCATCAGCAGAGTCGATATACAAAGCAGTGCCTGCCATGTGTGGTCGCAGCTATCGCGGCCAATGAAGTCTCTCCTCGCGGCAGGGGCCTCCTCCAGTCTCAACCCACTCCGCAAAGTAGTGGCTTGCTGCGCCTTCCAGCCTGTGGACGCATGCTATGGTTGGCGTATCTCGTAAATGCTGCGTAACAAAAGGCCTTTTAACCCTGCAAAGGCTATTCCGGCCAACCACACACCTCCGGTACCGTACAGCCTCTCTTCACGTCCGGTAGTCTAGCGCTAAGCTGAGTCGATCCTAGTATACCTCTTTTCTGGGCTAGTACTTAACCGACTTGAGGATTGATTGACCAGAACGTTGCTATTCCCCCCTAAAGGCACCCGGAGCTGCTCCCTTATACGGTAAGTCTGTGGCTTGATATTAGAGAGTGACCACCGGACGTGAAGAGAGGCTGTGCCGCCTGCACGCTAACCATACCTGGGCAGCACGCGTCCGCAGGCTGTAACACAAACCCAAGTGCAAAATACAGACTCTCCCACGTCCGGTGACCTAGCGCTAAAATCAAGCCACAAAATGACCGTATGAGGTAGCATTTCCGGACGCTTCTAGCAGGCCACTAGACAATCAACATTTAATCCAGTTCAACATTAGCCCAGAAAGGAGGTTGATGAGGGTCGATTCGGTTTTCGCGCTAGACTACTGGACATGAAGAGAGCCTGTACTATCATGGACGAAAGCCTTGTCAACCATGAGGAATACGCCATCAAAAGAGAATATTTCCGAACGCAAGGATTGAAGATAGCAACGAAAGTTTGCATGAAGCTGCTGCTCAAGGATTACACTCATCTGAAGCGGAAACCACTGAGACGGTTGAGCTCAGCTGCCAAGCTAGCCATGCGGAGCACAAAGAGACGTAAAGTCAGATTGCAGAACTAAAAGAAGCGCTAGATGTTTTGACGGAGCAGATTAAGGTTCGGGATCAGGACCTGAAGCAACTCCCCGCTGCCAACAGTCGCACCAAGAACAAGAAGAAGAAGAAATTACCAGACGAACGAAGCAATGCAGCGACTGCCGCACTGCTTGCGCTTAAGACAATGTACAGGTCCTCTCCACGCAAGGCTTCCCTTCCATTCTTCGATCGTAGTCAACATCTAATCGCGTCATAGGCTGTGCTTGTCACGGAATAAGGAGCTGTATGCCATGCACGTGGTGTATTGGATGATGATGATACAGAAGAGAGAGAGGTCTGGAGGAAAGCGAGACTATATACAAGAGGTGACACGTACCTGCCGTGACCCTCACAGTGCTTGCTAGTATCATAGTATGAAAGCTGGCATACTGAGAACATCCGACACAGCTATGTTCGAGGACGTCTGAAATATCACCAACTATGCTCGTAGGATATCCCTGGCGTCGATGATTAAGTAAGCTTCATGGTAATACCTCTCAGAAGAGCAAGATCTTCTGCACATTATACCCATTTTCCCATCTAAATACACTACAAGTCGAGGCTTCCTAGAGGATAAAGACTCCCTGCACACGATACCTATTGACGCTCGTATGAATGGGTATGAGAGCAGTGCCACATTGTCGATCCACAAGAGATGGAAAAGTAATGGAAGCTTCAAGATACCCCACTAGCAAGGAGAACCTTAAACGAACTAGAGAGATTCGCAGTAGATGGTTCATATTGCGATAATGCATCGTTATAGTCCATGTTTGCAATGATTATGGTTCTGAAGATACACCTCGTTCCAGAAAATGTGCCGATATGGCAGCTCGTATCCAACGTATTCGACGAGAAAGTGAGCATGGGGAAACTGGCCTCATACAGACGATGGCCTGTATTTTATTTTACTTAAATTTTCCTTACTCAAATGGCCCATCATCCAAGCGCTTCAGATTTGGGGTATTTAGCTTTCTTCTCTTAAAGTCGAGGTATGATGTCTGCGGGTGACGAAGCCCGGGTGTTCTTGATTGCTTTGACTTCAACTTTACGTTAGGATTCCGGAGCGATATTGGGTGCCGAAGGTGCCGCATCTTTATCATTGAGACCTTTGGAAGAGTAGGTCTGGTTATTGATTCGTGTTTATACCGATCCCTCCGATTCGTGTTCCAGACGGTATTTCGCATTCTGTGAAAGCACAAGCTTTCTGCAACGACTGTTCAGATATAGCACCTACGTCTCGAAGGCATTAGCCCTTAGGTTTGTTCGACTACTTCCAAGCGGATCTCAATGACCACTTTCCCAACATGCTTCTGCGATTTCAGGTACCCGAAAGCTTCCTCAGCCTCTTCAAATGCGAACGTCTTATCAATGAGATCTTCGAAACGCATCCGGCTCGCACTCACGATCTGATTCAAAGCCTCAAACTCCAGGCGAGAGCCGACATTGATTCCTCTATTAGCGTAACAAGTCAGTAACAACACTCTTTCATAAATACAAAAATGGGAATACATACCGAAGCGTGACAGTCTTATCAATCAACGCTGATATCAGCCCCTCCAGATCTTTCGCGTCCTGCTTCCCCAAATACCCAACCTGGCTCACGATACCCCTTTTCGCCGTCGCAGCAATACTCTGCAGCAGCGAGCTCGTCCCGCCATTCTCAATCACAATATCAACCCCCTTCCCCCCATTCAACCTCACGGCTTCCTCTTCCCACTTCGGATTAGTCTTGTAATTGATCGTCTCCACCAAATCCGCATACCTCCCCGCAATGCGCCTCACCTTCTCCAACTTCTCATCCGAGCTCGACGTAACAATAACCCTGCACCCAGCAGCCAACGCAAGCTTCAGCACCAAGAGACTAACACCGCCAGTACCTAACCACACCCAACGAAATCAGCATTCCCACTCCCAACCCCAAAGTTCATGAAGAGAGCGAGGACAATCACCCACCCTGCACCAAAACCACCTTCCCACTCCCCACCTCGCCCCCCACCGCCAACGCACTCCACGCCGTCACGCCTGCACACGGCAGCACGCTCGCTTCCGCGAACGTCAACCCCTCCGGGATCCTAACCACCTTCTCCTCGTCGAACACGACGTGCGTCGCGAGCACCCCGTCGACCTCCCCGCCTAGCCACTCCCGCGACTGCTCGCGCCCCGTCACGCTCGCCTGGTCCAGGATCGGGGACACGCGGTCGCCGACGCTGAAGCGCGTGACGCCCGAACCGGCGGCGATGACGGTGCCGGCGGCGTCGGAGCACGGGATGCCGGTCGCGAGGGTGGCCCAGGGGTTCGTGCCGCGCAGGATGTTGATGTCGCGGTAGTTGAGGGCGATGGCGTGCAGACGGATGAGGAGGGAGTGCGGGGGGAGTTCGGTGGCTCCGAGGCCGGGGAGGGGTTCGGTGGTGAGGGTGAGGGTGTTGGGTGCGGAGGCGTCGCGGCGGTAGACTTGGCGGTGGGTGGGTGAGGGGCGTGAGAGAGACATTGTTGGGTGGGAAGGGGGTGTTTGATGTGTTGGTGATGTTTTTATTCTTGAAATTGGAGGGTTTGTTTTATTGTATAGAGATGATGGAAAAGGGCAGGGAACACGTGACCACGACGGTTTGTCAGACGGGAGATGGATCAGCGAGGCGGGGGCTGGTGCTAATTCTCGATTGAGAGATGGAGTCCCTATTGCGTGATTGATGGTGGGGAGTATGGAGGGGGATCTGAAGGTTATCGATAGATTTGAATCATGCTATTCGAGGTTGAGGTAAGATAAGCGTGGGTGTAGAGAGAAGGGCGCGGATAGCAACGATAGCTGATTGGGTGGAGACCGGGCCTGTGGAAGCGAGACTTTAGAAGCGGATGTTATGGAGAAGATGGTACTTGATTGGTTAGTTCTAGAACATGGTCATTGACACTGCTCCAAGGTTTTAACATCGCTCGAAGTGCTTTCAAGAACTTTTCGCGATCTAGAGGAGACTCAAGCTCCGAGGCATTCCAGGAATCGGTACATGTTGTCCCAGGCCACAGCTGTCTGAGGTGGCCCAACCAATTTACAGGCCGTCCAGAACAGCTAAACTTCATCTCGTTTTGATTATTGAAAGTGTGTTGGGGTACCATAGACATCGGCAAGACAGTGCATAGACTTCTGATTAGGCATTGTATCATTCATTAGTGCAGCAGTGGAGACAACTAAAGAAAAGTCGCCACCCACTACGCAATCCTACCTGCATCCTTAGCAGCCTCCCCGATCCAAAGCAATCATCCAAAGCCGCCTCCATGCCTCCCAAGCTTCATATCATAGCCCCACCTCCCTCTCGCTATAAAGACAAGAGAATGCAGCCAACTTACCTCATAAAGCTCCCTTCACCTGATCTGGCGATCAGTCAATCACGCTCAGACCTATGCATAGTTAACTAATGTCGACCGCGCTTCGCGGGCCTAGTAGCCTCGCTCTTCGGCTGAACAGCTCGGCGAGTGCTGCGCGTAATCAGTGCAGGCGACGGAGAAGGGTTACGACCACGCTTGAGTTGTTTGGGAGCTGTAGAAGCCTTAGGGGCTACAGTCTCGGTGGTGTTGTTGAGGCGGTGGCGAGTTCGATGAGCAACGGGCTCTTCATTGACAACGGTTGGGTAATTGACTGAGGCAATCATGCGCGGAGCACCGCGGCGAGGGGCGACAGGCAAATCGTCGGCCGGAGGAGCTTGAGCTTGGATCTGCACAGCGTTTGCTTCAGTTGCTGGAGAGAGGTTCGCAGCTGGCTGGTCGACCAGGGGATGCTGAGCTTGGGACGGACGAGGAAGCGGAAGCGCGGCTGTATGCTGGGGACGGCCACGAAGGACCGCAGGCTCGGGGTTGTGGAGGGTACGAAAGTCGCGAAGAGGTCCATGGTCTGAGGCAGAAGGGTCGTCGTGACGATGCTCGCTCCTGAATTGACCGTTCCGATGCATATAAGCCCTGGAACCCAATAGAGCTACTGGCTGCTGCGCGGGAGAAGGATCATCACTCGATTCGCCCTCGTATGTTGTATCTCTCACCGAGAAGGAAGAACGATGACGCCTGTCATCCGCGATAGCATCGATTATGGCTTGACGGTCAGCCTGGGTCATGGGCAGATCCTGCTGTTGATACGCAGAAGCAGATTGGGGACGAGGCGGCGATTCAATAACGATGACCTCGCGAGGGATTTGTACTTGACGCGGTGGAGCGCGTTCAGGTTCCTCGCCTCGGCGGTGATGATAAGGAATTCCTACTCCATTGTAGCCATTGGGTGCGTGAAGTCGCTGCGAGCCCGTTCCTTGGTATGCTGTATCCTCCTCAAGACTAATAGGGTTTCCATATGAGCCGGGTTGCTGCTCGTGGCCAACAGTCGAAGCGTAGGTCCGCGCTCTAGGCTCGTTGGATCGTGTAGCATCATTGCCACCAAAGACTCCGCCCATCCTCGACATGAGACTATGAGCAAGACCGCGCGACTCGCCGTCTCGGGCACGCGACGGTTGCTGCGTGTCCTCTTGGCCATGATAACGAAGAGTAGGTTGAAAGAGCGGCATAGTATCATTGGGTCGAGCTATCGAGGCATCATATGCGTGATCTATGTGATGGAGATGGCGGAAATCAGGCCACATCGCAAGGTCTCGAGGTGTTCCCGGCGCAGCCCTCACCCACATATCGTTCTCAACCAGAGCATAGAAGTGATCCAACTCGTCGACAGAACGGGGTATCACTCTGCTAGCCCATGGTACCATTGGTACCATTTGTGGGAACGGCGGGCGGGGGGTCCCAAAGAGTGTAGCGCGACACATGGGGCAGCTCGCTTTGCCCTGATCGAACCACTTGGAGAGGCAGTTAGAGCAAGGGATCACGATTAAGGTTACTAGAGAGAATCCTTTCTTGTCTTACCTTCGAGAGGCAGTCCGCGCCAAAGATATGACCGCATTGCTTGATCTCAATAGCATTGCTCTGGATTTTGGCCCGAGGAGCTTGATAATCTTCGAAGCAGATGGGGCACGAATCTTGCCCGTTGAGTTCGTCCTTCTTGGTGACACCGTCGCGAAGGAAGTCCTCCTTGGTTGGAGGGACTTTCGTGGACGTCTTGGGGTTTGGGTTCTCCATGGTCCGGTAGCAACACTATGAATGTTAGCAAGGAGCCTGAGCAAAAGATGTTAGTCGACATTCCTGTCCACGGAAGAGTTGATGCTCTTCTTGTCAGTGGTGTTCCGTGAAGATCTTAAAGTTGACCTGTCTGGAGCAGGTGCAAGCGCGGTTGAGTGGAGACACGGTTATATGCGCCAGCTTAGCCCCGCTTTTGTTGGCGTGGCGACGGGTCGTTCAGTGAAGTCAATATGCTGAATGTGTCCCTCACGAATGGTTTTTGGGACTCCCGACTGCGTGAATACTGTGAAAGACGCTCTTCGAAGTGAGACAACGGGAAGGTGAGGCACTTTAATCCTCATAGTAGCATGAAATGATATCTTGCAAACATGGAGGTGACAGGATGTGTTGGAGGTCACAACATCAGACACGTGACGGATATTTTGGCATTCCAAGGTTACCTACCTAGGTGTGTGGTGTGCTCTGTGCACTTTCACCGCTGGTGGCGCATCAACATAAGATGCTGACTGAAAGACTGAACACACACTCATTTCCTAGCAAAACCTTTTCGTGTAAGACCCTGTTTAGTTACATACTTATCCACCTCGCCATCCAAGTCTGGGTGATTTCCTTGGCCTCATCCACAAGTCCCATATCTAGAAGCAACTGGCTTGTTCCTCTGACGGCACTTTCGAGAGCACTAAAGATCCAAGCATGGGTGAAGCTGGTATGCTCGCCGATGAAAACAGTATGCTTCTCGGTGTGGAAGTAAGCGGGCAGGTACAGCTCTTGCTGGCCTACCATTGGTTCACTACATAGTATTAGATACCTATCAAAGTAAGGGTCTTCCGCACTTACCACCATGAGCCGGCCTGGAACTCATTGTTTTGCCAGCAAATGCGATCATAAGCTCCCGTGTACTGCTCTTGAGCAACCAAGCCGTGCGTCTCGATCATGGCCCTTTGAGTTAAAGCTACGTGCTCGGTCTCGGTCATACTACCCAGGGTCCGTGCAGGGGTTCCGGACGAATACGAGGCTAAAATCACGCCTGGGCCAGTGGAGTTGATTCTATAGCTTGGATAACAAATATTCCCAATGCCAGGAATGTTCGTAGACCCACACCCGCCAATGATTGGGTACTCAAGGTGTTCCCAAAAGCGAGTCTTGTAATGAAGCGCAACCTTGCAAGTATGCTCGTAGTTGAGCGTATTGATGGCCCGTGAGAGGAGCGATGTATATGATGGAAGGCGCCACAAGCGAACCTGGGAGAAAGGAACGGCAACAATCGTGTAGTCGAAGTCCATTGACTTTGTCTCAAGGTCGAAAGGATTTCCCGGCCGCCATTTGACAGTCATCTTCTCGGTTTCCTCATTCCATTCCATCTCCTGAACTTTCGTCTGAAAAATTGTCCGGTTCAGAACAGACGGACCGAATGCCGTTGGAAGACGACTCAGTCCTTGATCAATAGTCCTCCATTCAGTAGCACCGAAGTATACCGAGTCATACTCCCAAGATGGGGCATAATCTGAAGTCGAGTCGGTCTCATCAGTAATGTTCAGGTCTGTCTTGAGAACATATCGCAGGTAACCCGATTCTGAGAAGTTGAAGTTCCCGGCTTGGACTGCCGCTTTGTGCGCTTGGAAAACATTCGTGGCAATTGCGCGGAGTTTGTCTTCATCCAGCCCGAGCCAATCATCATATGCAGCTTCAGCCTCCTCTACAGCAGTTGCATTCGAATAGGTGACTGTGACGTTGTCTGCTAAGGATGGGTTAGCTGCGATCTCTGCAGCACCAAGAATGGTCCCATCCGGTCGCCTTTTAGATGTCGATACGGGTGCGTTTCGGCTTTTTTGTATCCATGGAATGAACTTTACCATCAAGTCTGAACCGTTTCCGTTGATCTGATTCAAAGTTGCTGCAAGCTGAAAAACCATGCGATGATCCAGGATCTGTATCGTTTCGTTCGTGTCTGGATCCGTGATACTAACTGGAAACCTCATGGGTCCCATTTCCTGGTATTGGTACTGATTCGGCTTTGTGGCATTGAGGTAACTGGTGTGAACACGCCCCCCGATGCGGCTTGAAGCTTCTAGTATTTTCCAATCGTGAATACCGACGGAGTCTAGCAGGTGCTTCCCACACACGCCAGGCACGAAAAAAGTGGCACACTCATCAAGTATTCTGCCCGTGTGTACACCTGTCTACCACTGCATGGAGTGCTTCAACAAATTTCCCCATAGCCCAAGGCGAAGAGCGCCTATCTTCTTTAATTCCCTGGAAATACAGTGAAGCAACCCAAGCAGTGGCAGACAGGTATACACATGAGACAGATTATTCTAGAATTAGTGTGCCACCTTTCCCATGCCCCATGTGTGACAGTTGTTAGCTAAGTATCCGAGCATCTGAACGGTAGACTCACAGAAGTCATCAAACCAGACATTCCGCCTCCGAGAATACCGATCGTTTTAGACTTGGCAGAGGCAACAAAAGCCTCATCAGGTTCCTTCTCTTGTAGATGAGCAACGCCATCAAACCACGGTCCCATCGCATCGGCAATATCCGCGAAGGCAATGTGTCGCTTTTCTCTCCGCTTCTTTACAACCACTGGTCTCGACTTTCCCACGAGTCTGTTTACCACAAACGCATGAAGACATCCTTGATCCGGGGTATCCTCTCGAGGCAACCAAACGAACTTGGTAGGGCGGCTGTGTTCCCAACCAATGTGGCGTTTTGCTAGAGGATGGTTCCCGATGTGAGTATTTCCTAGGCAATGATGCGACTCTTCTCGCTGGGATATATCGCAAGAGCCATAATGGATTGAAAGGTGGCCATCTACCGGGGTGGTATAGCTAATCTTCACATTATGCATACCATTGGCTTCCACTTCAAAGGGGCCTTTGAATTCAATGGAAGGATGAGAAACAGATATGGGTGACCCCAGTTGTATAAGCGTAGATAGAAGTAAGCTTGAAGCCAGAAATCCCCTTGGTGAAGGCGCCATGGTGGGTACCGATCAGAATGAAAAACCAAGAAAAGTCTGGGCAAAAGGGTTGCTATATTTTATACTACGCCTGCTTACTTTCCAAGTGTTATTAGCACTAGAAAGTAATTACTGAGTTGTCTGACAAACCTACAGAGTATCCCACTTATACACCTGGTCAGGATAGAAGTAAGATGATCGACAAGCGTGAGATAAAGAATACGGGAGAGGTTCCAGGCGTACCAAGAGAAACAGTCGTGGGGCGACAGATCGATGAGTTGATGTTACACGACTAAGATACGGAATATAATCTGGCTAGATATGTTACTTAATTGGTAGAAGCTCAATGCTGCGTCCTCATTCATGTGTATACTTTTTCAGTAAATTATCATTAACGCATCGCTACTCTCGAAAGCGAATTTTGTCAAAAGCGAGTTCTGTATTAGTGTTTTCCGGGAGCGGCTTTCAGTCAGCCGAGATCTGTGTAGTTCTAATCCATCAAGGTGACGACGCCCAGGTTGAGCGGCTCTCACCATGGGCCGAGAACTAGGTTTGATCGGCTGACATTGGCCGCTGGTGGCTGTGTAGAGGTCAGATATTTGTGATTGTCGGAAGTCATAGAGGTGCAGCGATTATGCAGGCCGGTGGAAGCCAGAGACGAAAAGGAAGGTCGTCAGATGCGGAGCATGTTGCGGTTTGCAGGGAGGTGAAAGGCCCCTGTCTTGGCATGTATTCCACCTAGCCTATCACGAGGGGCATTAAAAAAGTGGCACTCTGAGTTTGAACAAGCTGTCTCACGTGTACACCTGTCTGCCGCTGTTTGGGTTGCTTCAATATATTTTCAAAAATCTGAAGAAGAGAGATTCTCTTCGCCTTAGGCTATATGGAAATGTATTAAAGCACTCCATGCAGTGGCAGACAGGTGTACACACAAGCAGAGTACTTGAGGAGTATGCCACCTTTTTCATGCCTAGCGTGCCTATCTAGTATGGAGCTACTTCGGGATCTTTCAGATTTTTGGAACTCAATGAGAATGCGCCCTTTGGAGACAGCGCGCATTATCTCTACGATCTTTTCCTCTGAGCCGATACACCCCATTCTACACATCTTTAGTCACTATCTCATGGCTCGCGGCCGCCCAGCTCCCATTTAGCATACCGCGCCATTGCCGCGTCATTCCAGTCCCTCCTGAGTCCGGAAACTTAACCCTCAGCTCCCAATGCTTCGGGCTGTACCTCGACAGCCAATACGAGTAACCTCCCTCCCATCCTACGTACTACCGAAGAGCGCTTTCGATACTTCCCGGCCACTCTTGTGGGGCTCTATACAATGGGAGAAATTCGTACCCGCCCCGCGGGCAGCACCCGCCGTCAAACACATCCAAGCCAAGATTAGTGCCGGGCAGGCAATTCGGGCGCGAAACCGTCGAGAAGAACAAGTTAAGATACGAATGCAGGGGAAGCTGAGTACCAATCGGCCGCTCAAAAGGCTCAACATGTCTCTTTTGGCTGCAAGCAAAAACCTTGACGATGCCGACAACAGACGCGCTCTCTGGAAAGCCTATAGCTTCGCGAAACAAGCCCATCCGAGCTTGCTGCAGTATATACCGGATCGAGCTTGGGACCTGCTGTGGGAAACGCAATCCGCCATAACCCCGGCCAACCCGAACTGTATGGAGCATCAAATACAACTAGTGCAAGACATGAAGTCAATCGGCAGACCTCCGACAGTTGCTCAGAATATCGCCGAACTTGAGGCGACGTTTATGACTGGAGAGCACGAGACTGCAATACAAAGATGGGAGGAAGAATACAACACGAGGACTGCGAAATCTGCTCATGGCTACAAGCCTGAATATCTGGATCTAGGCGTTCGGATGTATGCGCTTACAGGTAATGCGCAACGGGCCCGCGAGGTTATGGATGAGCTATACCAGGCATACCCGGGATCAGACCCGCGTCTCATGATAGGAGTCGTTCGTGCACACACACGAATTCAATATGTCCCGGATTACATTTGGTCTCTTTACGTTCGACTAAAGGACCGACTGGGGCCAGCAATGACATTTGAAGATTACGACACATGCTTTGTCGGTTTCTTGGAAGGCAGCCGTGTTGACCACGCAGTCGCCGTCTTCAAGGACATGGTCTCAATTGGCTGCCTTGCAAGGTCGTTCATGCGTTGGCAAGTTCAGCAAACGTTGAAACGGCTGAGAGCGATGTTAAATGTCAGCAAGAGTCTCGAAGAAGCTAATATGGTCGCTCTTTCTGCGATATCAGTCCTGCCGCGAGCATATCACAATCACATCTTTCGACGCTGGATGATGCTGACTGTTGCTAAGAACTCACCAGAGTCAGCTGCTCAATTACTGGAGCTGATGTTTGAACGCGGTCTTAACCCTGGAGCTTTACATTTTAACCTGGTCATCGGAGCATTGTTACGCTCAGGAACAGAGACAAATGGCGAAAAGGCGGCGTTAATGGGCTGGAAAATGGTCGAAGAAGCCCTTAACACGTCCTCTCTACAAGATACAGAATTCCAGCAGTTCTACAGAATGCAACATAAGCCAGTTCCTAAGCAAACCGGAGATCTCGACGGCCCTCTCATACCTTTTTTCCTGGCCAGGCCTATCCCGATGGCAGACGTGACGACCTTTGCACATCTCATTCGTCATCATACTAGGAACTGGGAATGGAATCATATTGAATACCTACAGACCGCTCTCGTTCGACTGGAGAAGCCTCCAATTGCTCCTCTTTTGAATGCTTTGATGATGGTAGACCTGCGGCGTGTTAAGTATCAGGAAGTCTGGAACAGATTTGACTCTATGACACACCCTCCGTTAGGTTTTCCGCGTGTCGTTCCCAACGGTGGGACCTATCGAGTCTTATGGAAGACGCTGAGATCTGCACTTGGCGATCACCATACCTGGGATTTCGAATCGCTCCCACAACCACGACAGTTAATGGCTATGATGGTGGAGTGGTGGACAGAGCATGTAGGATGGCATCAAACAGAGAATTATCTGCGAGGCCTCACAGGGCCAAATCGCGAAATCACCGGCCTGATCCAGCATTGTTTCAGCTACACCAAGGATGTCGCCGGGGCTTTGGTTGCCTTACACGCTCTGAAAACGCGATTTGGTATATTTCCGACCCAACAAACGGCTGAAATCTTGGTCAAGCAGATGGCCTGGATCGATCTCCGCAGTGAAACCAAAGAAGTCCGATATAGCTACAAAACATCTGGAGTTTTCATACGCAACGTAGACAAGATTTCACGAGTTTACCAAGTGCTGCTCCGCCGACGACTAGAACAATTGGAGAAGACCGGCGTCAATCTGATCGAGATGACAAAACAAGAACGAGGAGAACTAGACTTGAACCTGTTATCGGAGTTCGTCCGTGTGGTAATGGTGCGGCAGCATAGCGCTACAGAAGTGGAGAACATGATCGAGGAGGCTAAAAAAGACATGGGCGTCCCGAATATCTCGACCGGCGATTTGAACAGCTTCGAAGTTTCATGAAGAGGGCTGATCTCAAGAGAACGAATTTGTCCCAGCTATAGACGTATTGTTGCGACGCAAGCTCGAAAATTCCCTAAGAGGGGAGAGCATGCGGAAGCAGAGGCCGTTGTGGTAATTGTTTCGACGATTTAGGGCTAGGGTATCCATCATCCATCCGTCATCTACGCTTGCCAGCTCATTTCTAGAGCTTCATCGACCCGTGTTCATTCGAAGACGCCTCGTACGTCTCGAATTGAAGACAAATTTTGGATTTGAGATCCTCAAGGGCAGAGGAGTCACTACCCTTGACGACGCTGCCTCGTGCCATGAGAATAGGAAACCCGCATCTATGTGGGGGAAGGGTTCTTACCTACAAAGATGTCTTCTTTTGGGTCTTGTAATATAAGGTATAATGATGCTGCGTACCGTGGGACTTGTAGAGAGTAGCTACTTCCCTCAGTCTTTCTGTGACAGAGATGTATTATCACGTCTGCTTTCTCGAGCTCGGGCGTTTAGGGAACACATCAGTACAGTAGAGGCGTACTTGACCTACAAAGGTAGCATTTTCTGGCGTCCACTTGCTATACTAAGATATCATAACTCCATTCTTCCATTCATACTGATACAAACTGCTCCAACACCTGAAATATTTTGTCCTATTAACGATCCCAATCCTATCCCGTTTCCCGTCTCCATCACCATGAATGGAATTTGGCCAAGATGGTTCCAAGCGATCCGTTATAGTCCAAGTGGGTTGTTCGCCGTCCCCTTGGTCGTACTCCCACTCCCCTTCTTCGCTTGGTTGGATAACCTCACGCTCTCCTTGTTGCGTGCCACACCGAGGGGGTTGGCCGCGGTTCCTGATCGCGCTCCAGATGCGCCAGTGGCATCTTTAATGCCGTTGCCGTAATCGCGGACGGAATCGCCCCAGCCGCGGGATGTGTTGGTTATGCTGTTGCCGGCACTTGTTAACGTAAATGCGGACGGCGAGAAGCAGGTTAAAATGGCTCACCTTGAGCCAGCCCCTCGGCCAGCGCCTGCGACTCCATTGCCTACTGCTCCTACGACGCCGCCTGCAAAGTTGCCGATGCCTGCGGTGGCGGTGTTCATGGTGCGGTTGAGCCAGCTGTCGTTTGGTGCCATTTGGAAGATTATTTTATGTTAAATTTGGAGAACTTTGTGGTGTGTAGTTTGGTCTATGTAATTTGATGCTCTTCTCAGATGGGATCTTGATTTATATCTTCGCCAAGTTGTGAGGCGGATGCAAGGTGTGGCTGATGATGTCAGAGGACGTGGAGTGATTCAGGGATTATCCCGTTCATGGTTTCCGGGGCTGCATGGAAGATTCGGAATACACAATGGCACTCTATTTCTGGCTTTTGCTTTTCGTCACTTGCAGTTCTAAATATCAGCATTTTGTATTGATACCTTTGTAGAGACCTTGTGGGCTTTCGTAGCCAAAGCGCCGAACGCGTGACTTATAGCGCTAGTGTTAATTAGATCTAGCTCCATAGCACGGACCTCAAAGCAAAATAAGCGGGACGCGACTCGCCGCTTTTCTAACGACCCTTGAAAGTGGATCTCAGACCTCAACTCCAGGGAAACTTCAGGGACCAGATATCTCGAACAGCTCCCCTATGCACCACAACGCCCAGAACTACGCCCACAATATCGAAAACTAACCCTTGAAGTCTCCCACTTACATCTAATTAACGAGAATGTCCCCTGAGGAAACAGATGTGGTCCTATGGTAAGGGGAAGACAAGTGTTCCCAAGTCTACCTCTGGTGGAAGGGTTCTTAAGCATTGTTGAAGGGTAACACTTAAGGAAAGCTATGAAGTGAATCCAGGAATTGGCCACTCGTAGCCCCGCAGTCAAACACGTCTTCACACTTGCTGGTAAGTCGCGTTCTTTACTCCTTCAACTTCCTCACAACACCACACTCCACCACGCTTTGGATGGCGGAGCCCCTGACCATGGCGGGCGGCAGTAAGGAGAGGACTCCTACCACTGGGGGAACGAAGAAGAGACGTCCAACCCTGAAGAAAATATTCTCAGATGTCGCCAAATCGATCCGCTCACATAAGTACAGATCGTCAGACGACGACCCCTTCCCCTACGATCACTCGCCGACATACGTTCCAGCTGGCCTAGGCTTGAATTCGCCACCCCTTCTCTCCCCGGAATCCTCATATAGCGCACCTTCCACCCCTTACCCCGGCGATCCAGGTCCTTTCCCGCCGTTCCCAAATTACCACAGCCGACCCACGACGTCGGTTTCTCAACACAAGGGCAAGAAGCGGACAGGGACCAGGAAGAAGAAAAGCAGTTCCGATCCGTTGGCTCCTGTTTCCTCCTTCGTGCTCCAGCCTGTGCCTCGAATACCGTCCCATTACCTGCAGGGCGACTCCTCGGACATTCCCACTATCAAAGCTGGACAGACCCCCGACACCCTCGCTATGACAATGGCTAGCTCGCAGTTGCAGCTGCCGGTTACAACTGGCACGAAATTGAAGCAGATAGAGCAGGCAAAGGAAATGCAAACGCTCGTGGAGGAGAGAGCACGCCGAGCTGGCGGAGAGCCTCCCCCGTACGAGTTCCTCGAATTGATTGGAAAGGGGTCATTCGGTCGTGTGTTCAAGAGGTTCGTAGACAGATCTTCCCTCTGGTCGGCAACGGCTACCCCTACCCACCTACCAAAGCAGATTTATCCCAAGACACCCCCTCCCCGCACTCCTCCCTCCCCTCCCTTTCTCTTTCTCCCATTGTTCTTAATCAATGTTAAACCATATGACAGCAAGAGCCGCAAAACAAACGAGCTCGTTGCTGTAAAGATTCTAGATGTGGACAATCCAGACTACATCGGAGACAACACACTCGACGAAACACTCAAGGAGATCAGCGTGCTCCAACAACTGAGTATTAGCAATGCGAAACACTACGTCAACATCATTATGGAAGCGCTTCCAGTGCACAACGAGCTGTGGATCGTCAGCGAATACTGTCCTGGAGGCAGTGTCTACACATTGATGAAGCCGACACTGATGACTGCCGCTCCTGGTCTCGAAGAAAAATATGTAATAGCGATTGCTCGTGAACTTGCCTCTGCTCTCAAGTTCATCCACGAAGCAAGCGTTCTTCACCGAGATCTCAAATGTTTGTTGTCAATTCAACTTAAAACAGTCCGACGGTTAAGGCTAACATGTGCACAAAAGGTGGCAATATCTTGATATCCGAACAAGGAAGATTGCAGCTATGCGATTTCGGAGTATCTAACGTGCTCGAACCTCAGATCGCCAAACGCTCTACAATTGTCGGGACTCCAAACTGGATGGCCCCCGAGCTCCAGAGAGAATGGGTCAAAGACATAGATCGGAACAACCCACTGCAACCACAGCCTATCCTTTACGGATCAGAGATTGACGTGTGGGCTTATGGTTGTACCATCTTCGAGATGGTCACTGGCGCGCCGCCTTTCCATAGGCTACCGCCGGAGAAGCTACCTGAGCAGGCACCACCAAGGATAGAAGGCGAGAGATACTCAGAGGGTATTTGCCAACTTGTGGCCTACGTTCTCGAGGGCCGGCCTAAAGACAGACCCACCGCAGATCAAATCCTCGAGCACCCCTACCTTGCCGATACATCACAAACCCATCCGACCAGCATGTTGAAAGAACTCATTGAACGTTACATCAGATGGGAGCAGGGAGGTGGCGTTCGTGCGTCGCTGTTCAACATGTATGGCGCCCAGGCTCCGGACCCCCTTGAGCCTCATGACGAGGACGAAGATGAGGATGATTGGAACTTCAGCACCACAGATGAATTCGACCGCCGATACTCTCGTTATTCGTTATCTGACCCATTCGGTACCGGTTCTGCGCAACAAACCATCACCAGGTACAAGCTACCCAAACCAGACCCCGACGACCGGTTCGGACAGCTCCTCCAACGCCACCAGGAACAGGCAGCGGAGCGTGGAAAGAAGAGACTGGATCGTATCTTTGATCCTAATTTAACACCGTACAGAAACAGCATCACATCTGAGCGACCTCCTTCGGACCTTATTCTTCGCGACTTCAATCCCGGAGTTCCAAACCGAGAAACTGTTATCGATCTTGACTTTGCGGCACCCGTCGTCAGGGAAGGGCCGCCTATTGACCTAGGAGAGATTCCTACTCTAAAAGCTAGAGGGCGAACGATTCGGGAGCTCGATGAGGAAGAAGAAGAGCAGTACAACTACTATGACCAAGATCAAACAGCGCGACGGGCAACACAGGATTGGAATTTTACTATGGCCCAAGAGGAGATTACCGCGCGACGAACAACGAAAGAATGGAAACTACCAAAGCCGAGAGAAGAGAACATAAATCGTCAGACAATCGAATGGACGTTCCCAAAGGTGGAACCCGAAGAGGACCCTAAGCCACCAGAAGACTTGAGTCTTCCTATCCTCACGGCCCCTCTGGATCACAATCGTCGGACGACCCGTGATTTTGTCTTTCCGGCCAGAGAGCCAGACGCGCAAGTCAGCAGTATGTCCGACCAAGGTCCTACTCTTCATGCGTCACCTACTCTTGGAGCTGGATTTCGACCACAGCTACGCCACGTTGCAACGGAGCCCATTGGTGCTGCATTTGAAGATTTTCAGCTTAGCTCAGCTCCAGAGTCGCCACTACGAACGTCCATGATTGATCTTGATATGGCCTACATAGCAGAATCCCAGCGACCTTCGACCGCGAACTCCGCGACTGACGCAGATGCCACCAATGAGAATCCATTCAATCTAGAAGATCAGGTCAAGCGCACTTCCACCAACAACCGGGCGTCGTTCCATCGCCCAACTCAATCTGAGCCTATGCAGCAGGTCTTGGGTCTTTTGACACCTAGTGACGAAGATCCCGAACATGGATACGGCTCGGACCAGGACCAATCATCGTATCACGGTAGTCTTCACACACGAGGCGCGTCAGTCTCCCAGCAAGACATGAAACCGCCTCCTAGCAATATCCGGCAACGCCCACATCAATCCCATCATCAGCCATCGGCCTGGGATACATGGAACCACAATGCAGCTTATGACTCGGAGTACTCAACTTCTAGCCCGCCACCATCCTACAATACCGATCTTTCTGCAGACGACGACGAATCGTTGGACGAGCTATGGGACCAGATTGAAGCCTTGACGACTGGTGATCTCAGTCAATGGCCTCCACGCCGCCCTCGTCGCTCGCCGAGCCAGGACAATGATATCGCTAATCTCCCATCCGACTTGGACGACTTTCCTCACGCATCGTCTGAGACAATCCTGGACACCCTGACCCAGCCAGGCATGGCCTCTGCGCCGCCGCGAAATGGCCTCCGTGCCCCTCCTGGTCCTGGTGGCAGGCTGACAGTCAATTTCCCTATTCCCCGAGGCCCAGATCCGGAGGTTCTAGCTAGCGACACGGATCCCGATTTGATGGCCAAGGAGATTCGCAGATCGACGTGGGAAATGTACAACGCGCTGCACGTGACGCATCAAGCCTTTTCTGCAGTCAAACGACTCGGTATTGGCGATGGTGATGATGGTGGACTCGGTAGCTCTAGCGGGGACGGAGGTGACGAGGATGAGGATGACGGGGGTGAGGGTGGCACTGTCAGGCTGGCGAGTACAGCTAACAGGTAAGCGTCTTCTTTTTTCTTGGCGTTGATGGTTGGCTGCGGCTATGGCTGTCGCAGCTCTAAGATGGGACTTTTCTTGGGCGCTGATGGAAGGCGGGCCCAGTTGGCTGCGGCTATGGCTGTCGCAGCTCTAAGGCAGGATATGCTTTGGAAAAGGAGATGAGATTATGCGGTGTCTTGGGGGCCTTCTCATGGGCATTAGGTGTATACTACAATTGATGATTTACTACGTGATGAAGACTGCGGATATAGTGACTAGCTGAAACTCTGCGTAGAGTCTTCTGCGACTGCGTGTAGTGCGTCGGTGTATTGACAGAAACATGGGTTTGAGTATGCAGACGGACTGTGATATGCTACTTCGGCTACTTGTAATGCTTCAATTGCTTCAATGTCTTGGTATATATTGAAAGCAGTAGACAAAGTATATAGCCTACAATAGGATGAGTGGGACCTCTTACACAAAAATACGAAGGTATTCTCGAGCAGAATCTGACTCACGTGATATCAGCCCCTGGGAGTGGCCACTTTTCAACCCACGGACCTCACCAGCCTCCTCACTCTGGACCCGCGCAGGCTCCAGGCAGCAGCGATTCCATGACCTGCCACGGCTTTCGATACGCTGGCCGCTAGCGCCTTGGCGTCATTTCGCTCGGTATATAGCCACCCCCCCCCTCGGGCTCCTTCGCACGAATTCCATACTTGTAAGCCTCCTCTTCCTCTCCTGCTTGGTTCGCATCACAGCTAACAATCTTCACAGACCTTGTTGGGGTGGCTGAGCTCATGAATTCGGTCCACCTAGCAGACTGTCCTGCATTGCACAACGTGGCGACGGGCTGTCATGAATCTCCCTCGGGGGCTTCACCGGCGTAATTTTTGCTGGTCCGCTTTGTCTTGCGACTTTTCATTGACTGACTCGCCTGGTGCGGGTGGTTGAAGAAGAGTTCTTCGCTGAGGCGACATGAGGGGTTTTGCATCGTGGTTTTGCATCACATCACATCACGTCTCCGACTTCATCAGAGGAGCACGTTGTCGCGACCGTTAGCTCTACCGTAGAAGGCTGTTGAGTTAGACCCACAGCTTCGTTTTACGTACTGTCGAGTTCAATCGCCTGTACAGAGGGTAGGATCGTGCTTACCATGACAGGATACTCCGTGGTTCTTTCGTTAGGCAACCCGCCAGACGTCTCACTTATTGAATGGATGTCGAAACGCTTGACCTTTTCTGCATAGCTTCACGCGTCATTGCTTACCTCGCGTCTTCCAGCAACCACCATCGCCTTCAAATATGGTCCGGCCTTATAGATTCAAGTCACTCGTACTCGCCCTCCGCCACCACATTCCCTTCCCAAAGCCTCATCTCCAACAATGACATCCCCAAACCCAAACCCCCGCGTCCTAGTAATCGGCGCCGGCCCCAGCGGCCTCGCCATCGCCCAAGGCCTCAAAAAAGCCAGCATCCCCTGCACCGTCTTCGAACGGCAGCCCCAGAACCTCGAGTCCCGAGACTGGGGCATGTTGCTCCACTGGGGCACGCCCTACCTGCTCAAAACCCTCCCGCCTGAGCTCCAAGCCCGCATCCACGAACCCCGCGTCGACCCGCACTACGACTACTCGGAGCCACCGAAGCGGATGAACATCCAGACGGGCGAAGTCGTGGGCCGGTCGGTCGGCGAGAACCTCGTGCGCGTCTCGCGGCGGAAACTACGGAACTTCCTGATCGAGGGCGTGGATGTGCGGTGGGAGAAGCGGCTGGCGGACGTACGAGTGGGCGAGGGGGGTGTGACGGCTGTCTTCGAGGACGGGTCTGAAGAGGTAGGACAACTGCTCGTTGGTAGTGATGGGGGACGCTCCAGAGTCCGGGAAGTGCTGCTGGGCGTTGAGGCCGCGAGGTCAGAGGAGACGCCGTTTACGATGATGAATTTCTCAGAGGCGAAGTATACGGCGGAGCAGGCGCGGTTTCTGAGAAGCGTGCATCCGATTGTGCAGCTGGGGTATCATCCGGGGGAGAAGTGTGTGGCTTTCCTCGCGGCGATAGATACGGCGGATCCGGACCCGGCGGGGTGGAGGTTCCAGAATTTCATGTCTGTGTCGCTCGCCTTCGAAAGATGGATGGCCGTGTGCTGATAGGAACAGATCGTGGGCTGGCCCGCCATCGACTAAAGACCTCGAAGATCCAATGGCGCGAGCGCATTTCTGGAAAGAGAAGGCGGCGAATTTCTGCGAGCCGTTCCGTACCGCTGTGCTGAACATTGATGATTCTGCCGTCCCTCCGATTGACGCATTGAAACAGTGGGCGCCCAGATATTGGGACAACCTCGGCGGACGGCTCACGCTCGCTGGAGATGCGGCGCATAGTATGGTTCCCAATCGGGGTCAGGGGTTGAATAATGCAGTGCAGGATGCAAGTTGTATAGTAGACGCCGTTGTCTCCGTTGTGAAAGGTGAGTCGACGCTGAAGGACGCGATTGATACGTATGAGGCGGAGATGAAACCGAGAGGAAAGAAAGAGGTGGAGATGAGTTATGAGGCTGCTAGGATCACGTCGAGGCTGATTGACGTGCCCATGGGATATGAGTATAACTTGGATAAGGACTCAACGGCGAGGGGAGTGAAAGCTGCAGGTGGAAAGTCCGGCACAGGTTGGGACTGAGCCTACGAGATTGTTCCTTAGGAGCTAGATTGCATGAATTTACCTTTTCAGGAGCGGTGGTCAACGGCTAAGGAAAGGAAAAGAAACGAGAATATTATATAATCTCCCAGCTATGGGAAGCTCGTGTAACTGCTTCTAGGATTAACATCGACATTGTTGGTCGAACAAGATGTAAACCCATTCTATTAGAATAATTATGCGCTAAAACATCTGTGTCGGTGTTGAGAAAGTGTATGAGAAGACTAGACTTTCATGAATTGAAGAATAAGCTCATCTGCTTCATGACCGCTGGATTACCACCATCATACATGTTCATCCAAACCATCCCACCCAATCCCATCACCTCGGTACATGTTGACTTCCCCGGTTGCATGATCGAAGGTCATTCTCCTTCCAAGATAGGTTTCTACCTTAGCATGTGGATGTCTCTGCCGTAGCTTGCTTCTTATGTCGACATGTGGATGCCTATCGCGGCTATGTGTCGAGTCGTGAATTTCGATCCCATACAGTTGCAGCTGCTTGAGTGAAGGCCATTGCGCCTCTTCCATCAGAACAGGCAAAACGATTGCGACAAATCTGTGATAGCTGAGTCCATGGCTATAATATTGCATGAATTCGTCGCTGTCTGTACTTTCCACCTCGATCTCTTCGACTGACAGACGATCCTCGAGGGTGAGGTAGACAATTGTTGCCCTAGCGGTACGGATGATCGAGGCCCAGGTTTCTAATGCCCGCTTGTCTGAGAGCGCCGAGTAGTAAGCACTATGCCAACTATCGATATCGAAGGCGGGTTCGCCAGGTTTACACAGCCAAAGTCGCGTTAACACGGTAAATTGAGAGCCTAAGCCTTCTGGCATCCAGCAGAGCGGACGAGGGGCTATTTGTTCCTCGTCGAATTCCTCCACGTCGTCGAAAGCACCGATCTCTTCCTCAGTCATCCCTTCATAGTCCTCTGGAGGTTTTAATGCTTTGGGTGGAGGGTTCGTCCGTTTGTAAGGCAAGGTACCACCGACTGGGTTATCCAGCAAAGCAAGCTCAAGATCGACGATGTGAGACGGTCGTTGACATAAGTACTGGACAAATTCGCGTGGAACATACCCCCTAAGTTTTACAGTGCGGAGTTTAGCTAGTGGCTGCGCATCAGAGTGAAATGGTTCCAATGCGGCCCACGCGGCATCCACTTCTAGATATTCCAGATTGGTGAACATCATGAAGACGTTCCAGCAATTGCGGTTCATGTAGCCATCCTCATACGGATCCACGTGCAGGCAAAGCCACCGTACCTGAGAAGCCAGGCGTCTTAATCGTTCTGACCCGTCTTTCTCAATATTTTCAAACCTCGTGAGAAAGACCCTCGCAACGTCTGCATGACGACTGTCGAGATAATGATAATCTGTGGGCCCTATCTCTGCTAGATGCATATAAGGCCGCTCCTCGCATCTGGCGTCCGTATTCCAATGGGGATACGCGTAGTCCTCATGATACGACGGTCTATGAAGCTCGACTTTGGTCCAGAGAATTGGTTCCACAATCTGGTGGCATTTCTTGCATACTTGCATCAATTGAAAAAGGTCCCCATGGCGAAGGTAACGTGTGACTTCAAGAAAAAGCTCTGTAGGAAGACCGTCGATTGGGGCAGCCATGGCAATATCGACGATGAGTGTTTGGTGAAGGGGAAGCAGAGGAGCGTCTTCTAAAGTGGGTGAGTCGAGGTGTGTTAAGACTATGGAAAAGCGATACTGAAGCCTGAAGGACTCCATCCCCTGCAATGCCCAGCCGCCAAACCTTGCCATTCCAGGAACGATGCAAGAGCACGTGCTGCAGTTTCAAGTTGACACAGTTCAAGATAGTAAAATACATTGCGTTCCCAGGCACTTGGATATATCTCCAGGGATTGACATCTTAACATCTATACCCCAAATGGTAGATCTGTGAATTCCAGGCGCTGTCTCCTCTAAAAATCCATCACCACCGCCGTCTTGCGCTCAATACCATATAACTTCCTCACGATCCTCTTCTAGTTCCTCTTCCTCCATTTCCAGTCCTTCTCTCTCCACTTCCACTGTGACACCGTCCAATTCCAGTTCCTCTGTCTCCAACTCCAGTCCCCATCTCTCAAAATTCAGTCCCACTCTCCCCAGCTCCCGTCCCCATCTCTCAACTTCCTGTCCCACTCTCCCCAGCTCCAGTCCCCATCTCTCAAATGCCAGTTCGACCCTCTCCAACAGTTCCGGTTCCCCTCTCTCCAAGTCCAGTTCCTCTCTCTCCACTACTGGTTCCCCTTCCTCCACTTCCACCGAATCGTTTTCCCCAAACTCAAACTCCAAATCCATAAACTCACTGTGAAACTCAAGGATGAAGCTCTCTGGAAGAGCTTCCAATATCTCAACAAAACCCTGCGGAGTCTGGGGGCCGGCATTAGAGAACAAGGCCGACACCAAACCCCGCCTTTGTTCACCCGTGCGGCCGTTGAACAACTTTTTCCGACAGTTAGGGCACGATGGGTTCTCGTCCAGCCAGCCGGTCAAGCAAAGTTTGTGGAAGAAGTGTCCACACTGCCTGATGCGCACAGTAGGGTTTTCGTTTTCCGTGACTACACAAGAATCTTGGCAAATGGTGCATTGCTCGTCTGGGTCAAAGGGGGCAATGCGGTCGGTGCCAACGGCGAGGAAGTCCCATTTGTGGCGGACTTGACATACAGTCGTCTCGGTGGTGGCGGAAGACATATTTGTGGGACTGTAGAGGTTTTGCTCAGAAGTGCTGAGGCTTTGAGGGGGTTTTGTGAAAGTATTGTAAGAGCGTAGTAGTGTAACTGCGGTGTAGAGCTAGTGGTGGGTCGGCAGTACGTCTTTATGAATTTTTACTGAGTTTGGGGAGTGCGTAGTGGTGTGTTGGTAGAAGTATAGTTGCTGAGGTATGGAGAAGACGTGGCGACATGGGGGTGCATCGCCTTCATATACGGAAAATTCAGGTGCACTCTGAAGGTGCGCTCTGACTTCCTTTAGAGGCACCAGAGTTCGCAGATCCACTCATATCCCATGGGAGATATTAGAGTTTCATGCGTGGAGCGGTAGAGGTGCTACCATGGTTCCTAGGGGTTTCGCTTCCGACTTTGCGGGATTACCGTGTCCAGATCACACATAGTCTATAGGATAATCAGCTCAGCTCTATCTATAATATCAGACTGGGATGTTGATCTAAGGGACATCTTGGCTTGCTTGCATAGCAGGTAGATGATCGTGCTTTGCTATTTGCTTGCTTTACTTAAAACCTTCAAATCTCATTCAGTTGAAAATTACATCGATATACTGAATCGGTAGAGTGGTATTATCAGCGAAGGAATAGTTATAGCGAAGAGACCTCGGCAGCTTGGATACTACTACTGAACTCTTCAAAACTTCGAGGTTCTTTTTGATGACCGTTGAGAATTTTCTTTCTTCCTTGAGCTTGATTGCCAACTAAAGTTCTATGATAAGATGAGTCAAAAAATCCAGCATCGTGAACGTCCATAACATTTGACTTACGGGCTTTCCTACCTTACCACTTTGAATAATGACATTCACGATGCAGGGAGCCTTTGCGTGAAATCCCTCGATCGGAGCCTTGCGCAACTCCTCGGGCGTCCGTAAGAGGAACCCCTTGCCGCCGCATGCTTCTGCGATCTTCTCATACCAGACTTCCCAGTCTAGTGCCCAGCTTCGAAGTACTCCTGGACCACTTGCACCACACACAGTCATCGCTTGTCGCTGGAGCCAGTCCTTGGCCGAGTTGGAGCCGCCGAAGTAGATACCACCATTGTTGATGACGAAGATCAAAACGTCCATTTGAAACCGTGCCATTGTTTCGACATCCATGCCGCTGAATCCGAAAGCACTATCGCCCTCGATTGCCACAAATTTCTTCCATGTAGTTGAACCGAATTTAGCTTCCGCAGCTATCCCATTGTATGCTTCATGCAGCAATGGCATACCCAAGGCCAGCGCCCATGGTGGCATAGGAGCCTGCATCTAGTCTGAGGCGAGGGCGCTCTATCGGGAAGACAGACTTAGAGATGTCCATGGTATTCGATCCCTCGGAAACGTAGACGATACCATCCTCCTAGGGTGGCGAAACTGAGTGGAGAGCAGTTTTAATCACATCGAAGGTATGTGCATAAGAGAGAGGAACTGTTGAATCGGCAGCAACTGCAGCAACTACAGCAGCTTTAACTTTATTCTTTTTCTGCACTTTAGGTAGACCATGACAAAATCGGAGGAGGCATCGAAGTGCCAATTTGTTAAGTGAAGCAATAGCCGTGGGACTACGATACTAACATCGCCCACAATTCCCAAGTCAGCGTGACCGTTATTTCGTCCAATCTCTTCGGAAGATATGTCTATCTGCACACGCCAATAGCTGGAGGCGGTGGTACCTGTTCTACAGCATCAATGTCCTTGGGAGACTCGACAGGATCCAAGTCCGCAGGCAGGCCCACGAAACCAGTTCCTGGCCTTCCATACCATGAACATCTGTATGCATTTGCTATGGCTTGGGGTGTAGCAGCGAGGTTTGTTGGTCGTATTGAGAGCTTTGTGTGGGATGTGAGGAGGGATATAGCGTGGAGCTCCTGAAAGGCGCGTTTGCCGACGAGATAGGTCTCACTAGAACCACCGAGAAGCAATAGAGGGGAACAGTTAGCTGATGAGTTCCGACTTGATCCAGAGTTAGCGAAAATGCACTTTCTAGTTCAGCTAGGGACCTGTTCAGTGTCGAGCGAGTAGACGTCGAGGCACGACTGCTTACTCCTGCAATTGCGTGAAAGATGCCCGGTCCGCCAACGACCAGACATAGTCCGGGCTTGCCAGTCAAGTACTCATATGCAGTGGCTGCACAGCTCGCTGCCTGCTCGTTGCGGAAGCCGATGAATCGTATGCCTAGATTGATGGCTCATTCTGCGATGTCAGAGAGGGAAACTCCAACGAGTCCGAAAATGACAGCGACCCCAAGGTCCCGCGAGGTCTGGGCAATGACATGAGTACCTGTTAATGAACTAGGTGCCATGGAGGAATGTTCCACTGGGCATCTGCGGGACGACTTTCGATGTTACATGATGTTGTTTGTAGAACAGATGAGGAGAAAAGAGCCGAGGCCTGCCCAAACGCGACTCTTCTGTGACGAGACGCGCTGCATACCCAAGTGGTACCTGGACATCAACTCGTAGACTGACAACACTTGGCATGTATATACCAGACGGGTGTTACAACGGGGAGAACCGTGGGTCGACAGAGGAGAAACCAACGGTACTGCCATCCGCTTATTCTATTCTAAGGCAGACACGCACATTTTTAATAGAATCATGTACCTGTGATATTCCACACTCATATCATTCTTTTGATTCTCTCACTCCCTCAATCCTATTCCACTCACCCAGCCATGGCGAATGCTAAATGCCAAAAGAAGAACAGCAAGGGCGATCATACTCGAGATTGTGTCCTGTATGACCCCAAAGACGCCGAGCTCTCCAACATCTGCTCTGCCACGAAAAAGGACGGTCAGCGATGCTCCCGCAAGGCGAGGACTCCCAGGCCAGGCTGAGCGCCAACATGCACCCAACGCATCGACTGTGGCTCCAGAGCAATATATTGCAGAGCCATCGAATTATGCGGAGAAGAATGTCGATGCCCACTCGAGCTTCTGCCAGTTCGCTGGCTGTTGTGCAGCAAGCATGCGGAGGCGCCTAATCCCTTTCCTTGCTATTTACTCCAGATACCGGTCGAGCTCCGACTAATGATTATACGTTACTTGTTCCTAAATACCAGAAAGTAGGTCGTCTCGTACACTGCATCGTCATAAGTCTATGTACACTACTTTGCCACTGTGTGCAATACCTCGATCCAGTTTCGAAGATCTGAACTTCACAAGCCTGAGCTTACTATCAAAGGCCGATGTCTTCTTTCCGCAGAAAAACCGAAACCGCTGATAGGAGTGGCAAAAGATTGAGCGCAAACCTATAGCGAAGCACTGTGAATACCCTTATTTGTGAGCACTTGCTTACACTTGCACCTTTAGGTCGATCTTCTCTGAGAATCAACATCATAATCAAGGGCATGTCAACACCAGCGTCTTGGTAGTCAACAAGCAGATATCACAGGAGGCTGAGAGCGTCCTGTATGGCGAGCTCCCACTCACTGTTAGAAATCACAGGCAATCAAGTTCAGGCTTTAGGCAAAACCTACCATGTTAACCACTATACGTCAGCAGACCAGGGGCTGTCAATGTTTCCAACTTGCTTACTTCCAACTACTGTACTTCAGAACATACAATGTGTTGAATTGGGTATTTTGGTCTTCACACAAACTGGGTATCTGGACGATCAACTCTGGGAAGACTTGACGCTATACCGCCTCCGCTACAACATCCGTCGAGTGCAGCAGCTTCTCGCGGCTGCTCCTCACCTTCGAAGCGTACGGGTTCAGCCCCATGTTCAAACTCTGCGCACCACTTGGGACAGGGAAGAGATCATTGCTGCCGCCATTTTCACTTTGAAACCGCTCAAATCCTGGCGTAGCCTGAGAAGTGCTGTCCTAGAAAACGTCGTCGTCCATTTATGGGATAGCTAGACTTGGAAGCTTTCTCCCGATCCCTCTCACAAACCCGTTAGTATTTTGCCACACGGATACCGAGGTAGCGACAAAAACTACGACTACCCAGAAGATACCATTTATGCCGATTACCAGAAGAGTTGGAGGTCTCTTGCGACAGGAAATGCCCCCGCCGTTCCCGACTCCCTTCTTCTGAAAGAATTGGAAGTTTTCACTTCCATCATCAAATGGAATTTTGCAAACTCCCGCAATTTCAACATAGGGTCGGTTCCTATATGGGACTTTACTGAAACAAAGCAACCAAGCCCAATGGCACATGTGGCATTGGAAGCGGAGCATCACCATCTATTCGAACAGCTCAATGCCAAGTTGAAGAAACACTGGATCAAGTACTGCGAGTACCATCGCGCAAAGATTTTCCTGGCATCCTTGGACACGCGGGAGGAACTGAAGCACCTATTGGGCCTTTGGCGTGTATTTCGGGCAGTCGAGGACCTTTTTTTCAAATTGTCTTATCCTCCCGATTCACCGGATTCACCGGACCGGATGGCAAACCTGCGCCGCCCGCCAGACCTGCACAGCCCGCCAGACCTGACGATGCGATACTTATTACACCCAGACACCCTTGAAGCCTACGAAATTGATGGGCCCGCGTGTCTTGCTGAAATCGTCCGATCTTACGAACACCGCCAGCTCCTCCAGTTTGACAGCCTCTATAGTCCGTTGAATGAGCGCGAGGGGGAAGTGTTACAGTGGCAGGATGATGAAGGCAATTTACACCTTAAACAGGGCGAGAGGACCTGGGTACGCCTGCGTACGCCGGCACTGGTAAGTTGACCTTGACGCTACCCTTGTATGCTTGTGTCCTCTGCTAACAGGCACAGGTGAGGGAGTTGAGGGGCAAACATTGATGATCGAAGTTCGGGAAATATATCGGCATTGTCTGACCGTCGGCAGTTTTCTCGGGACTGACACGTGTCGAAGCCTTATATCTGCGCTTTCCTGCAACTGTCAAAAGTACCTCAACAGACCTTCAGGGATCGCAACAAGATGTGCCTTTGGTATTTTGAGCCACCTGTAGAGTCGTTGGGTGGCCCTGTTGCCGCAATTCGTGAAAGACGTGAAAGTTCCAAAATCGGCGAGGGGACCCGGAGGTCTAGGACAATACAATCATCTATCACGTTTGACGCTGAATCAAGGTTGATCATATTATGTGCTACTTTCGCTTGAATGTAGATAGACATGGCACAAAGCGAGCTATTTCAGATCTTAATGACAACAATGCCTCTTTCGTTTAACGTCTAGAGGATTAGCCCATGATCAGTGACCTAAAAAACCACGAGGTCACGTGCAAGCCGCGCCTCTCTACGCCAAGAGATTCTTCCCCACACCCGCTCCAGGAACTAATTCAGCGACCGCACGGTAGCGCTTTTTCTGACCGCTGACCCCGAGTTATCTCCACAACGTCACTTTCGATCGCGGGGTTGGAGGCTGGACCAGAGCGGCTGGAAATATCGGCTTCTCAGCAACCTTGATCGACTGTTGCGATTGGGCGAGGGGGATCGGCTTCGCGGAGCTTAGCGCTGATATTGGAATCTTTCACTCCTCTAAAACAGGCATAAGCTAATATAAGACTGACACGTTCGCCTTCACATATCTTCAATCAACTAGTCACGAAGGAACACAACCCGCCAATATGTTTCTATCCTTCCTGTTCACTTGGTACTCCCTCTTGGCAGTTCCAGTTCTTTACTATCTCCTTCCATACATCCGCAATTGGCAAATCAGAGATATACCAGGCCCGTTCCCTGCGGCATGGACAAACCTCTGGTTGCTCTATCAATGCCGTCAAGGAAAGCGATACCTCGCTGTTGACGACGCACATAAGAAGTACGGCACACTGGTCCGCATCCAGCCCCATCATATCTCAGTTGCGGACGCGGATGCGATCCCAATCATATACGGACACGGAAACGGTTTTCTAAAGAGGTATTATACTCTATACGAAGACATGGGGCGTTTCTGACTTGTTCTTCAGCGAGTACTATGATGCCTTCGTCTCCATCCAGCGCGGGCTCTTCAATACCCGTGACCGCGCTGAGCATACCCGGAAACGCAAGACCGTCGCTCATACCTTCAGTGCCAAGTCGGTTGGCCAGTTTGAGCAGTACATGCACCATAACCTCGAGGAACTGGTCCAGCAATGGGACCGCATGGCAGCGTCGGCAAAAGGCGGGTATGAGCACATGGATGCGTTGAACTGGTTCAACTACCTCGCTTTCGACATCATTGGCGACCTAGCATTCGGTGCTCCTTTTGGAATGCTAAAAGAAGGGAAGGATTTCGCAGAGGTTCGCTTGACGCCTGATTCGCCGCCAACGTTCGCTCCAGCTATCGAAGTGCTGAACCGGCGTGGTGAGGTATCCGGGTATGTCGACTGTCGTTTCTTCAATGAATATATTAGCTGATTGAATTAGGACTATTGGTTGTCTCCCTCAGATTAAGCCCTACGCTAAACACTTTCCCGATCCGTTCTTCTCACAAGGAATGAAGGCAATCGAAAATCTAGCTGGCATCGCAACGGCTCGCGTCAACGCCCGTTTGGCTGCACCTGAGACCAAACGCGTCGATTTACTCGCCCGGCTCATGGAGGGCCGCGATGAACGAGGCCAGAAGCTCTGCCGTGAGGAATTGACCGCTGAAGCACTCACCCAGCTCATTGCTGGCAGCGACACGACGAGCAACACGAGCTGTGCGCTGCTGTACCACTGCCTGAAACACCCAGAGGTGATAAAGAAACTCCAAGAAGAGCTAGACCAGGCCATTCCAGATGTAGATATGGTTCCCGAGTTCGCCATGGTGAAGGACCTGCTCTAGTACGTTGCTTTTAGTCTTCACCTTACTACTCCACTACTACATTCAGCTAATCATAGAAACGTAGTCTTGATGCCGTGATCAAAGAAACAATGCGGATCCACTCAACATCTTCCCTCGGCCTCCCTCGCCAGATCCCCCCCGGACCAGGGATCACCGTCTGCGGCCACCACTTCCCGCAATTCACCGTTCTTTCTGTACCCGCGTACACGATCCATCACAGCACCGCCATCTGGGGCGCCGACGCTGAAGTCTTCCGCCCAGAGCGCTGGGCTACTGCTACAGAGGCGCAGAAAGCCGCCTTCATCCCATTCAGCTACGGCCCGCGTGCCTGTGTGGGCCGAAACGTTGCGGAGATGGAATTGATGCTTATTGTATCAACAGTCTTCCGGCGGTATGAGTTTGAGCTGAGGCAGGGAGAGTTGGAGACGCGGGAGGGGTTTTTGAGGAAGCCACTGGGGTTGCAAGTTGGCATGAGGCGACGAGAAGTGTAGTGGCATCGTGGGCGAGGGACTAGTTGATCAAGAATAAATGTGCTTGTATACATCAGCTTGCAATGAATCATCTCTAGTATCCTTAAATATGCAGGCAATGCCTATTTGCTGAAAGCGGAATCGGATAATGGAATTAGAGTCAAAGCTCTTAGAAAGTGAGCTCTTAGAAGATAGTATTAAAGAAACGCTTAAACTAGATACATCTAAAATAGGTTAAAAACTCAATAGACATCAAAAGATAACAATAATATTGACATGTGAAAGGTCGTGGAATTGATTCGCCGTGCTACGATGCTCTTGTTCATGCCCAATTCTTCGCCTCCAGCAATCTCGACTACTCAAGAAAGTCCAGGGCCTTCTGCATAAAAAAAAACCTGAGACATGAAATACTGCAATGAAGGAGATTCTGTAAAAGACAGCTCGGGAGATCAATTACAATCAGCTTGTACTTGACGAGCTCACGACGCCGGCTTTGGCTCTTCGCAGCTTTCGCGCTCACTTTCGTTCCGCAGCTGCCTCCTCTTCGGTCAAGCGTCTCAGCGTCACACGATACCCACCGCTGTCTGTTTTGGCTTTGGCCGTTCCTGGTGGAGGTGTAGCGCTTTTCTTTTTTCTGTTCCACTCGCGTTTTGCCGCTAAGTTTTCTTCGGTCAAGTTCAACACACAAAGTTCAGACCCCATTTCATCTGACAATACGAAAGACTCAGCGGTTTCACCGGATTTGCATATGGTGACCCGGGAACCATATACGCCGGATCCGTGGCCGTAATTCCACTTTCTCCTCTTCTTCACGCTCTCGTTGTGCCGCCTCTTCCTCTTCTTTACGTTTTGCAGCTTCAAGCTGCCTTGCCTTCCTTCTGGCCTCATAACGCGCGTGCCTTTCGGCTATCTCATTTGCAATGCGCTCTTCTTCAGCCTTAGCTGTCTCTGCCTCGGCTCTCATCGCGGCCTTGCGCGCTTCACGTCTAATGCTCCGTTCTTCACGTCTAATCCTCCATTCTTCCTCAGTCTCGATCCTTTCCTTCTCCGCCTCTGCGGGAGCCTTTCGCCGAGATTCGTCCTTCTTTTTACTGTCAGATGGCCGATGTGAGTCACGGCGCTTGCGGCGTTGTTCAACCTCTTCCTCAGCAGAACGAACTGAACGAACTGAACGACGTTTCGCCTCTTTTTCCGTTTTCCGTTCCTGGTTTCTAGGACTAGACTTTTGTCCTTCCTTCTTGTTTCCTTTACCCTTGTCCTTGCTTACGTCATTGATCACTTCTCTTGCATTCTCCCTAGCCTTTCCAGAACTCCCGAGAGCCCTTGCTGCTGCAACGAGAGAGATCCCGCCGATGCTAGCATCATTCTCTCGTCTTATTCGGGCTATAACCGCGCGATCTCTGTCTTGTCTCTGACAATCATCGTTCGCCATATCACCTTCTGAAGGCCCCCCCTTCAGGTCTCTGATGATAGCTTCATCCAATTCGGGTGTTTTCTCAAGCGTGTCTCGCACAACATCTTTGCCTGGCCGACGCTCTATCGAGGATTTGGCCTTCGATATCAAGTTGCTCGTATCGGAAATTTCCCCCCGGTGCTGCATCAAAATGAGCGTCTTGTCATGAATCATCACATTGGACCCGTCACTGTTTCCGGGCCGAGGCCGCACAGCTTGCGGATCGTTGGTACTAGTTGCCATATCTGATAGCACAATATCGGGTGCTGCTCCGTCTATGGTGCTCCAGCATCCGGAGGCTTCATTAAGCCACGTGGGATTCGTTTGGTTAGTGGTTGACTTCTCCAAAGAGACAGCGAGGATGGCTGGACTGGATGGAGGCTCGGACCTGAAATATGTTAAAAAAAAAAAAATACTTAAGACGAGATCTTTGTTGAACTGAGTTACCTCTCGAATTCTACCGAAGATCGTGGAGATGAAGGTCTCAGAGACTCCATCCAAGTGTGTTCTTCCGCTATTGGCGCAGTCGGGCGATCTTTAGGCAGCGGAGCCATCAAGCTTTTGACGAAGTCGCAACCCTCTCCGCTGATATCATTTGACAGCATCATCTCAACGGGAAATGGGGAGGTTCCTCTAATATATGCGCCCAATGACCTGGCAAACGGCGCTTGACCTGTGAGAGCACGGAATACAATCTCGCCTAGTGCCCATATATCTACAGCTGTCGTATACTCGTTTCCGAATTTAAGCTCATTGGAGTCGAGAAGGCCATTTTGAACCAAGAGCTCTGGTGCAAGGAATCCGGGAGTGCCGCTAAACGTTCGTAGAGCTGTGAGGCCGTCTTCTGCTCGCTTTGAGATTCCAAAATCTCCGACTTTGACCCACCAGTCCGGGCTTTTGGACTTCACTAAAATATTCTGGAGAAGAATTTAGCCATTAGAAACGAGGAAAAGCCATGGTAATCTTACAGATGGCTTCAGGTCGCGGTGGGCGAAGCCGTTCTCATGCATGAAGGATAACGCCTCCAAAATTTGGAAAGTTATCTGCTGAACTTCTTTCTCTGGCAGAGGCGAGGACAGATAGCTTTGAAGATCCCCGTTTGGAAAGTACTCCATAGCAATGAAGACACTAGCATCATTTTCGTACCATCCGTACGACTTGACAAAGCAAAGTTCGTACTAGTTTCCATGATGTTAGCATAGCAAGATGATGTGAGGCTATCGTGACAAGATACTAACCTTTTCATGAGAGAATTTAGCAATAGCCTCGAGCTCACGACCGTAGCTAATCGTGTTCGAGCCGCGCTGAATCTTACGGATCTCCTTGACTGCTCGATATCTGGCATGCTCGGCCGTGAGCTTTTCAAGCCATACTGTTCCAAAGGAGCCTGATCCGAGGCTCTCTCTGCGTTCCCACCGCTCTTCTCTTCTCACCTTCCTCTGTCGCGGTGTCTCTCCGGAGACGTAGTAGACATGCTGAGTGTACTTTGAGGAGAATCGAGTTTTCAGCCGGGAATCTCTGACGAGGTCTGAAAAAGCAAGCATATCGACGATTTTAGGAACGGTTGATTAGGTTCTCGGACTACGCTTTGGAAGCCATCAAAACTAACGCCTATTCCGCGGTAATGTCAATCTTCTATCGCAAGGCTGTTCAATGCCCTAAGCAGCGACGGAAGGCAGATGTGAAGGCATGAATACGGGATACAAGACAGCCCCCTTATAGGATCAAGGTACCAGCGCGATTAGAGAGAGAGGATCTCAAAGTCAGAAATGATAAGATTAAAGGCTCAAGTGGAGCGTGTAGGCTGAGGTCTCGAGGCTGAGGGCGCTTGGAGGGGTCAGGTGATGAGGCTGCATAAATCATGCAGCATTGTAAGCCAAGCCACAAATCAGTATGCAGGCCTGCGGGCAGTTCTAAAGTGGCGCTTCCGCGACCTTGCAACCATAAAGCTGTGCCTTTCCCCCAAACCTAGATTCGTATCTTTACTGTACCGACAGAAAAGCTTTCGGGAAGCCGGTCGATCCTCTTCACGCTTCTCACAAGTCTGCTGAAGGAGGAAAACAACAGACTATTAGCGTTTGCTCTCTCAAGGTGTTCGAACTCTAACCCTACGCCTACTTGGCTTTTCGAATATCCAGCACGTGATCAACTCAGCTGCTGCCTAGGTGTACGGCAGAATGGCGGAACTGGCCCTGGGCATAGTCGCAACTGTTGACTTGGCCTTTCGGTACGTTGAGTTTCCATATAAAGTTTGATAGTCTGACGTGAAACCTAATCAATACTAATGCAAGTTTCCCCTAGATATGGCAATCTCCTAGTCGAAACCTACAAAACCTTCAAAGGCGCGGAAGCGGATGTAGAAGAGCGGATTTTGACAGTGGAGGCACACTGGTACCGAACGAGGCAACAAGTTGAGTTCCTCCAAAAGATATGGAGCACCCTAGACGATGAATTCCAAAACATACAAAGCAGAACCCTGCGAATGTTGGTTGGCAAATTAGAAGCAGCAGTTGCGCAGATTGAAAGAGTGCAGAAGAAAAAGAATAAGGACTGTGAAACGGAAAACAAGATCGGAATACGAAAAATGAAGTATGTTCTAGTCAAGGATAGCTTGGACAAAGCAGTTCAGGAGTTCGAATCGTGGCAGAAGATGTTCAATCCGTCCTGGTTCTTGATAATGAAGGTCGCGAGTCCTGTCATTGATCAAGAACTAGAGGACGACAGAACTGAAGTCGGCTCTATAGTGACTGCAAGAGGTTTGAGAGACTCGTTGAAGGAAGAACCGCAAATTGCGACCAAGATCTTCCTCCCTGAGAATGGTCTCGTTTCAGCTAGTCGAACCCGAATCCCTTTTTCTACGGCCGAATTGATACAACGGACGCCGACGAGCAAGTTCTCGATCCTAGACTCGGTTGCAGGTGATCCAGAGGTCAACATAAACATCCTGAATAAAGATGTTAGAGACCTCGCTCGCAAACTTTCGCGGGCAGATGCACTTACATTCGGCCTACTTGAATGCAAGGGTGTCGTGAAGGTCTTTGAGCCTACCAAGAAAAAGATAGTGTCTTTCGATTTCGTGTTCAATATCCCAGAAGGACTGCAGCATCCTAAAAGCTTGAGGGGCATTCTACTCAAAGCAGATCAGGATCTTTCATTGAGCGCGCGCTTCAAGGTTGCTCAGCAACTGGCTACGTCCGTCAGCTTCATTCACACCTACGGATTCGTCCACAAAAGCATCCGGCCCGAAACGGTCTTGATATTCGAAAGCCCCAATTCTACCCTGGCAGCGTCGTTTCTCCTCGGATTTGAAAAATTTCGGATGGCAGAAGGACGGACAATGCGTCTTGGAGACTGCGTTTGGTACAAGGACATCTATCGACATCCTCGACGACAGGGGCTGAAGCCTGAAGATGAGTACAGCATGCAGCATGACATCTACAGCCTGGGGGTATGCCTATTGGAAATCGGATTGTGGGATACGTTCGTGGTGTATCAAGATGAAAAGACGACTGATCCTGCTCCATCTCCGCTGCTCGGTGTTCTGCAGGATCAAGAAGAAGACGAGGTCAAGAAGGCCACTCTGGTAAAAGATGCGCTTGTAGAGCTTGCCACAAAGATGTTACCCAGCCGAATGGGAGACAAATACACAGAAATAGTCGTCACATGCCTGACATGCCTAGACGAGACTAATGCAGACTTTGGCGATGATACTGAGTTCGAGGATGAAGATGGCGTTACGATAGGTGTTAGATATATTGAGAAGGTACGTGCTTTGCGTAGTTGTCGATTTCTCAAGGTCGAACCAATCGTACTGACGCGTTTAGATTCTCCTCCAACTCGAGTGTATATCCATCTAATTGTTCTAGTTAGTGTTGTTTTGTCGTCGTCATGTTAAATAGTTTGTTTGATAGAATCATGCAAAAAAGGCAGAATTGGTGTCTCCAATTGGTAAAACTCTTACCATGCAGTACCCCTAGACGCGTACCACGCTGTAGCTATGCTATGACCCATATTTAGCATGCTGAATTGTACCTAGACGTACAAGATGTGAAGTCATTAGCGACCTATGCGGTTAACACTGTCCCTCGCAGATAGTGATGTAATGATGGAAAGGAGTATTGCAAACATGGATCAAGCAACAAGCCATACTTCGTAGTGAATAAGCTTAGCTCCGGATTGGGACTAGTTTTGATGTCCGCAGAGTGGCCTTTAATAGGCCCCTCTCTCCCACCTTGCTCGTTCCCCCCTTCACTATGTCCACGATCGCACCTGAAGTCTCCGCAGCGCAAACCCTAGAGACCAACGCTCTCATCCACGGTCTATCCACCGTAGAAATCCAGGCACTCACCACAAAATGCCTTGAAGCACGCGAAACGGCTTATTGTATGTCTATACCGCCGCATTCACCACTGTCCGATAAGCTCACTAACACACCAACCCACCAGGCCCCTACTCCCTCTTCCGCGTCGGCTGCGCCATTCTCCTCAAATCCTCCTCTACCATCATATCCGGCGCCAATGTCGAGAACGCGTCGTATCCGGTCGGCACCTGCGCCGAGCGCGTGGCCATGGCCACTGCTGTAGTCCAGGGCCATCGCCTGGGAAGCTTCAAGGCTATCGCGGTAGCTACCGATATGGATGCCTTCTGTAGTCCCTGCGGCATGTGTCGGCAGTTTCTACGAGAGTTTTGCGAGCTGGATATGCCGATATTTATGCATAATGCTAGTGGGGCGTATGAAGCTAAGACAATGGGGGAATTGCTGCCGATGAGCTTTGGACCAGATGCGTTACCGCCCAGGGAAGTGCTAGAAGCGCGGAGGGAAGAGAAACCGAAGACGGCGTGAGCGTTTGTGAAGGCGTAGGAGTTGGAGTCATGGCTATAGAGACTAAAATCTTGGTTGATAAGGACGGGTTGTGAGCTGAGAGCGTTTTCGTTGGACAATGCTGACTGCTCGATTAGAGGTGGGATTGTGAGTCTCGGTGCTACTCTAGACTACGCAAGTCTCACAATCAACAGAAAGCTCGAGATAGGACCCCAGTCAAGGATTCATAGATCATTTCAAATCGTCTTTATCATTCATTGCTCTTGTCTACGAATCACCCTATCTCTAGATCGGGACAGTCAACGGATTCATGACACTTGCTCCTCCATCAACCACCAGATTTGCCCCGGTGATATAACTACTGAAGCCACTAGCCAAGAACCCAGCCACCCTTCCCACCTCTTGTGGAAGACCCGCGCGTTCAAGTCCTACAATAGCCTTCTGCGCTTCGGGACCCTGTAAGCTCGACGGTGGCAGCTGAGAGCTCATGCCACGCATATCGAATCCCTTAAGATCAACGCCAATATCAATCTGACCAGGCGAGATACAATTTATCCGTATGCCGCTTCCCTTCAGCACCGAAACACCAGCCCGTACAACCCCCAAAGCGGCGTGAGAGGACATGGTGAAGCATGGCCCCCAACAACCGCCGTATGTGCTTGCAACAGAGCCAACTACTATGATGCTGCCGTACGCTTGGTCCTTAGGTGCAGCGTTGGGATAGCTGCCCTTCGGAGTTGTCTTGGCCATTGCCGGAGGCGCATATTTGAGGGCGAAGAAGGGGGCCATGGAGTTTGCTTCAAAGCATTTTCGGAGGTCTGATGGGGAGGTCTCGGCGATAGAAGGAGGGCCCAGAAGACCAGAGGATGTAACCCATACGTCGAGCCTAATTGCGATACGTTAGTCTTGGATGCTACAGCAGGTTCATGTCATGTACCGTCCCCAGGAGTTCAGCACATCGTCGATCAAGCCCAGTGTATTCTCTTCGCTGGTGATCTTATATGGGTATCCAATGACCTTTGTATTCGGGTATGCCTTATTCACTTCTGCTGCCAATTGAGCGTATGGTTCGTCGGGAGTTGAAGAGCAGGCGTAGATGCAGGCGGCACCGTGTGCTAGTAGTTTAATGGTCAGAGCATAGACTTCAAATTGGACAACCTTTTTAGAGTATTCCCAGTCATACCTGCAAGCTCAGTGACGATTGCCTTTCCAACTGGTTGCGTTGCGCCTGTGACTACACAAACAAACCCATACTATACACCAGAAATGATCAGTCCACTTGCGCAGAGCCTCTCCCAGAGATATTGCCATATAAGGGATTCTAGCTCTTAGAACATAGAAAACGAGTGACCTACAAGTTTTCCATCAGCCCTGTACGGCGAGAAGTGCTCCGAGTTCATGTTCTCTTTCCCTTCAATGGCAATGCCGCCGCCGTGTACATTATCCATAGTCACTTATCGGGCAACGCGATTCTAACAACCAAAAGCTAACGAGGCCAACACGATCGGTCATGTTGGGATTCTTCGCGATCTGCAGGTCGCCGAGGTGCAGATGACCCTTCATTCCGGCAGCGTGGTGAAGTCCACGGGGCGCGGAGATGCATGACGACAAAAGCAAGCGGCTTATCGCTCTTATCGGAATGCGGGGAGTGGTGTCTTGAGGGTGGCCCTCTCAATTTTGGCAAGCATAGGATCTCCGAGGCTTTGGCAGGGGAGGTTTGACAGTTTGCTCGATGGACACGTTGTTCAGAGTTGAGAGGCTGGAAAAGAATGCTCGGAATACAACTAGCTAAAGAAGGATCCAAGGCGACATCTACAACTCATCCTTGTAGACTTCTTCACTCCCCGCGTTCTCTTCTTCCTTCGCCTCTTCCCGCTCTGCTTCTTCGCCATGTTGCTGGCCCTTATTTGAATTGTGCGAGTGAGAGCCCTGTTCATCTTCATCTTCTGCCTCGATAATGCCTCGGTATTCTCTTCCACGTGGCGTATCCACTAGTTCAAGCCTCCATCCCTTTTTGCCTGCCAGTTTCTGCAAATTCCTCTTCATCTTTTCCACATCCTTGGGATCATTGATGTTGAGCTTCTTCAGCTCCTTTTCGGTCATCGTCTTCCCATCACTGCTGGCAACCGTGCCAATGTAGATGTCCTTGCCACCTCCAGCGACAACCGACTTTTCAATGACCTTTCCTTCTGAGCCAACTAGTCTTTTGCCGCCAACTTCGATACCACCAATGGTGGGGCGAGGTTGCCTTTCAGGGTCCTTGGTTTCTTGCTCTCTAGCTAATGCCATCAATTCCTCGGCGGCATGGAGATCAGCTGAAATTGTACTCCACGCCGCGATATCTTCGGTAGCGATGACGGGCTGGCATTTAATAGCATTGGGCCGATTATCCTGTGGCGGAAGAAACGCAACGTCGTTGCAGAGCTTGGGCGTATAGATGACCATCAAATAAGAGCAGGTTGCAATTTCCTTGATCATGCCGATGCGGTCGGCAGACCCCTGGTTACAATGGAACTACGATCGATTAGCCACATATCATGAGAAAGCGAATAGATATACTCACCTGCACTTCAATCTTGCGCTCCTTGCCAGTGAGATCACACTCCGTCCCACCGCCGAGTCTCTGCACCATATACCTGGTGCTGCCCTTAGTCTCTAGCTTCGCCAGCTCCATAGTTTTCTTCCCATCATCTGGCTCTGCATCCAACGTCTTTCTAGAGCTTTTGCTCTCGCCACTGGTCTCGTCCACCCCCTTCTTCCCACCCCTCCCCTTACCCTTCGCGCCTGGAAATTTCCCTAAGACGAAGCTCTTGACATCCGGATCTTCCACCGGCGGATAGATAGGCACGCCTTTACTCGGCGGCAGCGAATGAAACTGCTTAACCTCATCCTTATAGCAAAAGCTGTAGCTCCACCAGCCACTAAGGAAGTAAATGCAGTTCCCCTGCATCCCCTCAAGCAGCTCCCACCCACGATCCGTCGCGCGCATCAACTCTTTCTCCTCTTCATCTTTGACCTGCTCTGGAGTGGCCGTTGTGTTCTGCTCCGGCGGCTCCACCACGGGTATGCTGCACAAGTAGCGCTGGCCATCTAACACTACGGCCTCGTACGTTTCCTCGCCACCGTTGAACTCATGATTGCCCTCATTATGCGAGTTTCCGGTCGGCCGCTGGCCGGTAGATAGTCCCTGCGTCTCTTGCGAATCCGGGGCTGCGGAGGGAGATTGGCGCGAGGCAGCGTGCGCGAGGCGCGATGATGCGAACTCTTCTGTTACGAAGGAATCGGGGAAGACGACTTCATACTACAAAGAGGTGAGGATCAGGTATTGGTACTTTGAGAGGGAGTGCGTGGGCAAACAAACCTGCGGAAAAGCCAAGAGGTCGTCAAAGACGCTGAAGGCGTGCGGAGAGGCGAGGACGAGTCGTAGGAACGCGGGGAGCGCCCAAAAGCCCTTCATTGCTATCGCATTGAGTATTGGGAAATAGGATAAACGACAGAAAACTGTAGAGGCGGTGTTGGTGGATTGCGCAGCTGGTGGCAGGGTCTTTGGAGACAGATGTCAAATCCGCAAGCAAGCTGTCAAGAGCGATGGCCATGTGCAAGGGTATATAAGCATTCTTGGAATTCACCGCCTAACAATCAGTTTCCAGATATCTGATAGATGAGAATCGAGCTGTTACACATTCATTCGTAATTTCTTGATAAAATATCAGGGTCGAAGCCCTATATCCACCGTCAAAGCTACTTTCAATTCGCTGGAGGCGTGAACTAGAGAGACATCTCGAATCTTGTATCTGAACTAAATCGGATTCACTATAAAAGGCCACGATGTGAGAACGTGATCAGGTACGGGTATCTCAGCCTTCAACATCCTAGGACAACCTCAGCATCTCAATGTGCCAGCACAATAGGCTTGCCCTTCTCCCAGCCATCCAAACTCTCTTTAATATTGACCCAATACCTCAACCGCACCGCCTCACTCTTCGCCAACTCAACGTCGTCTTTCTCAAACGCGGCCTCTAGCACCTTTGCGCTATTCTGGATCCTAGCATCGTTTTCTTCCTTCATCTCTACCAGCTCCGCTTCGTCCTCAGCATCCTCGATCCGCTCTCGAGTATCCAGAACCTCCAGCAACAGCTCCGAATCCTCGACCTTTGCTGTCTCGTCCTCGTGGATATCAATTCCTTTCAACGAGAGTAGGTATTGCGCACGGAGCAGGGGCGACTGCAGCGTCTTGTAGGCTTCATTGATGCGCGCGGATAGCGCTTGCGCCTTGTTCTTGTCCTCCGCTGGGTGCAAATCAGGATGCGCACGCGCTTGCAGTTGCAGGAATTCCTTGCGTAGTGACGGTAGGTCGACTGAGAAGCGTCCGTGTGGTGGCGGGCCGGAGGGTAGGGATTGCGGAAAGAGGTGGTAGTGGGTATGCGATTTCAAAGGCTCTTCTCTTAGATTGTGCAGATTCGTCGTGAAGGTTCTTCGGCGTGAAAAGGGCAGTGGTGTGGAAGTTTGCGAGCTATGGCAGTTGCCTGAGAGGACGCAGAGTCCTGCTACTCGGGAAGCCGGCCGTGATGCGAGGGACGAGTCTGACGCGACAGCTGCTCGTAGCCATGAAAGTGTCGCTGGAGAGATGGAGCGCATTGTTTCTAAGGTCCTGGAGGTTTTCGAAGACTGTGGTATTAGGAGAGTGGGGAATGACGGAGGATCGAAGAAAATGTGAAGCGCGGACATCGCGGAGACCGATGTCGCCGCCACTTTGACGAATGGATATGATTACATCATCGGCACGTGACATATGACCTAGAAAGACAGTTGTGAGGTCTGCCAATTGGTATTTCTTGACGTCTACCTTGTAAACGTTACCACCAAAATGCTATGTTTCTACGGAGCATCTTTAACAGCACCATGCGCTTCGAAAGGTCACAACGCTTTATAGCCGCTGGAATCTACGTATCGTTCATGACTGCCCTTTTTTGTTCTTGAGTAATTGAAGTACCCGCCTAATAGCCTCAGCTAGTAGAGTGATGTGATTTAACAGTGTCTGATACTCGCACTGCCATCCGTGCTATGCTTTCATCCTCCTTCAAAGGTGGATAGGGTGCCTAAACGGTTTAGCCTTGCACCCTTGCCCGCAGAATCATTCAAATGTATACCGAGAATGAACAATACAGACTTTGATTCATAGTCTAAAAGACCCAAGCGGATATTACAGGCGGAGATACCGGCGGCGGTCTGGCTGATACCTTGAAGCGCAGTCAACCTCTGCGGCTAATTCTACGGACCCAAAGCTCATGCAGCACTAAGATAAGATTACAATCGTTACCGAAAACAATAAATCTAAAGACGATGAAGTCACCATGTGGATGTGAGTTTCAAACGAGATCATAGGCGTACCGTCGTGAGCTTGTGCGAACTCATTTGTGGCTGCTTGAGGTTCCTCAATGAACTCCCGAAATCCGACCTGACTGACCTGATACCTTACGGCGCTACCCTCTACTACGTGACAAGGCTCATGATCCACGATTGTTGGCATCCTGGACCCTCTTCTCAAAATCGTGGAGCAAATCTTCCATGACCGCCAGCTCTTTTTTGAGATCCTTGTTGAGCTCGGTCATGTTCTGGTGCATATGCTTGCCCGGAATAATCGTTGTAATATTTTCATCCTCCCTAACTCTTTGCCAAGAATTCCGCAGGTATTTTGCGGTGTATTCTGGGCTATGTAGTGCGGGATTCGAGAGGTGTTCTTGGTGCGGTAGCCACTCCTGGGGCCAGGCTTGCAGCTGTCGAATATTTCGCTTTAGATTGGCCATTAACCAGTCGAGCTTGCTTATTTCCATGTAGAGGTGACGGTGAAGAGCTTCCAACACTCTAAGCTGTCGAGCTTTCGTTTCCTTCACTTCCGATTCCCCCTTTTCTGCGTAATATATATGTTCTTTCTTTGCAATTTCGAGCCACAGGTACTCGGTCTCAACGACTAACTCCTTTTTCATTTGCTCGAGTGTTTCGATACAATCTCGAAGCTCGCTTTCGGACCCTTCCCAGGAATAGTCTATGAAAGGTTCGGCTGTTTCGCTGATTCTGATGGCTTGGAAAAAAGGGGCGCTGCCTGGGCCAAAGACTTGAGCGCGTGAATGAGTGCGTGGCACAGATGGTCCGGTTTCTTCTGAACTTCGCGGGTCAATTATCGGCATCGCAATGCTAGGTGTCGGCTGTTCACCTGGCAATTGACGCTGAAATGCAACTGCTCTTTCTATCTTTGCCCTTAATGCCGGCATTTCTCGCTTTTCTAGTGCGTCCGTCCACTCCTTTCCAAAATATGGCGAGCTCAACCACCACGCCGAATGGCCCCCAATCATGGCCAAGCTAGCATAACGTCTCCAGCCCGTGACATTTAGAAAAGGGCGTTTGAAAGTGGCGACCAGGAGTCCAGCCATGACCCCTCCCATGACCAAGTCGTCTGCACTCTTCTTTCCACTGCTTTCCCACATCGGAGGCCGGATAGGCTCGATTCCTGCCCTCACTAGCGTGGGCCGAACAAACATTTCCTCATTTGTGCGCTGGATGGCGGGACATATAACAATGGCTGGCAGGGCCAAGGAGCCAATATTCCTCAGATAGTGGCCTGGTAATGCTTTCCGCCGCAGTAGTTGAAATCCAGAAAGAACAGCGGCACCTGCGAAACTAAATATAGGCGGGCCGACTGTGATAAATCTATCTGCGAAATAAGGATCTGGTTCCCTTGGTGAGATGGGATGTTGCCCTTCGCCTGCTATGATTTAGCCGCGATTCACGGTTTGTTTCCTGAGGGAGTGGACTCTTTCTGTACCTACCTAGCGGTGCGAACAGGCGCGTCATCGTGAGCAACGACGCGTCAAAGAATAATTTGCGTGTCTGGGATATTGAACGGCAGGAATCTGGCCATTTAAGCGCAATTGAGGAGGTCTGGCGGGTAGAGTAAGAGACGAAATGCTAGATTTAGGAGGCGATGTTGAGAATGAATGTTGCACCGCAGCGGCTGGGATCGCTTCTTGACATCGGGGACGCGTAAATTGATAATAATGCGCAAGTCCATTCACAAATGTAGAGCACCTGCTCTTGCCAGCTATCAACTGTGTCATATCCCTCCTCTTGCGGTATAATTGCGGCCCTGGTTCTTCGGTCTTGAATGCACATCAATTTATGGAGAGCATTCATGTCCAATTGAGCGTGTTTGAACCCTGAAGAGCTATAATGACCCGTGCTGATTTTGCATAACTTAATTTTATGTACACCATACGTGGTGGGCAGTCTACGCGGTCCCGATCCGCTCCATGGGTGACATCACTTCCACATCAACACCAAAACCACCCCCTTCTCTCTACCTTCACACCTTCAAAGTCTACCACACTACGAACAAATAAAATGAACTTCCCAAGAAGCATGCTTACCCCTACTCCCACCGTCCCTGCGCCCATTGAAGCGCCCGTCTTACCCTGGAACCCCACACCTAGTGACACTATCCTTGTTCGCTCGTACCTTGTCCACCTCAAGCTCCCCACCGAACTCGCCCTCACCATCATCGATTACGCCCAGTACTATCCCATTGTGCACAGTCGCAGAGATGAGGAGCTCAAAGTCATAGCGAGTAACTACAAGGGGAACAGTGCAGCGGCACTGTGCGTGGTGTCAGAACCGATACCAGCAATCCAAGACGGCGAGCGGATCAAGCGTAAGACCGTGAAATTCAGATTGCGGAGTCATGATCAAGGATGGGGGGGAGATCCTGGGTGTCCAGGTAAGCAAGCCATCATGCTACATCATATTTGCTGCCTTGAAATCAAATCCCTCTACCCTACCACTCGTTCCACCACGTAACATATCTCTCTATGACACTCCCATGTACACCAGTTCATCCATCCAGGTTCCTATGCTATTTACTAACTCATACCACCTTAGGCACATACAACGGCTCCTACACCTGGTTCGAAGCCAGCATCCTACGCCCCTCCGGCAGCGCAGAAGTCACACCCATTCCGCTCAACCTGTTCATAAGCCCACGCCCGACAAGCAGCAGCCTGGACCGCTACCATGTCTCCCTCGTTGCACCTCCAAATGCCCCTGACGACCCCGTTTGGCACATTCAACGGAACATGTGCGCCTCGCCGCAAGAACGCACTCACGAAGTGGAGTGGCGAGAAGGCTCGGCTTTCGATCCCTCGCTAGGAAGCGGTGACGGGAAAGGCTTCTGCGAGACGCTGCAGCCAGGGGACCGGATCGCGATATGGGCGCGAGCGTTGTACCCGGGATGGTTGAACTGTGTGAAGGAGGCCAGCATGGAGGTCTTATTGGAGATCGATTAGGAAAGCGACTAACAAATGCCTACGGCCTAGACCGCTATATGAGGCGCTCGATACACACTAAATGGCCGCTAATCCCTCTTTGCCCCCCTTCTCGGTGTCAATCTCATTGTGTAGCGGAGTCTATAGTGGGTGATATACCCAAGAAGGAAGTCAGTCATTCGAGAATACGAGTACGGACCTACTCCTACTGAAGCACCTCATGCCGCGTTGCGCTGCAATTAAATTTAATCCTCGGTCTATCCTACAGCTAACACCGAAGATCCTGCCTCGGACCATTCTCCTACTCCATGTGACACAAGACACTTTACCTCATTGCACTCAACACGGTTCAGCACAGACCACCTTAAAAGTACCAGACCACTATGTTCAAAGTATTAGCCTCCTCGGGTCTCCGCTACGGGGGTCGCACTAACTAGATCTACCAAGAAACGCTTACCGGAGAGTCCCACCAACACTATTTGCGTAACATTAACCCTCCATTACGCGACTACCTCTGCCCGTCTCACCGTCAACCCGTAAAGACTAGCGGATCCGTAGCTTCCAGATCCTCCTCGCCACCCTTCACTGGCGCGGGCCTTCAACGTCGCCGCCCAAGCTGGACCGCGGCCGAAACTCAATACTCAAACACGGAACATCGTGCGATGCTACACACGCCAGGAAAAACGGAGCTAAACCCCCAAACTACTCCCGCAACCCCCCAAAGCAAGAAAATGCACGCAAGAGAGTCAGACAAAAAAGCTGCAGATAACGCACACCATCCCAGCCACCAACACACCAATACACACGCCTGGAGCCAGCCTTCCAGCAATCATCCCTGCACCACACTATAAACGAGCGATACCCTTCCTTCAGCCGTCGTCAGAAAACACTCGGAGTAACCGCACACCTCTCTAGCCGCCTCGCAGAACCGTGACCGGTGAAACAGAAACCACCCCCCTTGCACCCGCTATGGAGTACTGTAGGGGTTAATCACCGCACACACCCCTGGCAATCATCGCAATCGACCTTCAACTAGGGTTATCACCCGCCGCCACTAGCGCATATTGTATCGCAAATCGCTAAGCCGATCCTTCACTTCAGCTACTGTTTCTCGTTAGCGGCGAAGCCATCGAATCAGGCAATCTTTTTCTCGCTCCTCGGTAGTTAGGGAGGGTAGTTTTGCTTAGTGAAAGCGCAAAATCCGAGCTTCAGCCGCATTATAGGCTGTTATTACTGCATTGCGCCTAGTCTATGCGAAACGCCCCCCTTGCTGGTCTCAGCTGGATTCGGAGGGCCGCGCGCTAGGCGCGATGGGGGAAAGCAGTAAAGACAAGATCGGAAATAGTAAGCGTGGTATCGATAGGATTCCTCGCTTCTTATGTAAAGCGTTAAGGGTCTATTACATCATGGTTTCAGGAAGCCAAGGAAGGGGGGGGGGGGGGGGGGGCAGGACACGTGTGAAGAGTGCAAATCGGTTTGATTTGTACATACATAAATACCATTTTGGGGATGCGACTAATTACGAGCGTTTATGAGAATAATTTGGGGGACAGTGGTCTAATAGGGTATCTGGTATGGAAAGCAAAAATGCAGGATCTCTCCCTGAAGTATCCAAACTAGCCGGCAGCTGGACGCATGCGCTCTCCGCAAGAATGCAAGAAATGAAACACGTTTTGCTCACCCTATGACAAAGGGGAATAAGAGATATCGGGGACGTTTGGTGCAAAGCTTGCCCCGCCATATGCCATGACCCGCCAAAACGCCTGTCTGCCAACTAACGCCGTGCGAAATGTGCCATCCTTATTTACGCCTGTTGTTGAACGCCAGATGGATAGTAAAAGAAATCGCTAAGTGTCATGGCTCCGCTCCAATTTGTGATTTTAATCAATCTTTCGGGTTGCGGAAATCTCTCACGCGGTCATCTTCACCTCGCCACCCTTCGCAGTGTCTTGATCAGAGAGATGTATCCGATCCTGCGTGTTCCCTCTCCTCCGCCGCGTAATCATAGGTTCATTCTCCTTCGCATAGTCAGCGCCAGGCACGTCGCCGCGGTCGACTGCTTTGCGGGGCGAGGAGCGCACGGCGGCTGCTTCGAGGGTGTTGCCGCGGCGGCGCCGACCTTCAGCTACTGTGGTGGTAGGAAGCTGAGCAGGCTCAGGCTGGGGAGTCAAAGGAGCAGCGGCTTTGGCGGCGCGTTCGGAAGTTGTGAGGTAGTGCTGGCGTTCGTTTTCGATGCTCATGCGGGTCTTGTCTGCGCTATCAGGACCGGGAGTGCGCTGTTGCTCTTGCGATGCTGTCATTTGAGAGTCCTCTGTCGTTTGAGAGTCCGGCACTCCCTCTACCGTCTGCGTCTGCCCTTGCGTTTGAATCTGCACAGGCGATTTGGATTGTTCGCCCGTCACTGGTTGGCCAACACTCGGCGATCGCGAATCCACTCCGACTTCACGCATCTCAACGTCGCCGTCTCCACCAGAACCTGCACTCGTCACGGGGCTGACATCGCTGCTTGCGACTCTACTCTCCCCTTCAATCGTCAGCTTGATCTGCTGGCCCCTCGCCGCCGCAGCGCCCGCATTCGCCAGTGCCGCAGAATCGAAAATCTGCTTTGCGTAGTCGTGTCCGCGTCTCGCTTCATCTAACCCCTCTGGGAACATCCGTCGCATGATCATCTGGTGCTTGTGCTGCGACGCGGGGCCCGCGTCCTCGCCGCCTTCCATCGGGCTCGGTGATTCGTCGCCTGCTCCGGTCGAGTAATATAAGCCAGACGTCGGTGTATATTCTCGACTGCCTTTCTGTTCTTCCTTGCGAGCGTGCACCTTGCGGAGATTGGCGGCCGAGGATTGGGATCGCATATCTGGGCGGCCGTCTTTGCGGATGAGGATGCCGTCGGCATTGCGAATGGGCTTCGTCCGCGTCTTCTTCATGTGCGAGTACGGGTCTTGACCGACGAGATTGATGCCTGGGCCCGGAGTAACACCTTGCATGCCCATACTGACGGAACGGCCGCTAGAGCTAGTAGGGCGGGAAGCCCTGGCCGCAGAGGCATTGCCGCCTCCACCAGAGCCTCGTCGTACGATATCACGACCTTGTTTGTGTTCGCCGGGCATATAGTAGCCGTTTGGGCTGGTTTGCGAGTTGACTCCGGTCCAATCCTCCTTTTCCCATTCGGGTGTTCCCAGCTCGGCGTCCACGACAACGGGCGCGCTCTTACGCGGGCGTCCACCCCGGCTGCCAGGACCACCGCCACGGCCTCTCCCTCCGCGGCCCGGTCGGTGATGTTCAATTGGTATACGCTGTGACTCTGGACGCCAGCTGTGGTCCGGTGGGCCGTCCTGCGTGTTGTAGGCGATGAAGTTGTGGGAGACGATGGAGGCTTCGCTTAACGAGTCATGTGATTGGCTTTGCGACTGTGGAAGAGACTGGATCTGCGGTAGCGCTCGCGAATCGGTGTCCGAAGTGTCCATTTGGTCGTACTGGATCTGTTGTGGTGGGGATCGGTGCGGTGTTTGGTTTGGCTCGTACGCCATGCGAGGCTCGATTGGCGCCAGCTTCGGGCGTTTTGGCGATCCAATAGGCTGACCTACCATGTCGTGTGGACCTTCCGGCCCGTTTGGGTGACCACGCTTCATGTTAGAATTGACGGTTACCCACCCGCTCTGCTGCTTTTCGGCCTCGGCATGCTGTGAGTTCACTGGCGTCATATGGCTCGGGCCTGGTGTTTGGTGGGCCGGGGATTGATGGGACGGAGTCTGATGGGCTGGTCCTTGATGTGATGGGCTCTGATGGGTTGGTCCTTGGAGAGATGGACTCTGATGGGCTGGTCCTTGGAGAGATGGACTCTGATGGGCTGGTCCTTGGAGAGA